TACATAATAATAAAATATTCTTCTTTTAATACTAATATATTCTTATTTGTCAACTCTTCTTTTTTATTCTGAAAAATTATTTGACTAAAATATTTCTAATTAATTAAATTTTATTTGATTTTCAGATGTATTAAGTAATAAACCTTTAGTGGATTAATTCTTCCGAATAAAAATCTGCTCTACATAATAATAAAATATTCTTCTTTTAATACTAATATATTCTTATTTGTCAACTCTTCTTTTTTATTCTGAAAAATTATTTGACTAAAATATTTCTAATTAATTAAATTTTATTTGATTTTCAGATGTATTAAGTAATAAACCTTTAGTGGATTAATTCTTCCGAATAAAAATCTGCTCTACATAATAATAAAATATTCTTCTTTTAATACTAATATATTCTTATTTGTCAACTCTTCTTTTTTATTCTGAAAAATTATTTGACTAAAATATTTCTAATTAATTAAATTTTATTTGATTTTCAGATGTATTAAGTAATAAACCTTTAGTGGATTAATTCTTCCGAATAAAAATCTGCTCTACATAATAATAAAATATTCTTCTTTTAATACTAATATATTCTTATTTGTCAACTCTTCTTTTTTATTCTGAAAAATTATTTGACTAAAATATTTCTAATTAATTAAATTTTATTTGATTTTCAGATGTATTAAGTAATAAACCTTTAGCCTCTTCTTTTTTATTCTGAAAAATTATTTGACTAAAATATTTCTAATTAATTAAATTTTATTTGATTTTCAGATGTATTAAGTAATAAACCTTTAGTGGATTAATTCTTCCGAATAAAAATCTGCTCTACATAATAATACATTAAACTAATAAATTTTTGAGTTAATAATTTTTAAAAATAAAATAAAATTTAATTATTAATAATTTTTGAGAATAAAAATGATTTGTCATCGAATAAGAGCTTTTCTAGTTCTAAAATGGTGTCCGGAAAATTGGGCTCTGGAAAATTGGGCTCCAAGATTTTTCGGAAAATTGGGCTCTAAAATTTTGGGCTCCAGAGGAATTTTGGGCTCTAAGAAAAAAAGTCAAATTATGAAAAACAGAGAGATTTTCATAGGACAAAGATGATTTTTCTAATAGTAAATCACTAGGAAAAAAGTAAATAAACTTAAAAATAGATATTTGATATAAATATTTCAAAATAACAGCTTTATCTGAAAAAAGTTTAATTTAATAACTAAACAGGGTTAGGCATACGGTAACTAATAGCTTTTAAGTACTCCAATGGATTTCTTTCTTCTCGAGAACGAAAAATTTCTATTAGGTTACGATCTTGCTCCACATATTCAGTTCTTCGCTTTACACCTTTTCCTAAAATCCCATTTAACGGGCTGACAAGGAAATCATCATATGTTTGAATCCAATGTTGTTCTTCAACTTCCATTATTTTTACAAAGTATGATAATTTTGGATGGCCATTACTAAATATTTATGTATAAGTAATTTGAAAATATTACTAAAAATGGGAATTGAAGACATTGTGCCACGACTCAATTCCATTAGATGTACGTGCCAAATCCTCATTAACACTAATTGAAATGAAATTTTGTTTATCCTATACATACCGATAAGATACATTCCAAAATTCTGGTCGAAAAACAGCACCAGAATTTTCAAGATGATCACGTACAATCCATTGACGTATAAAAGCATCTATTTCTCCATAGGGACCTAATTCATTGTGAGTGACAAGCAGTCGAGGTGAACGCATAATACGCTTACATCCTAACCATGTTTTGGCGAAGTAGATTATGAAAGCTTTAAAATATGATTTAGCCTTGACTATTTTTTAAATATCTAACTTTCCATTTCATGATGGCGAGGAAAATTCTGTACAAGTATACAAAAATATTCATAAACATGCTCAGGCGGAACGAAGGCCAAAGAAATAAAACATTTGAATAAGCATTTATTTGCTTCATTATTTCGAAAATCAGCAAATAAATTTGGTAATGTCTGTAATTTTCGGAACAAGCATTGTGCAAAGTGGAATAATCACCCTGCGATTTGAGAAGCCGGAAATACCTATAATTTGTCTATTTTTATTACAATTCATACATATACATGCTGGACTGCTTGCATAGCTGCAATTTCATAATCGGTAAAGAATAGAGACGGATCCCAATCGGGTACTTCATTCTTGATTGCAGTAAATAATTTTTCATAGGAAAGTTGTTTTTTATTCCCCATTAGTGCGTAAACAGCAGGAACAGCTGTTCTATCAATGAGAACATTGATAGTATATACCGTATTTATTCTAATTGAATGGCACCTCCATTTGAATGGCACCTCCAATTGAATGACACATTTTTGAATGAACGAAAAATAGAATGGCAGCCTCTATTTGAATGGCACCACTAATTGAATGGCCCTTTTTAAACCAAATCCTTATTTCTTTTTCCCTTTATTAACCAGTTTAATATTCCTTTTTAGTATAATAATTACGATATCTTTAAACAAGTCTAGAGTCGATAAAATGGTTTTGAGAGGGATATCAAGGGATTTAAGAGGATAATGAGGGATATAGTGAAATAAAAAAATTTGGCAAAGATATCATGTGATTAAAATAAAATAATTATGGTGTGATATTTAGTAAAGATGTCCGAAACCGAAAATATTTCAAGATTAATAATTAACCCCAAGACTCGAGACAAAGACTTGAACTCGAGACTAATAATTAACAGTTATTATTATCGTATGATCTTGAGTAATTAGGAAGGATTGAGGTAGATATGAATGGTTTTGGAGGGATAATTTCATTATTTATGTACCCAGATTAATATTCCTTTTTAGTATGGCCAAGCCTGCTATTTTAGAAAGGCCAAGCCTGCTATGGCTTGGCCTTTCTCAAGCCTGCTACTGAATCGGCGATACTGAATCGTCCTTAACCGGGAGAAGATGGGCTGCGCGAACTAGCACGAATTGTAATGCCAAGCCATTTGTTTTGTGTTAGAATTTAAAAAATAATCTTTGTCCTATACACATCTCTCTCTTTTGAATAATTTATATTTTTTACTCAGAAAAATCATCTTTGTCCTATGAACATCTCTCTTTTTTGCATAATTTGACTTTTTTTTCTTAGAGCCCAAAATTCCTCTGGAGCCCAAAATTTTAGAGCCCAATTTTCCACTTTTTTCACGAAGAGCCCAAATTTCCGCTGGAGCCCAATTTTCCGAAAAGTTGGAGCCCAATTTTCCGAAAAATCTTGGAGCCCAATTTTCCAGAGCCCAATTTTCCGCCACTCTCTAAAATAGGTATTAAAATATTATGTCGATCACATTTTTATTCTATAGCATTAATCTAATAAAATTTTACTTGGGTATTTTGCAGGTTTTTGGGGTATAAAACAATAAGGTTTGGTATTACGACGTTAGGTATTATGGGCATTCATTAGATTAAATTTATCACATTAATCTAATAAATACATTAACCTAATAAAATAAATTTATAAGTTAAAAAAGCATTATAAAACATAAAACCCATGTCACCCAAGAAAATAAAATTTAATTATTAATAATTAAATTTTAAATTTTATTAAATTTCATGTCACCCAAGACAAAACCTTAGGTTGTCGAAGACGTTAACACTACACCACAACGTTCTTGCTTCATTTTTAAACAAACTTGCAAATATTGCATAATTTTACTCCAAATTATCTATTTTAGAAATTATTATTTAATTTTTTAATTAAAAAATTGACTTCAAATAATAAATCCAAATAAAAATAAATAATTCATTAAATGTATCTATTTTATCAAAAAAATTGCGTGGTAATTAATTAATATAAAATTAAAAGATTTTTTATTCTCTATGGATTTGGCAAAATTAAAATAAAACAATAAAAAAGGAAATAATAATGAATTTATATATATATAAATATACCGTTTGGTCTATTTAATATTAATTTAAAATAAATATTTCTTCAATTATAGTTTTAGAATTAGTGTTGTTTTACCGTCGTACCCATGTCACCATTATTTTTGGCCTTTTATTTGGATAGCATTCTACTTCGTCGGAAATCTGAGGAAAATTTTTTAGATGATTTTCTGGAGCAAAGATGTCCAAATTTAAATTTTTGTCACCGTCTTATTCCAGTTCTAACTTCGGAGCCGTCATATATTGTAGGATGGGTTTTAATAGTTTTTTGACCCTTCATACCCTTTCGCATAATTAGAAGCTGAAACAGTTGGAGGATGCGGAAAAATCCCATTTCTGTTACGTTAATAGCTCCAAACCCTCCTTGTAATCTACATTAATTTTCATCTCTATTGGGGGCATCTAAAATTAAAATTCGAGACATCTCATTAAATCGAGAAATTCTCTCCCACCTTCCTTAAAGATAAAATTAAATATTTGAATAGATTTTTGAATATTCGAAATGAATCTTTTTCTATTTGACCCCAATGGCTATGAGAAGCTCTACAATTGTAGTGCTTATAAAGTAGAGGATGTGCCTATTGAGAAAAGGCAGGATATTGGTATTTTAAAATTTATTTCCTAAAATTTTACTTAAATTTAAACAGTTTGGGGGCTCATTTTTGTTATTATGTTTATTTTGTATGAGGTAATATCTTTATTTTTATTCCAAAATTTACGCTGCACATTGTCGTATTTTCCCCAAAAATTAAATTTTAAGTTAATAAATTAAAAAGTAAACTATAGACTATTTGATGTGTCTCGTCGAGCTGAGTACAATGAAAAAAATTTGAGCTCAATAGGACAATTTTGGACCGAGTTATGATCATTTAAATCTCAAATAGCCTGAGGGCATTTCCTTCTGATATTCTGATTTTCCCATTTTTTATTCTGATTTTTATTCTGAGGCGTAAACAGAATAAAAATTCTGATGTTCTGATTTTCTTACATTTTATCCTGGTTTTTATTCTGAATAATTTTGATTTTTTCAGCTTCTTTATCTCCCTTGTATCTACTCAATAACAAAACATTTAGACCAGGCCTGTTATAAATTTATGCTTTTTATTGGAATTGTTGATATTATTTGTCTACCCGTTTGTGCGTTAATTCATGGATATTTTGCTATTACAGGGTGGAATTAATTATTTTTAAATAACAGAATTCTGATTTTATTCTGATGTTAATTTTTATTTTTATTCAGATTTTTATTCTGATTCTTTATTCTGATTTTTTATTCTGATTTTTATTCTTTTTTTTAATTCTGATTTTCCATTCTGATTTCTGATTCTTTATTCTGATTTTTTATTCTGATTTTTATTCTTTTTTTTAATTCTGATTTTCCATTCTGATTTCTTATTCAGATTTTCTATTCTGATTTTAATTTCCAAAAACATTAATTTCCCAACAACCAAATTCTAAATATTAAAACCAGAATATCTTTTTTATATCATTTTCAGTGCTGTTTTCTGTTCTCACCCAACGTTTATTTACTTGGCTGGAAGCTTTGGATTTTGTAATTAAAATTTTAAAAATTTCAAAAAAATTTTATTTCCAAGTTTTTTGGGTTATTGAAAGCAGCGGAGATATTATTTTAGCGGTTAATCGTTGTGTAGAAGTAATTAGTCCAATATGGGGGGAGAGACTTTACAACGGGAAAAGGGCCTGGTTGTGGATGTTGCCCCCTATGATTTATGGGGTAAATTTTTTGAAATTAAAAAAAATTTCAGAAAAAAATTATTTTTTCTAGCTATACGTTCTTTTCTATACCAAACCTATTTTATTTTCTGGAATTTATTTTGCTTGGTTTTTTAATCCACATGGTAAATAATTAAAAATTAAATTTCTGAAAATTATTTTAAATTATTAAGTTGGATATATTGATGACTTTGGCCTTGTGGTAATACACAATAATTATTTTTTAAATTAATACCCTCTCTAATAGAAAGGACACCTTAAAAGTTCAATAGAAAAATAAACTGTGTAGGCGTCTATTAGAGAGAATTTTACAAAATAAAAATTTTAAAATTAATTTTTAAAGTATAACAACCCAATACAAACATTTCACAACTGGCTAGTAACCTTCGGACTCTCATCCTCCTATATTGTTTTCACCACTGTCTTTTTTATGCGCGCAACTCGTGGTAACAACAGAACCTCTCTCGCACAAAAAATGGTTTAAAAAAAATTTATAAAATATTTTAGAAATTTTTCAAAAATTTTTAAAGTCATTCCTTCAAGTTTTGGCTATTTCCATTGTAAATATTGCTACTGGACTTATCTATATTTATATGCAGGTAAATAATGAGGGAGAGGAAAGGGATTAACGAGCAGTCAAAAATTAATAAATTAGTTAAATTTAGGCCTAGAATTCTGAAATTTTGCAAAGATGTCCTTAATAGTCATATCCAACTTATCTAAAAATTTCAGAATTTTTGGTCAAAAAAGTCAGAATTTTCACTGTTCTTCTACATTATTGATCAGAACTTCTGAAATTCTGGCCCAAAAATTCTGAAATTTTTAAAAGGGTTAGATAAGACTATTAACGACATCCACACACAATTTCATGTCTCTAAACCTTCATTTGGCAAAAATAAAATTTTTTAGTTCTTCCGTATAAGCGAAGCTATCATCTACATAGCTTCCTTAATGTGGGTCACAGCACACGGACTTCCATCATTAATTTATCTTTTTATGAATAAAACAATAAGAAACGACACTTTCGCTTTATTTGGCTACGTTCCAGCACAACAATTAAGTGTTGGACACTTTGCTGGGGCAAAAACTGGGCATTTGTCTACTACAACAAAAATTGCCCCCAAAAATACAAATATGGCAAATATTAATATACACTAAAAAAATTTTTTTAATTGAAATTCGATCTCAATTTGAATCAAAAAATCCGAATAAATTTTAAAATGTTTATTGAAATAAATTGGCAAAGATAAAAAATTTAATTTAAAACTTCAATGTTCTCTTCAGCCTAGTGGTAGGCTGCATGTGAATGCTTTAATCATCACTCTTTTTAAAAATTTAATTTAAGTTAAAAATTCATTTGTTAACAATTTTTTTTTATTTTATCATCAAATTCTACATAGAAATCATTTCTAATTTAATAAACAAACAAATAAATTTTTTCTTTCTAAATTTATTTTTCTTATCAGTAAAATTTTTTTCTTGACTTAAAATTAATTTCTCTATTAAATTTTTGATTTTAGAACGTTAAAAAATTTTTTTTTTAATTTTTAAAATTAATTTTACCCTTAAAATAATTTCTTAATTAATTCTAAAATTAAAATAAAATTTAAAAAATGCGTCTTATCCATTTAATCATTTTAATTATTCTATTAATTAGTATTTGTTCACTATCTGGACAGGCGGCTGCTGAGGACGGGTCAACTTTAAAAAAATTTTTAAAGTCTAAAAATAAAAAAATCTTCCATTTTAGCACCCTTTCACGAGTTAAGCGTTTCAAAAAATGGAAAAAACGTTCTTCCTCCTTCTCCTCTTCAAGCAGCCAGCGTGGGTATTATGGACGACGTCACGGCTATGGGCACGGATATGGAGGGGGATATGGGAATGGCTATGGAAATCATTATGGATATAAAAAGAGAGGAATGCTTACACGAGTAGTGGACAAAATAACTGGAAGAAGACATTACTGAAGCAATAAAAATTAAAAAAAAATTAAAAATATTGATAATACCGCCTGTAGGGGTCAACTGACTTTCAGGCCCTATAACTTCTGAAGGAATAAATATTTTTAGACAAATTTGGTACCATTCGATAGAGAATTAAATTTGCTACAAAATAAGCTTAGAAATGAAAATTTAAGTTGTCTTTTGGAAAAGTTATGGACGAAAAACTTGATGAAACTTGAGCATATTATTATAGGAGAAAGGTAGTTTTCCTCTATCGATTGATATCAAAAGGATTTTAAAAGATTCAGTATTTTAAGAATTATAGTGCTTGGAAGTCTGGAGGTTCACTACTCCAATTGACCCCAAATTTTTTCTTAATTCTCTTAAATTTTTAAAATAAAAATAATTAAATTTAAATAGAAAAATTTTTAAAATCGTCTATTTAAATCTAATTTTAAATAAAAAATTTTATTCTTTAATTTTTGAATTTTGTTGGCAAATAAATACAAGAGCGGTAGAGAGAGTTTTTAGAGAGGGAGAGATAAACACCAAACAGAAAAAAATTATTTTTGCCTTTATTATCGTCACTTTTAGATTTTTTCAGAGATTTGCACAGTTGACTCTCGCTAAAGAATATTAAGAAATAGAGGAATTATTTGAGTAATAATTTAAAAAAAAATTTTTTAAGGGAGAAAAAACTGTCAGGAGACAAGGATTATTGCTCAATTTATCTCCAAAAAATCAGAAAAAAAATTCCAAATCAATTTCCCATTAAAAAATAAATTAATCATCCTTCCAAAAATGTTAATTAGAATATTATTAATATTTAATTTTGTTTCAATCAGCTGTTCAACTTATGGTTATGGAGCTAATTATTGGCCAAAAACTCAAGTAGAAACTTTTTTTTTAATGAATTATAAAAATAATTAAAGCAAAAATCTAATCAGAAAATATTTCAAAATTAGTATAAAATATCCACAAAAATTGTAATATACAATATGCTCAATATAGAAGACTTAGAGTACCTACTTTGTTCAACAATCCCACCCAGGATTATGGACATAGCCCAGACTTCATCCATAAAGGGCTCTTATATCGGGAGTCTCCTATAGAGAGAGTCTAATTTCTGCAGTAAATAAGAGGAGTCTCTTATATCGGGAGTTTATTTTGACAGCACATTATAATCTCTTATATAGAGAGTGTCTTGACGTTATATAGCTTTTTCAAAAAATATTTTTAATCAAAAGATATATCCCCTCGCGAAAGCAAACAATCAACCGGACGATTATTGGGACGAATTTGAAGAAACTCCGAACGAATTTGGCGATTACGGAGTAGAAAAATTATTTGAAGATGAGTATGGAAGGGAAGAAAAAATAGAAGAAAACCCAAAAGCAAAATTTTGGAGTGAAGCTGTTGGGCCTTTTTTGTATACCTTTGATAATAAAATGGATGGAAGAAGGGGAGAAAATATTTGGAATAAAGCATTGGAAAAAATTAATTTGTTAAGAAGGCAAAAATTGGGAAATTCTTTTGGTCGATTGGTAAGAGAAAATAAAATCAGAATTTAAATCAGAAAAATCAGAATTTTTCTTTTAAAAAGAATTCTGTTTCTATAAAATTAAAATTTATGTTTAAAGAAATATCAGAACTCAGAAATTTTAATTCTAAAATTTAAAAACTCTGAAATATTAAAATCAGAATTAAGCAAAATTCTGAAATAGTTAAACCAGAAAACCAGAATTATGAAATATTTAAAATCAGAATCTACCAAAAATTCTGAAAAATAAAAATCAGAATTTAACCAGAATTTAGAAATAGGTAAACCAACAGACCAGAATTCTGAAATATTTAAATCAGAATTAAACCTAAATTCTGGTAAAGTAGAGGGCAAGAAACAGAAAATCAGAATGGGAACCATTAAACTCACTATTAAAAAATATGGGATTAATCAAAGCTTCAAAAATTAAAAAAATTAAAAATTCTTTTAATTTTCATTTTCACAGTCATGGGATGATCAACTAGCCAAAAGTTTATCAAAAAAAGATTATAACCAAATGAAGCCCTTAGCTATTCCAATAACTAACCCTTCTGATGGGATTGCATCAAATCTTCAATTTGGCATGGAAAGTTTATTTCAGGCAATAATTCGGCGTTATATACAATGCGAAAAGCGGACAGAAAATTGCCGTGTTTTACAAAATTCGAAATATAGAATTCCTATAGAGGTAACAGAGGAACCCTTGTTATAACATAATCATAATCCTCTCGCACCTCTTTTTAAAGATAAGGGCCTTTTTAATTTGGTTGGTCATTGAATGAGTAGACTCGCGATACTCTCTGACTAGGCAATACCCCTTATTATAAGGTACAGCCCATTATAACAACGATTTATTCAGCTCCAAGGGGATATCATATAATGGGTCAGAAATGTATTAAACCTGAAAAGGTCAAAACCGAGGAAAAAATTTTAAAAATACCCTGATGCTCATTTTCAGCTTGTCGACTCCAGAGCAAGAAGAATAGGATGTGTAGCTAGGGTATTCAAAAGAAGGGGAATGAGAAAATTGGAATTCGATGCTGTCTGTACTAGGTAAGGATTCCGAGGGAAAATAAAAAATAAGAATTTTTTTCAAGCGGAAATCAAAGAAACGGCCAAAATTTATTCAAAATCAGTCAAATCCAAAATTCACGTCTTCACCAAAAATTAATATCTGAGGCGAAAAATACAGAATATGATGGATATGGAAGTGTTGAAGATAAATGGAATAATAAAAATAATGAATGGAGTGAAGAAAGGCAATGGGGAGATGAAGAAAATGAGAGGGATATAGAGGAGGATAATGATGGTTTTAATGGAAGGAATGGGAAAAATGTAGATGATGATTTTAGGAGGAGGAATAGACCGAGTAGAGATGTAATGAATAAAATAAATTTTAAGATGATTTAAAATTCTTTCCAGATAGATCTAAAAATAAAGGCAGAGAGAGGCGATATATTGGAAGCTCGAGTTGATGCCATAATAAATCCAACAAGGCCATCTCTCTCCGTTGGTAGGTTAAATAAATTAAACCTTCTTTCTTATCAAAAAATTTCTTTCTCATCAGAACCCTTAAATGGAGACGAAGCAATCCCGAAAGTTTTGCGTGCAAAATCGCTCTTTGATGTTGTCGACGTAAAAGATAAGGATAGTTTGGATAAAAAGAGATTGCTCAGAGCTTTGACTAAATTGGCAAACATGGTTGAGCCAGCAAATAATTTGAGGCAAAAAGAACGTGCGACACACGCCAAAAGAAGTAGAGGAAATTTTTAAAAAATAAAACGAGGCAAGGGATTTTTTGAGGGGGATAGGGAAGAATTTATGATTGCTCATCCTCGGGCATAGCACTCAAATGCCCAATATTTTAATGATATTTATTGGAATAATCCTGATATATTTAAGTGCAATCAAAAAAAGTCCCTTATAATGTATGATACAAGAGTATTGATAAGTTATCACATTATCACCTAATCACTGATAAAAATTTCTTTCCCCTAAAGAGATACAGCAATGGCAACAAATGGTAAATGATGATCAAAAATGGGGAGAATTATTGGAAGAAGCAGAAAATCTCCCAATGGATGGATATAATAGAGGATTAGAATCAAGTGTTAGTGAAAGAATTGTTCGAAATGCGGGCCCAGTTCTAGCTAAAAAATTGGAGCAAATAGCAAAAGAAAAGGGAGGGTTGCCGGTTGGGGATGCTTTTGCTACTGAAAGTTTTCAAATTGGACGCTATTATTTTGCTAAAAGTAATTAATAGAAAATAATACAAAAATACAAAAATACAAAACGGTAAAATTGTATTTGAGGGCTATTCGAAAGAAGGTACATTAGGAAGTAAATTACATTGGCCTGCTCCCCACATATGTGAGCCAAGATATGTACATGCCCTCTAAAATTAAAAATCATAAGGGGAACCAAGCAGATTTTATACCTTGTCCTAAATTCATTTTGTAACAAAAAGGAATTCACTTCACAATTGGAAATTGAGGGTCCTCTACCAAGCAGTTCTGGCCCTCCATACAATTTTTCCCAAAAACAGAAACACAAAAACACATGAAAAGAAAAGCCCAAATCCCTTTTTTACAGAAATCATCAACACAGTACCTCCTGTAGTGCTTCAAACACAGGAGGATAAAGAAAAACTCGCCGAGTGCTACAAGAGAACATTAAATTTGGCTGTAGAATTAGAACTGCAGAAACTTGTAGAAAATATTTTTAAAAAATTAAATTATTTTTAAAGGCATTTCCGGAAATGTTATCGCCTAGAGCCGATGAAGATTTGCGCAGAGATGCCGTAAATATTGGGCTGGAAACAATTAAAAAATGGACAGAGAAGAATAAAGACAAAGCGAAAAAGGTAATAGTCAAAATTAACACGGACAGTCGGTCATGCCCTCGTATGGGGCACAGTTTTAACGATATTTCTATTCCATCTTCCATTCCAATCAAGTGTAAGGATGATTCACCTAGAGCATTTAAAAGAGGGGCAATTAGTCGATGTCCCGGTGGCTCAGTGGTAGAGCTCCTGTATATAGTGAGCAATAACTGTAGAAGGTCGCAGGTTCGAATCCTGCTCGGTGGCTAAACATTTGCTAAATTCTTTCTCAGGTTTTTAAAAGCGCTCAAAATAACCTACTCTATTTGGGCTAAAATCAAACCCTATAATTAGGTGTATATTAAATAGAGGTGGAATTTGGGTATGTTATAGTGAGTATTGATGTATAGAGCCGTTTCTTCACTCAAAAATCACAGAAATTAAACTCTAAAAAATTTTTTTTCAGATCAAAACAATCATTTTTCGAGTGGAGCAAACAATGCTTGGCTTCTATTTGGAAAGAATTAAACAAATATTCGGGCAATAAATTTATTAAAAATGTTTTTAAATTTCTCTTATGCATATTGCATCTCTTATGCATTTTTGATAACAATTAAATTTTCTATTCGTCTTATGAATTTATAGCAGGGCCTAAATCTCAAATTTTTAAAAATCCGCAAGTTTGAACTAAAAGTTTCCGCATTTTATATCAACGTAAACTCTTGTTTTTGTTAAAGAAAGAAAGCCGAATTCTCTTTTTTGCGCCAAAGGCAAAATTTTGAGGATTCCTAAGTGTACCTTTTAATATTTCAAAGAAGAGGCTTCTTTTTAGTTTCCTTATTTTGCCAATTCCGTTTTTTCTTAACGAGAGAGATTTGTTCTTCTGTTATTGTTCTGTTATATTTGTTCTTCTATCGGCACTTCTTGCCATTTAGTCTCGTCTAATTGCTGATTTATTTTCTATTTTTTAAAAGAGATTTTATAGTCAAAAAGACTTGTTCTTCGTTATTAAAATTTAAATTTGTTCGCATTGTTTAATTTTTCTAGCAAATTGGCATAGTGTTTATTAATTTTTCTCTTTCTCTCAATCTTCTACAGTATTTTCTATCGGCTGACTATAAAAGCCTTCTTCTATATAAAAGTTTCTCCCACTTCCTTACAACTCCCTCCATTATTCTAAATACTTTTAGCCTTCTAAAAAGATTTTCTTCGTGGTTTATTGTCGCTGTTGGCCTATTTTGTGGTTCCCGTCCTATACACAAAAACAAATCTCTTCGACGTTTCTTGTTTGACGGTTCTTGTTTATTCTACAACAAAGAAAGGTAAAATACAAAAATAATTTTGTAACTCTTTAGAAATTTTTTTTGTTTTTTAGATGTCTACTCCAGTCAAAATTGCTTTTTGGTGTGAATTCAAAAACATGTTCAAAATTCTTGGCGCAGTCGGACTTGGAGAAGAACTTTTGCTGACAAGTATACTATTTTTTTGTTAAATCAAAAAAATTTTCCTTTTGTTCAGGTGAAACATTCGCGTCGCCTGAATTACCTGAACTTGGTTGGAAAATCGTGTTGAAAATTTGTAGCTCAGTTGTCTATGTTTACCTCGAACAAATGGGAAAACAAAACTTCAACGGTCTAGTCACCACCAAATATAAACTGTTCGTGGTTAAATTTGGACACGAAATTTTGTTAACACGGTAGCGTAGACTGATCTTTACAATAAATTTTCATTCATAATTTAAGATCAACCAAACTTTTTGAGGATCAAACCAAATTGGGTTTCAGAGCGATTAATGTTCACCAATTGATGGAGTTTGGTTAGTTTACTAAAAAATTTGTAAAAATAAATCTAAAATTTTTAGATGTTTTAAGGATTCAGTGCAAACTTGAGGTGGATCTTTACGACAGAAACAAAAACTTCATAGCCTCTTGTAGCCAAATGTACGAAAACCAAAAATTCACCGATTGCGTTATTTTGGTAGGAGTTAATTTAACAATTAAAAAATAAAATTTATTTTTTAAGGTTGAAGGAGTCTCTATTAGTGCGCATCGATGTATTCTAGCAAAAAGTGTTGTGCTTCAGGAGATGTTAGAACAAAGTGCGGACTCGGATATGGTATATTATTTGAAGTTTGATTAAATTTTGTGGAATGTAGTAAGATTCCTGGCTTTTTTGGGTGTTACCATGGACCCGAAATTTAAAAGGAGACTAAAAATTGATTTAAAAATTGATTAAAATTCATACTTTAATTGTAAATTCAGGTTCAGAAAATCTCAATTCCTAACGCAAAACCGGAACATGTTCGAGGATTGCTGGAATTTCTGTACACCGGAGAGATAAACAAAGGACTTTTGGAGAATCACGTGGAGGAAATCTTTGTTTTGGCGCATAACTATAAAGTAGAATCTCTAAAACCTGAATGCGAAATGTTCATGTCGAGCGTGATTAGTAAGGAATTTTTTGAAAATTTTTTGGGGCTATTTTCGGGGATCCGAAATTGTTTATTTTGAAGGGGCGAGGGACTAAAAGGCTTTAGTTTAAAATTCAGGGGGAATTTTAAATTTGTGAATTATGATAATATTTTAAAATATTTTTTTCAGATAATAACAATATTGTCAACTATTGCCGTTTAATCGATTCATTTGGCGCTCCAATTCTTGAGAAGGTAAAATTAACAGAATATTCTTCTTTTACCAATATTATTTTCAGGCTATCGTACGTCATATTCGTGGACACGATGCATTTCTTCAAACGGAAGGTTGGAAATTAGCGAGGGATGCTTACCCACAATTGGGGTCTCGGTTTCTTGAAGCAGTTATTCTAGATAAATAAATATATAGATATAGAGTTCTGTGTGTGTAGGAAACGTAAGAGGTGTCGAAAAACCTAACTGCCTTAAAAATCCGAAAATAATTTTTTTTTGAAAATAAAAAATCTGAAATTTGACAGATTTTCGGAAATCCTAAAAAAAATTTTTTTCGAAAATTAAAATTTCGATTTACCTCTTACTTTAAATAAAAAATAAATGTTGTATTGTATGTGTTGTTCTCTATTTCCTTAAAGCAATATCTTGATAATTATTTTCTTTTTTGGTTGTAATAAATTTCCTCGTGTTTGACTTAGTAAGGATAAAAAAATTAGGTATTTTCCTGTTGAATACATCATATTTTAATTTAGAGTTGAAGTGAGAACTATTGTGGTGTAGTGGTTGACGTCCTCGACTACACAAGTTCTGGGCGTGGGTTCGAATCCTGTTCCATGCAAAGTTGTTTTTTAATAATTTTTTTAACTTATAAATTTTACAATAATTTTATTTTTTGTCAAAAAAATTTTTAAAGAAATTTTTTATAATATTGAAATATATTAGAAAATTAAAAAATTATAGAGACTTGAAAAAAATACAATAAAATTGCCAACATTTTATTGAAAATTATTTTTTAATCACTAATTTATAAAATATTAAACGGTATAAATTTAAATAAAAAAAAATTTATTTTAACTAGCAAAAATTCAATAATTAAAAAAAATATATTAATAATATACATATATATTGTTGTCATTTTTAAACTTTACAATTTTGTTTACACAAGCCAATCATTAAATTTTTTCAATAAAAAAAAATTTAAAACACGAATAAATAAATGGAGAGAAACATTACATATTCCCCCTTTTTTTAATTAATAAATATATCTCAATTAAATATTGAATTTAATTTTTAGTTAAATTAAAGGCTAAAACAGGTTATTTTTACTATTTTTTGTTAAATCAAAAAAATTTTATTCTGATTTTTAATAATTAATTCTGGTAAAAGTTCTGATTTGCTAGGAATTAATTTCGATTAATTCTGATTTTTAAAAATAATTCTGAAAATAATTCTGATTTTTCAGAACAATTCTGAGATAAAAATTCTGATTTTTTAAAAATAATTCTGACATAAATTCTGATTTTTTCAGAACATTTCTGACACAAATTCTGATTTTTTAAAAAGAATTCAGACAAAAATTCTGATATTTTAATAGTTAATTCTGACAAAATCATTTTGTTCTGATTTATTTTCCCCCCTTTCTAACTGACCCTTTTGTCTTTTGGTATTATGAACAAACATTCCGGGAAAATATCAAAATATCTAAAATTCGAAAAATCTCTAATTAAATTAATTAGCAGGAAAATGCGGAAATGTGCATTTCTTGTTAGAAAAGTTAATTTAATTAGTTCGCTACCTTTTACTTAATTCGATCGTTACTTGGGGTGAATTAAATTAATAAAATTTGCTCTAATTTTTCTTTTAATTTTCTAGCTTTTTCAAGTTAATTTAAAAATAAATATTTAAAAAATGGCTTTAATTTTGGCTAAAGCCAATAAATATATTTCTTCTCTTCATAATTATATTCCAATTTTATTCTTCTTCACTTCTTTATTTATTTACCAAACATTACAACAAGATGCAGGTCAAGCCTCTATGCCTAGCGCCGTTCCAACTCAACACAAAGTTGGCGTTACTGAATTAAATATGCAAAATTTGGAATTGGTTTTGAGGAGTGCTCAGGTTTGTTTTTTATTTTTACATAAAGTGGATTGATAAATTGATAAGGTTGGGGGAAGATAGGAGCATTTTGGGCCAACACCTTCCTTGTTAGCGTTTGATCGGTATTTCTCTCTATGATGTAATTAATTTTATGAAGGTCTATCTGTGGTTGTCTCGTTGGTGTATTGGTATCGTTTCCGACTACACCCACTAGGTGTTGAGGGTTCGAGTCCTTTCGGGGTTAAACTTTTTTCTTTGCATTTTTCTTCAATTTATTTTCCTTTTTAATTATTTTTCCAATCTTTCCCTGTTATTTATAATTTTTTATTATTTTTTAGATTGTATTTGTTGCGTTTTGTGCAGATTGGTGTCCTTTTAGTAGACGATTGAAACCAATATTTGAGGAAGCTGCGGTTAAATGGCACGATGACAATCCAAATAGGTTATAAATATATAAATTGTGGATAAATTCTAAAAAGTTTTCGGGATAATTTTTCAAAAATTTTACTTAAATGAATACTTTACTGGATGAAAAAAAATAAAAGGTTAAACAGAAAATAAAATTTTTGGAAGCATTTCACAGTCGAAAATATAAGCGAAGAACGCTCAAGAATTTTTTAAAAATTGTGGATGAAAGGGTAAATTTGTTTAAAAATTGAAAAAAATGATTTGGTAATTTTTGGTTTTCAAAAATTTATTTTAATTTTTTTTAAATTTTTAGTAGTGTTGTATGGGCTTTAGTTGACAGTGTTGCACAGGCTGATGTTGCTGATAAATATTTTGTTAACAAATATCCAACAATGAAGGTAATTTAAATTTTCGTGATTTTTTATTTTTTAAGGTTTTTATTAATGGCGAACTTATAAAGAATGAATACAGGTTTGGATTTTTTAATTGATTTTTTTATTTTTAACTCTGTTGAGTTCGGGAAGTTCATACTCGATTTAAAATTCTCGAGATTTTCGCATACGGAGCTAAAAATTCGGCGCAGAGACATATCCTTCTTTCCCCCCCCCCCCCCCCCCCCCGGAAAAGTCCTGATTACGCGCCTGGAATGACTTGTACCTTAGATGATGTATTTTTATGTTAAAAAAATTTTTAGGAGTACCAGATCCGTTGAGGCCTTAACCGAATTTGTTCAAAAACAACTTCAAGTCAGCATAAACGAATTCCCCACATTGGAATACCTCAATGGTGCAATTAAATCAGAAAAGAGAAATATTATTGCTTACTTCCATTGTAGAGATTGTGTGGAATATCAAAATTTTCAGGTTTTTTCTAATTAAAAATATTGTTTATTAAAATTTTTTAAAGAAAATTGCTGCTCTTTTACGCGATGATTGTGCCTTTTGGGTTGGTAGAGATGCTGCTTTGACTGCCATAAAAGAAAATATGATGTCCTTTCGTGATCCTACAACACAAGACGAGCAAAAGGTTTTTTGGTTTTTAAGGAAATTTTCTGAAAATTTTTTTCTGATTTCTTTAGTTCATTGGAAATTTTGCCGATTATGAGTTTGTCAAACACTGGTTGACTGACAAATGTATTCCTCTTGTAAGAGAAGTTACTTTTGAAAATGTTGAAGAATTAACTGAAGAAGGATTGCCTTTTCTTATACTCTTTCGCGATCCAAATGATCGAGAACAGGACAAAATGTTTACTGAAACGGTTTGAGATTTTATTTGAGTACAAGTCAGGGATGTCAAGGATTGAGAGAAAGGGGGGTCATGTTTTCAAAAATATTTTTCGGATCGGGTTTTGAGTCAAAAAATTCCAGATTTCGGATAGCCCAGTGCATCCCTGATAGGGTGTGTTTCAAGGAGAGGGGCGCTTCCGAAATGAAAAAAAATATTATAAAAGAAAATGTTTGGGGGATGAATCAGCAAGAATGAGAAATTTTTGGATTGAGATGCTATATAATTGCCTAGATTTTCGTCTATGGCCTATAGCCATTGTTTTCCCACATTTTCATTTTTTTCCGCTCTTGTTTTCTTTTACCTCTCTAAAATAATCTGCGACATTACCTAAATAGTGCTCAAACTTACCTATTTTTAAATATTTTTATTCTAGGTTGCTCGTGAATTGCATGATCAAAAGACGGCAGTTAATGCTTTACTTGCTGATGGTTTTCATTTTTTAATTTTTCCCTTAAAATATTCTTTATTCAGGTTTTAAATTTGCTCATCCTCTCAAACATATGGGTAAAACCTCTAAAGATTTGCCAGTTCTTGCTATAGACTCTTTCCAACAGTTTGTGAAATTTTATAAAATTTTTTAAAATTCTTTTTTCAATTTTTAAGTATGTTTTTGTTTGAGAATATGCATGAATTACATGAGCCTGGCAAATTAAGACAGGTTTTTTTTTGAATTTATACTACTAGTAGTTTCAGCCCTTTGTTAGTGTTCGGCACCGGATCGATACTTTCCGGTGCTACCAAAAGTACGGTATAGGCACTTTTCAGCAGGGTTCAGTCGGAAATGACTCAAAAGTCGGAAACCATGGTAAATTTTCGAAAGTCGGAATTCCGACCGATCTCAGCTTTTACTCTACCGGGACAAGATTTAGTATTTTCGGTACTTGTCGATCCCGAAAAAAGGCATTTACTGCACTAGTTTTATCTTTTAAAGAGATTCCAAAGTGTATTTTTTTTCTTTTTCTAGTTTATTATGGATTTACATTCTGGCGAACTTCACAAAAAATTCCATGAGACTTTAGATGAAAAAATTGCCGAAATTCAAAAGAAAGCACTTGAACAGCTTAACGATGATTTTGGAAGTCCTCCAAGTGAAGGAGATGGCGGTGGCGGTGCTAAACCCCCTTCAATAATGCCAAAAGACACAACACCAGTACCTTCAATATTTAAAGAATTGAAACCTTCAGAGAAGCGTTATTCTCTTTTACAAAAAACTGAGCTGTGATTGAATGAGAAGAAAAACTATAGTTTTATTTTAATAATTATAATATAATTTTGGGGGGCCTTTTAAAAAGTAATACTTATTTATTTAAAAAAAGAGTGTCTTGGGTATTTTTTAAAAATTAATTGTGGACTAAAAATGGGTGGATGATTTTTAGATATGTACTATACTATAGGTGTTGCAGGGATGACAGGGGTTACCCAAAACCTGATACCCGACCTTTTTTCCCAATTCGATCCAAGAAAAATTTTGGAAACCCGAAAACCCGACCCTACATTTTTTCTCAACCCGTGACATCCCTGATGTGTTGTAAAGGGTTTTGATTTAGAGAGGTCTCATTCTCGTTATGAAAGCAAATTTTTTGAGAAAGTTCTCTAATTTCTGAAACTGATTTCTTTTCTGAATTTTAATTTTTATAAACTGTGGGCTTCTCAAAATTCTGATTTCCTATTAAGAGAGGGGACTGGAAGAATAGACCCTCAGATTATGATTTTACCAGAATTTTTTTTTTAATTTTTGCTAATCTTATCCATTTTATGTCCACAATTAAAAGTGTTTATTTGCCTTATTAAATTACAAAAAAAAAAGATATATATTTCCCAATATAAAAGTGTAATCTACATAATATATTTTACACCCCAAAAGTATTAAAATTCTGTGATTGTGTGTGTAGTATTTAATTTTTTTGGCTATTTTTTTTCTCTTTTTAGAACTCAAAAAAATCTATTTTCTTTATATATAAATGTTTGGCTAGCAATTCTCTGAAAATTATTATAATACAAAATTACATATAGTACCCAGGCCCGTAGCCAGGAGGAATCCCCCCCCCCCCCAAATGGGGAAAAGGAAAAAAATTTGGGGAAGGGCTGAGGCCAAAAAAATGAATTTTTTTGGCCTTTGCCCCCCCCCCCCGAAAAAAATCCTGGCTACTGGCCTGATAGTACCTATTTATTTTTTTTGTTTTCTGTTGTTTTTCTTCTCTTTTTTAGTTTTCTTCTATCCTCACCAAAAATAATTCTAAAAATTAAGGTTGTGCCGGTTTATTTCTTCCTTTCCTTTTGTTGTTTTTGGGATCTTGAAAGCATATTCCTCCTCTAAATTATTTCAAGAATTTTACAAGGCTTTTACTGATATTTGAAAACAAAACTAAAATTTGTTGTCCGCAAATTTTTTGCGGACATCCGCAAATGTTCGATTTTCTTTTTAATTTTTTTCAGAAAAATTTTTATAGGGAGAGGTTTAACTAACCTAAAAATGAGTCCTTTAACCTACTATCTAACCTTCTAAAAAATATAATTGTTCACTTAATATGACTTTCCCACCACCACCAAACTTTTATTTAAATCGTTTAGATAAAAATTTGTGTTAAAAAAATTTTTTTTATTAAAAGAATTATTATTTTCTTTCAATTTATTTTTTAAAAATATTTTTTTAATTTTATTTTTAAATTTAATTTATTAGCGCAAAAAGAAAACCTCCTTTTTAATGATTCCATTAAAAAAATATTTTAAGAAAAGACGGAAAACTTAAAATGAGACAACGCCAAAAAACACCAAAAACAACCAACAAAACATCAAAAAATTCTCCAATAAAAAATAATTTGTCACCAACAAATGTTGCTGCTTCGGAAGAGAATACTTCAACAATCAAACAAATTACAAACTTTACAGAACAAATATCTGAAAAGGTTTGAATTTTTTTTTATTTTTGGCTAGGGTTCACCTTAGCAACACACTGAAAGTCATGTTTTTCTAATGTAAAAAGATGCGCTGAGTTCAAAAAACACTATTAAAGTACTCAAAACGGTGCTCGAAGGCATTTTTTCCCGGATTTTCAGACCCCTGAAAATCGAAACCTTAGGGGGGACCAAGCTGATTTTTGGGGTCAAAAATTCGAATAGGCGAATTATACCTCATTCGAAAGAGCTCGACGAGCTGAGTTGAATGACACCAAAATCAACGAAATCGGACTTGATTTGACAAAGTTATGACCGTTTGTTTTTACCCCTCCCACAAGGTTTTCGCGGAAAAAAGTTTTTGCCGCTGCGGAGAAAGCCGGGCATGTCGAGCGGAACGACGGCCGCCGCTTCGCTACGGTCGCCGCGAGCGAAGCGAGCACGACCGCAGCGAAGCACGGCCATCGTGTAGCGAAGACCATGCCCGGCCTACCCTCCGTAGCAGCACAAAAACAGTTTTTCCGGCGAAGATTCTGTTGGTCATAACTTTGTTCATAATCATCCAATCGAGTTGATTTTGGTGTCATTCAACTCAGCTCGTCGAGCTCTTTCGAATGAGGTATAATTCGCCTATTCGAATTTTTGACCCCAAAAATCAGCTTGGTCCCCCCTATGGTTTGCGATTTTCAGGGGTCTGAAAATCCGGGAAAAAATGCCTTTGAGCACCGTTTTGAGATCTTTTATAGTGTTTTTTGAACTCAGCGCATTTTATTACACTAGAAAAACGTGTTTTTTTTGTGTTGCTAAGGTGAACCCTTACCTTATTTTTTTTTTGGGGAATTGTGTGGGGGTGGGGTTTTGAAGTCTGAGAGTGATTGAGAATCCAGACTGATTGATTTAAATGAAGAAAAAAATTCGGTTCTCTAAAGGGCACCAATATTTTTGCGGATAAACATTTGCGGACAAAGCTAAGGACTAAAGACTTTTGGGGGGAATTGTGCAAGTGGTGGGGTTTAGGAAGTCTGGGATTGATTAAACGAAGGGAAAAAATCCTCTAAAATTGAAAAAAATACCTAAAGAGGCCACCCAATATTTTTGCGGATAAACATTTGCGGACAAAACTTGGAATTGGTGCAGCCCAAGTAGATGCGCAGCCATAACGGCGCAGAGCCATAACTTGCTTCAAGATTTCCAAATCTTACCAAATTTAGTATTAAACGATTCCTCTCATCGATCTAATGAAATTGATACCAAGATTGATAAGGGCCAGAAATTTTCCAGCAAATTATGGCTTTGCGCCGTTGTGGCCGCGCGTCTATTTGGGCGTGTTCCGAAAATCACAGTTAATGAGAGACTCAAGTGGTCAAAAATCGATTCGATATTTAAAAAATCGATATTATCGAATTTTATTTTTTGCCGCCAAAAGTCAATTTTTGCCACTCTTATTTGCCATTTTTTTGCTTAAAAACAAAAAAAAAATTTTTTTTGTTTTTTTAAAGATGTTGCGACTTCAACCAAAACATCAAAAAGTAAATGAATCATTAAGAGCTATACGTTCTCAAGGAGTGCGCTTACTTGGACCTGGGTCAAAAATTAGTCAAAATTCGAAAGCAAAATTGATTGCTTTATATCAGACAGCCCAAAAACAATGTGTGAGTGAACATTCGACAATTATGCAATTATTGGATAATATACAAGTATGATTTTTATATATTTTTAAAGTCGACCACATTGTAAGATACCCAATACTGGATTACCTTAATTTAAGATAACCTCAGGGAGTTTGGTTGGTTATTGGTTGAGGAAGGCCATTGGGCGTCTGCAAAATTTTGCGGATATCTGCAAACTTTTGCGGATGTCTGCGAGTTTTTTGCGGATGTCCGCAAATTTCTTGCGTATGTCCGCAATTTCTGTCGTCCGCAAAATTTTTGCGAACGTCCGCTAATGCTAATCTCTTAATTTTGTGTGTAGCAGGAGTTGTCTAAGTGATACCTTCGGTTTAGGATACACCTCGATTTAAGAAACACCTCATTATAAGGTGTGATTTTTCCAGTCCCAACGGGGGGTCTATCTTAAAAAATCTTCAAGCTCTCTAAATTTTTCTCTTACAGGCTGTTCGTCAACTACGTTTAAAACAAAGAATGGCAGACAAATTATCTCGAGGCTCGCTTATGATTTTGCTAGCGCAGCATGCTGCTACTTTGCCTTTGTATGTTGGATATATTGAAGGACATCCACCTCCTCTCGTTGGGGCAATTCCTAGATTGAATGGAGAACCTATTAGTGTCGGTCATTTTGTTGCTGCTTTTAGTGAAGATATTTGGATTCTTGGGGAAGTGAAGGTATTTTTAGTTAGAGGGGCATTCGAGTCTTTAAATTTAATTGAATAATAGTAAGTAGAGATCGGAATTTTGAAAAAACTGGGTCCAGGAAACGGGTTCTGAAGGCTGACTGGGAGGGACCCGGATCGGGGAAACGGGTCCGGGTCCCGTCTCTGATAGAAAGGGTCATTTGAGTCTCAACATTTAGGAATAGGCCGGTAGAGTCCACAAGTACTCTACCGAAACTCAGGTGTCCTGAAACTTGGAATCCATCAAAAATTAATTTAATTCCGAATTTAGGCCCATATACCAACTGATTATGGTCTAGAATATTCAATTCGAGATATTGATGATGAAGTTGAAGAGGAAGGAGGAGGTATGGTAGCTGGGACAAGTAGCAGCACCAACAACACTACTCTAACTACAAACAACGAGAAACTTTTAACTGTTGATTCAAATAAAGTAATTGCTTTACCACATTATCGAGCCGATCCTCGACGTCATGCACATGCTTTATTTCCAAAAGGGGCAATAGTTTTGGCTTTATATCCTCAAACAACTTGCTTCTATAAAGGAATTGTGGAAACACCGCCAAGTGGACCCAATGATGATTATTTGTGGGTTTTTTAAATTTTTTTTTGAAGAAGGAATTTTGTGTAAGAAGGGTGGGGAATGAATCGAAGTCTAATTTTATCCATCCAACTTCCTAACTTTTGGTTAGGGACGTTTTGACCCCTTTTGAACTCTGACCATTCTGAACCCCCTCTTTGAAATTTGCCGCTTGACCTTTCAAACTGTGACCATTTCAAATTCTGACCATTTTGTACTCTGAAACTCTCAGAAATTTTGTAAGGGAGGGAGGGGCATGAATCGAAGGTTCATTTTTATCCATCCAACTTCCTAACTTGGTTAGGACGTTTTGACCCCTTTTGAACTCTGACCTGACCATTCTGAATCCCCTCTTTGAACTCTGACCGCTTGACCTTTCAAACGGTGGCCATTTCAAATTTTCTGACCATTTTGTACTCTGAACCTTCAGACTTAGGGCTCGAAATGCTCAGTACCTCGAACTCTGTTTTCGAATTCTGACCATTTTAAACTCGGATTATTTTTCAAATTGCCCATTTCCCTATATTTTAGAATCGCATTTGAAGACTCAACCTTCTCTACGGGTTATTCCCCAACACTTCCTGTACCACAATTTTATGTTTTAACATTTCGAGATGTTTCATCTTCGACAATTTGTGCATATTTTAATAAAAATAAGAGAAAAACATTGTCCCCAGAAACAAAAGAAACATCGTCAACTTCTTCAACTTGACTTGATAAAAACAAAAAATATTGTTTGTATAACTGAATTTATCTCAATTTTATTTTTAAAAATTATTAAAAAAGGAAAAAAAATTTTTTCTTTTGATTTTTCTCCTCTTTTTCCGTCTTATTTCCGTCCAAGCCCAATTCCAACTAAATGTAAACGTTTATTCAAAACATTTGCTTCTTCCTGTTGTTCCCTCGTCCCTCTTAATTGTCTTTTATTTGATGATCGCTTCCCTAATCCAATGTGTCGCCATGCGGGGTCGAAACGTCGAACTATTTGAGGTTCGAACAATTGGTTAAGTAATCTTGAAGTTAGGCGGTTGTTGTCAAAAAAGTTGGTTGAGGAAGCTGAATAAGTTTAAACTTGTTTTAGAATTAAATGTTTTAAAATGTTTTTGGTAATAAGTTTATTTAAAAATGTTTAGGATGTTTTCAAGTTTGTTTTAGTTTAAGTTAAATTATGATGTTTGAATTAAAGTTTTAAGTTTAAATGTTTTTGAATGGTTTCGTTTGTTTTAAAGGAATGTTTTAATGTTTTGTTTCAAGTTTATGAGAAATAAGTTTATTTTAGCATGTTTGTTTTCAAGTTTGTTTTTTGGTGTTTTCAAGTTTGATGTTCGGATCAATGTTTTAAGTTTTTACATGTTTTGATTTAAGGAAAGAAAAAGTTTAATGTTTTGCTTCAAGTTTATTTATTTTCAAGTTTTAGTTTTCAAGTTTTTTAGTGTTGTTTCTAATGTTTGAATTCAAGTTTATTTTGTTTGTTTCAAGTTTTAGCGTTTAAATTCAAGTTGGTTACAAGTTCAGTTATTTTCAAGTTTACTCTTAAATATTCAAGTTTAATCTTAAAATCTAAGTTTAATCTTAAAACTTACGATATCCTTCAACGATGCTTGAAATTTTCAAACTAATAACTAGCAAAATTGTAAATATAATTCTGTTATTCATATTTTCGGTTGCTAATTGCATTAAATAAATATTTATATTTCGTAGAATGATTTGGAGAGGAATGTTAAAGCTTGCCAGTTTTTTTCTTTTTAATATCTCTTCATTTCTCCAAATTGCTAGTTTTATACATCAAATCCGGTGAAGGGCACATTTAACGTAAAAAAATAATAAGAAGGTGGCCGTTTTAAGATTTTCATGGCAAATAAGCGTGGGCATAATTTTAAAGAAAAATTTTTAATTTATAGGTTAGAGATTTGGTAAATTAGAGGGAAAAGATGGGAGAGAAAAATGTGAGAAGGGGAGGGATATTTTAAGTAAAAAGGTATCATTTACGTAGCAACAATTTTGATAATTTTTGAACAAAAAAAAATTGAAATTTTAAAATTAGAAAATTTTAAATTGAAAGGTTTATTTAAAAATGATTTTCTATGGTAAAAAAGGAATGATGTAAATTCTATTTTTGCCAAGAAAAAAGCCATCGAAAGATGGCTTTTCTAAAAGAAAGATGACCAAAAATCTTTTTAAAAAAACGAGAACTAATATTTATTTTTTTCAATATTTTTTTAAAAATATACAAAAAAAACAATATAAAAATAACCTAAAATTTTTTTATCCTGTTGGATCTCTTTGAAATTTGAAAACGCCTTTTGGAATTTGCTTCAACCGGAACACAACACTAATATTGTATAACCTCCTGTTTTCTTCATGTAAATGGTTGAGCCTGTTGGGAAAAATGAGTATTAATATAAGATTCCTATACGCCCTCCCTCCCACCCCCTGGGATAAAAAGTCAAAAATCAAAAAATACCAAACAGAAGCATATTCATTGCTATGAATCCCCAAAACAGCCAATGCCAAAATTGTTTGATCCGATTGTTGATGTACATTAATTTGAGGGCCTTCATCCCATAAAAGTTTATGCAACTCTTCAGGCGTTTCTACATTGTGTGAAGTACGTAAATCCACCCATTCCTCATCCTCTCTAATAGTTGGTGGGGCGCTCAATACAAGATAATTTAACTGTTAGAAAGTTGGGGGATTTAAAAGAAATTTAATTTTAAAGAATACCATTCGCTCTCTAACCCAAACGCGAAAAGGTCCATCAACATAACATGTACAATTGTCTGGCAAATCCCAAATTAATTTCTTTTGTAGAGGACTTTGAGCACTCACAACCCAATTAAAACGGTCTTGAACTTCGAGGAAAGGAGCCTTAAAATTAAAATTTTTAGGTTAAAAAATTTTAAAAATACCTTGAAGCTTGTTATTTGAGTCCCGGCATCTCTACACATTGTTTTTAGGGCAACTCGAGCTAATTCAACATCCATCAATTTCTTTCCTTCGACTAATCGTCTGTCCAAATAACTGAAAAAAGGGGGAAATATTGTTTTTTAATTTTTAAAATTATTTTTGGGTGGCTGAAATGGAGATTTTAATTTTCCAAGATAGTTAAGCCGAATTAAAAAAAATTAAGAAAATTTTTTTAAATTTCAGGTCAGTTGAAATTTTTAAACTTTCAATTGTGTCGTTTTTATAATTTTCCCGACCCCCTAAATTTTTATTTTTTAAGAAAAAATTTGTTCACTTACTGGTTTGTGTATTTCAATTTTGGTAGCCAATACAACTGCCTTTTAACCTTTTTTGTAGCATAACCCCAAGTACCAAAACGTTTTTCCATTATATCGTGTATTTCTTTGTCAGGAAGAACTCCTAATTTTAAAAATTAATTAAAATATTTTTTAAATTTAATTTACCGTTAGATTCCATTGCGTCCATCAATTTTATTGCACACTCTTGATGCAAGGGATAATGCCAAAATGCTCTCTAAAATGAATTAAATTTAATCGAAAATTCGAAGGTTTGCGTTATATTCAGTGGTGGCCGAATGGTTAATGTGTTAGGCTATGTACTGAAGGTGTTAAGGGTTCGAGTCCGTTTGTTTCCCAAGGGGCGTGTTTTTAGGTTTTTGGCGATTTTTGATGATAAAAAAATTTTTTGGGGTGTTTAAGTGTTAAATAATTTTTTCTTAGGATTTTTATAAAATTCTAAAAAATTTTCTAAATTTAAAGAAAACCTGAATCGGATTTTCCGGTACAAAATCTCCCTCAGGAAAGACTTTTAATAATTCCTTATAAACATCCAAATCTTTGTGGACTCCAAATGCTTTCATATTATTCCTTCCAGCATTAATGAATTCTACTTGCCCGCCTCCTCGTTTACCTCTTGACATGACAAAAAGTTCTGTGAATTTTTTAGAAAAAAATTTTTATGAAAAATTTCCAAAAAAAACATACTAACGCATTGAAGAAAAGCTTCCTTTGTTTTGTCAGCAACTTCACTTTCTTTTTGAAAAAATTCGTCCCAAATAATTGGTTGAGTTGTTTTGTAATTTGGTTTGCTGCTACATTGGTAGGCTTGAAAAACTCGCAAATAAATTAATTTTTCTCTTCTTAGAAGGAAATATTGTTTAGAATTTCTGATAAATAATGATTTTAGCATTAATCTAAAAATATGCACCTTTTGAATTTTCTAAAGAAAAAATAAATTTAAGTTGATTCCGGAAATGAAAATTTTTTATTTCTGAAAACACGAGAAAATAGCGTGGAAAATGAGGAGAGTGACTTTTCGTTATAGCCATTTTGTCGCGAGCTATTTTGTCGCGGACGGATAACGTTCCCTGTTTCTCTTGTTAAAATTCTTCCAGTATGCCGAACTTGTAGCAAAATTTCTGCGCTATCGAATGTCATCATTTAAATTTTAAACTGGTCCTCGATTATCAAAAATGGACCCTCAACAAATTTTACAAGTCCGCGACAAAGTGGCCGTCACTGAAAAATTTTTTTGCGGAGCAGTTCAACTGAGTCCGCACGATTGAGTCCCCACGATTGAGTCCGCACGATTGAGTCCCCACGATTGAGTCCCGGCACAATTGAGTCCCCACGATTGAGTCCGCACGATTGAGTCCCCACGATTGAGTCCCGGCACAGTTGAGTCCCCACGATTGAGTCCGCACGATTGAGTCCCCACGATTGAGTCCCGGCACAATTGAGTCCCCACGATTGAGTCCGCACGATTGAGTCCCCGTTGTATATACCTCAATTGAGTCCCCGTGGATTTAATTTTAAAAATTCCCGGTAGGGGACACTTGTGTACCGGCCGTTTGTGTACCGCCGGTTGTGTACCCACCCAAAGGGGGACGTTTGTGTACCCGCATTATTTTCCTAGATTTTTTTATTGTTTTTTTTTTATTTTTTTGTTTTTCTTTTGGGGTTTGCAACTAATTTTGTTAATTAGTTGACCGAGCATCCACTCAAGTCCATCCGAGCACTGAATTTTCTCAATGAGGACGAGAGGGAGGACGAGAATCTTGTGTAGGTAAAAGTTTAATTTTTATTTTTTAATTTTAGATTTTATATTTCAGGTTGGTCTAACTTTGCTCATCACGTGTCGGACTTCATCCACGGCTGCAACGATGGGAAATTTGAAAAGGTTTGGAATTTTTATTTTGTTTTTCGTTTTTATTTTTAAAATTTTTTAGTTGATTTTCGTCAGTTTCTGACTGGCGATTTTCAAGTTCACAGTTTCTGAAGGAACGAAGGTGGTGAACTTAGGAGAACAAATAACGAAAGAAAGGCCCTTCTTTGGCACACTAATTGAAGCTAGACTTTGGTTTTTTTTAATTTTTTTGATAAAATTTTTAAAAAATATTTTTTTATTTTTTTTTTTCACATTTTGATTTTCTCCCGTATCCAGGTAAATTCTGCCGGAGTCCGAAAATTAGGAAGGAGTTTTTACGTTCGTAATTTAGATAGTTTCCCCTACCCTCCATAGCAGCACAAAAAGTTTTTCCAGCGAAGATTCTGTTGGTCAAAATTTGTTCAGAATCATTCAATCAACTTGATTTTGGTCTTATTCAACTCATCTCGTCGATCCCTTTCGAATGAGCTATTTTTTGTTTATTCGAATGTTTCGCAACAAAAATTCCCCATGGAATTCCACCAAAAAATCCACCATTTCGAGCCCCATATCTCGGCGAGAACTTGTTCAACAATGTTGATTTTGGTGTCATTCGACTCACTACTTTCGAATGAGCTGTCATTCAAAAAATCTCTCGATATCCCTCCTAATCCCCAAACCCACAATATCCATCTTAATCTCTCCGAATTTGTTGATATCTGCCTTAATTCAACCGATATCCCCGCTTAAATCTACTTATATCCCTTGATATTCACCAATATCCATCTTGATACCTCGATGTCGCATACAAGTCCCCTGATATTAACATTAATCCCTCCAAATCCCCAAATATCCCTCTTAATCTTTTTTAATATAATTAAATCCACGGGGACTCAATTGAGGTATATACAACGGGGACTCAATCGTGCGGACTCAATCGTGGGGACTCAATTGTGCCGGGACTCAATCGTGGGGACTCAATCGTGGGGACTCAATCGTGAGGACTCAATCGTGCGGACTCAATTGAGGTGTACCGATTTTTTTGTTAAAATATCAAAATGGTAAAATGTCATTTTGTAAAATTCCAAAACAACAAATCCTTTACATTTTTTACACTTCCTTGAAATTCTTCAAGATCCACAACTTTTTTTTGCAATTTTTCTTCAAGCATTTTCAACGTTTTTTATGTCTTTTAAATGATACTCTCCATTTTTTTGCAAAAATTCTCTATTAAATCAATCATAGAGACAAATGTTCATCATTTTTATGAGTCATCATTCTCCTCAAATTGCCACACATTTTTTGTTTTTATTTTATTACACATTTTGCATTTTATCTTTTAGAGATGGTCACGTTGAAGAAATTTTTTTTCTTTAAATACATGTTGTAAAAATGTTTAACATTTTTTGGGGACAGGAAATAATTTAATATTTAATTAACAACTTATGTATAGGGGTTAAAAGTAGATCGCGCTGTCATTCTTTGTTCTTTTTCAAGTTTTTTGGGTGGGTGACTAACCCAGAGATCGAGCTGGGTCTGTACCATGGCCTGGGTTTTTTCTGTACTCAGAGTCCAGGACTAGGCATTTTTTGACCTTCCTGGGTTTTTCCTGGGCCTGGGTTTTTACTAGACTACAGGCCTATTTAGGTCAATAAATCAAACCCTGTAACAGTCCCAGGCTTTATAAAAATCTCGATCTCTAGTGACTAACCCAGAAATGGTTATTTTTAAAAAGTCGGGTCAGAGACCACCAACCCGGAGTCCGGGTTGGTGGTCTCTGACCCGACGTGACTCAGATCAGTTCGTTCGATGACTGAACGTTTTCCTCACTAATTTACCCATTTTCTGTTAATATTCAAAATTTTCTTTTTATTTTTCAGAGCAAAAAATGTATGTTGCAGCCACAAAACAATATCAACAACAACCGCCTCAACCCTTTATTAACGGGGAAAGGAAAAGGAGCAAAAAAGAGCGTCCAAAACCTTTTGGCTCTTCTCTAGTCACAAATACAGAAAATTTACAACTTTTCCAAGTTTTGGGAAGAGATCGTATTTCTACTATGGCTGGGGTTGCTCAATTGTTAGATGTCCATCCAAACAGCCCAAATGTTTGGAGAAAAGTTAATGTTGGTTTGGCAGTCTTGACAAAGGATTATGCTAAAAAACATTACTCAATGTGCCTATATGACATTATGAATCAAAAAATTGTTTGGGATCAAGTTTTGTAAGCGGTTTTTTGTTTTTATTTTTGTGGGTTTTGGGAGGGGAATGTGGTTCTTTTTTAAGGAGAAGTGGGATTTTAATTATTTTTCAAAAGCTGGGATTTTTAGTTGAAAATTGGGAATTTTGAACTTTAAGGCTCCAATTTTTCGTTTCTTCCTATTTTTTCTTTTAATGACTAACTCAAGCAGGGTTTAATAACTTTTTCTATGGAAAAGCTATCATTCCATATGTATGACAAATTTGTTTGCCATGTGAATGAAAATTGTGCTCCTATACAGGCCCGTAGCCTGTGGGTGGGAGCCTGCTCCTATTTTTCAGAATTGGTCAAAAAAGTTTCATTATACATCGTTTATACGAAATATTTTTTAATTTTAGATTTTCTTAAAATATATTTTTTAGATACAAAAACTTTGAAGCACAATTTTATGAGAAATGTCTACGTTTTATTACATTTGAAGGCGATACTTGTCCATATGCATTAAACTTTTCTGATTCTGAAGAGGCGGAAAAGTTCAAACATATGTTAACATTAACTATAAGACGAACTAACAATCCTAGGAATGATTCAGGTTTTCTTTTTTGTTAAACGATTTTTGGGTATTTTTTTTGGTATTTTGTCTGTTTTTAGTCTTATTTTTTGAAAAATGGGATTGAAGAGTTGATAGTTTCTAACATGCAGTCAGTGGGGTGGAGTAGTCCAGTATTTTTTGAAAAAAAAGCCTTTTGTCTATTTTTCTAGTTAACATCGAATTTCTTTAAAAAAATTTTCCAAAACTAGGGTTGATAAGATCATAAAATTTAATTCCCAGCAAATAACTAGCCGTAATTTTGATTTTCGAGTTCATTTATGATTTTTGAAAAAAATTTCGTAGGAGGATTTTCATTTAATTTTGACCTGTTTTTTTTTATTTTTGAATGACTTGAACTCTTCGTTCGGCTTTTGGGTTCCTCAAAAAAATTTCTAAAAAAATTTTACATAAGGCAATCCGCAAAAAATGTCCGCAGAAAGGGGTTAGGGATAACGGAAAAGTACCATTTTTTGATTAAACTTTTTAATTTTTTAAAGTCAAACCTCTAGTTCAACACCCTCAAAATTATGTGCCGTGTTTCGCTAATCAATTATCCCCTACAGCTCCAAATAATTTTAAAAAATCACCAAACCAAAATGGCTCAAACTTTCAAATGCCAACAGGAATAACGAATATGGGGACTGGTAAATAGAAGAATTTTTGAAAATTTTTGGAAAATATTTTTTCTTCAAGTTCCACATGTTGGCTCATCTTTGCAACAATTTTTTTCTCCAAAAAAGAAGAAACAATCTAAAAAGGATAAAAATGCTGGTGGACGTCCACCTCTTACAAAAGAAGATATTGGAGCTCCAACTGGCTTTGAGTATAAAAATTTTTTCTTTAAAATTACTTTTTGAGTTAAATTCTGAAATCTTGGGAAAGGGCTTCAAAAAATTTTTTTTCGTAAATTTTTTCTCAGAACCGAGCTTTCTCCAATATTTTCTGTAATAGTGCCGTTCGTTTCCTTCTTTTTTTCACTTTTTATTTTTGGTTATCACTGCTTACCTTTGGATTCTTTAAACGTTCGTTTTTGGACGGAAAAATCTACGAGAGGATTTAATCTCTTAAAATTTTGATTCCAAGAGGGTCTTTTAAAATTCTGCATGGTTCAACAGTACCTGAAAAGTATCTTGAAGGATACTGAAATTGTCAAGGTTCGAAATTCGTAAAGGTATTGGCCTTGTAGCAGACTGTGGGGGGGGGGGGGTTTTCCCGTCCGAGACCATCCTTTAGATTTTCACTATTTCTAATAGAATCTGATTTTTAGACACTTAAATGTTCTATCAACCTGAAAAAATCAAAAAAAAATTTAATTTTAGGCACAGAGTCCATATTGGTTGGGATGCTTTGAGTGGTTTTAACAATGAAAGTCAAGGTGCTCCAATGGATGAAACAGTTCGTCGATTACTTTGTGAAATTGGACACAATCCTGGCGAAATGAAAAAAAGCGAATTAAAATTTGCTCAAAAATTTATTACTAATTATAATGTTGAACAATTACAAGCATCAAAGCCTTTACAAAATGATTTTAATAATTTTAATTTGAATAATAATAATAGTATTGTTGTTGGACAAGTTGTTAATCAACATCAACAGGTTCGGTTGTTTTTTTGCTTATTTTTTTTGGTTTTACAGTGAGGTAGGTAAGAATTTGGGTTGGAGGATTTTTTTCCAATCAGAGAAGGCCCAGTTTTATGTTTCGACCCAAAAAATTTTTTATGTTTTGGCCCAAAAATAGCCCCCCCCCCCTCTCCAGAGTCCAAAAAACGCTACTCTTGTTTTGCCCCTACTCATATCAGGGTATTTTTCTTTTTTTTCTATAGTCCAGTTCATTCTTATAGTCCAGTAGGGCTGACGGAAAACTCTTCAAAGTGTCGGAATGTTTTTGTTTCTGTTCTTTTGGCTCTGAATATCCAAAAGACTTTCCACAAACCGACAACCTTATCGATAACTCAAATTTGTCCTTATATCCAAATTTTGTTTATTATTTTTTAAATTATAATAATTTTTAGACTAGCTCAAATCCACCGCCTCCAATTTTCACAAATTCAAATTATCCTCCACCACCACAACGTATTCAAGGGGCTTCTTTGAGCAGCAATATTATTGTTAAGCAACAACAAAATGCTTCAACAGTTATTTCACCTCCTCGTCCTCAAAATTTGCCTACTAATAAAAATATAATTCAGCCACCAAAGTTAAAACCACCACCTCCACCTGTTCCACCTGTGGTTAAAGAGGTTTATTTTCAAGAAATTTTTTTGGGGGGCTGAAAATTTTATTTTTCAAGTCATCTCCACCGCTTCAAAATGCTATGGATAAGAATTCTTCAGCGCCGGGGGGACCACCTCCTCCTCCTCCACCGCCATGTCCGCCTCCACCGCCATCTTTACTTTCAAAACAATTTTTGAGAGAGAATACAGAAAATATACCCAAAAATCAATGTCAACTTCAAGCAGCTCATCCACCACCACCCCCTCCTCCACCACCGCCAATTGATAATAAAGCAAATCTTCTTCAACAAATTCAACAAGGAGCAAATTTGCGTAAAGTTGGATTTCCTCCAGATGATAGAAAGCCTGTGCCTACAAATCCTCCAAATTTGAGGGATAGTATGATGGAACAAATTAAGCAGGGGACAAGTTTGAAACATGTTTGTATTTTTTTTTATAATTTTTATAAATCTTCCCAAGTGGGTTGGAGGCAGCCATGTCAAAGATTTTTGGGAATTTGTGGGGTTGGGTTTCGGTCAATAAAAAATTGAGTTTGAATAATCCATTACAGCCCTGGTTGGGTTAGGTAAAAAATTTTTTTCTGGATTAACAGTGAGTGAGTTTTTCTGTTTTGTCCACGAAAAACATAAATGAATAATATAACTCCTCCTCTTTGGTCTCTCTCCTCTACAATCTAAAGACTTATGCCTACAAGTGGCACTGTCGGGTTGTGTTTCGGTCTGGGCTCATTCCATGAGTTTTTCTACTTCATCTCCCATCCAATCCCGGTTTCTGCATATGGGGGATTTTTTAAATTTTTGGATTCGGGACAAATACACGAAGTGAGTAAGGCGTAAAAATTAACTGGATATTTTTGGACCTGTCCAATTCTTCTATTAATATCTCAAAAATTTGATAGGTCGATCAAGCAACAGTTGAACAAAATCGTCGTTCTGGTGGTGGATTACAAGATTTTACTGGAATGGCAGGAGCATTGGCTAGAGCTTTAGAGGAAAGGAGGAAAAATATACGGCCTGACGGTTTATTTTTATGATTTTCTAAGAAATTTTTTGAAATTTTGTTACAGATTCTTCTGATTCTTCAAGCGATAGTAGTACAGACAGTGAATGGGGAGAGGATTCATAAGAGGAGGAAAGGTAGTTTCTTTGTGTTATCTAAAAAGAGGTTTGATTTTGAAAGAAAATTTAAATTTTATATATCCACAAAAACTAATACTTGATAGAGTTTAACTGACTTGAGAAAATAAAAAAATGTGTTAATAATATTTTTATTCACATATAAATATTTTGAACAGTTAAAGGTGGAAATGTTTTAAGTTTTGATTTAGACATTTCTTGGTTTAGAGGGGGTTAAATCATAAGCTGGATTTTCTCGGGTAGGATATGAAACCAAAACTGGTAAATGCCAAATATCGCAACACCTAGTCCTTTAAATAATGAACATCCAAAAACCCTTGAAAAAAAACCCAACCTGTAAAAATAAAATTTATAATTTTATATTTTTAAGAGGCTAGGTAATTTTCTTGGGGGGTTTTTTAATTTTTCTTTTGTAATTTTAATAAAAAAATATTTAAAGTTTCCACCTTTTGCTGTTTGTCATAAAAATATAAATTTTTTTATTATTAAATTCAGAAAAAAAGATGTGTTTAACCCAAATTCTGTTTGTTTTTTAAATATGTACATATATGACTTAATTTTGGTTTTTAGAGAAGGAATTTGCATATTTAATTTTTTTTGTGTTTTTATTAGTCAATATATATATATTTAAATTTAATTTTGGCCTTGCCCTTATAATATGTTTAGTTGTTTAAAAATATATGTACACGTTGCAGACATGCCGCTTTCATTGGAAATTTATAAATTAAAAAAAAATAAATTGAACACGTCCAAATGGTTAAAAAATTTTTTTGAGAATTTTTTTTTTGAAATTTTTGATAAAATTGTTGGTTTTTTTTCATTTTTGGTCATATTTGGATGTGTTTATTAATTAATATCAATTATATCTTTAGGTAAATACTAGAGTTTAAAATTAGTAAAATACCGGATCTTCCGGATTTTTAAATTTTTTTTCTATCCGGACCGGATTTTCTTGATCAGAACTCGGAAAATCCGGGTTTTATCAAACTACCCGGATTTTGGATCCGGTCCGGGTTTAAACTCTAGTAAATACACATTTACAGCTTTTCCTGTTCCACTAAATATCAATTATATAATTAGATTGTTTTTTTTTCTTTCCCAACTTTTTGCTAGCTCAAATAAATCACTTAAATTTTAACTCTATCAATTTTATTCTAAAAAAAATAAAAATAAATAAATATATTTTTAATGTAAAAGGAGTTTTTTAAAGTTTTTTAGAATTTTGGTTAATTAAAAGCCATGAAATTATTTTTTTTCTTTTCTTTTTTTTTTAATTTTTGAAAGGTTTTTAGGAAGCCAATAAATGGTTGTTAATAAAGACAAATTAATGCAAAAAGAATTTGAACAAAAATGTAAAATTGAGACTATTCGTTGTGCTGGAAGATGTGATATTGAATTGGGGGATATTACAAAACATAATGTTATGGTTTGGAAATTTTTTTATTTTTTTTAAATTTTATTTTGAGTTTTTAATTTGGGAGGATTTTAGGGTATTTTTTGTCATTTTTTAACTTTATCAAAAATATAGGGTAGCACTCCCTCGAAACTCCGACCCGACCCACGAAGGCTCTACACTGATAAAATCCGAAGACCGACACTCCTGCCCTCGAAGGCTAGGGGTGCTACCCTGCTATAAAGGTAGGCGCTTTGGTTTAGCGTCTATGTCCTGGAAATGCATTTTTTTTTATGCTTCTTGGAAATATTCTTTAAATTTGGAACTACACCTCAACTTCGATTTTTTAAATTTCACTTAGGAAGCGCGTCCTAAACGTAAGTCTTGAGCTCAGGCCTAGACGATATCTGATTGTGAGTAGAAAATTGCGCTATCTGAATTTTAATGTCGATCTGACTCTTAAATCGATCCTTAAGCCAATGCCTCTATTTAAAAAAATGGGGATGAGTTAAAAAAGATGGGACAATTGAACTTTCCAACAAAAATTTTTTTGTCCGCAAGTTTTGTCCGCAAATATTTTTTTTCATTTTTAGCAATTAAAACGTCTCAATTTGGCTGTTTTTCCAATTTGTTATAACGAAAAATTTTATAAAGAAGTTATTAATGCTGGAGATTTGGCAAAATTGGCTTATTTTAATGATATAATTGTTGGGGGTGTTTATTGCCGTATTGATAATTTGGATGGAATTAAGAAATTGTATATTATGACGTTGGGAACTCTTGCACCTTATCGACGGTTTTTTTTAAATTTTTTTTATTAAAATGAGTTGAGTTTTTTTTATTTTTGGGGATTCTTTCAGAAAATATGAAAAAATTTTTTTGATTAGCCTTGGGGTTTTTTGTCCTCAAAATTTGTCCGCAAATGTTTTTTTTTCCGAGATTTTATTTTTTGTTTCTGAATTTTTATTTTGTTAATCCTGAATTTTTTCTTTTTTCATGTATTCAAAAATTTGAACTGTTTTTGAAATTTTTTTTGTCCGCAAATTCTGTCCGCAAATATTTTTCATATTTTTTTTGTTTAAATTTTCCAAGGTTTTTTTTTTCATTTTGAATTTTTATGAGATGGTTTCTAAATTTTAATTTTTGATAGTTTACACAAAAAATTTTTGTTGATTAAATTTTTTCCTTTTAAATTTAACAGATTTGGTGTAGGTACTCTCTTACTCGAGCATGTTTTTTCTCTTTGTAACAAGGATATCCAAATCAAATGTGTTACTTTACACGTCCAAACAAACAATGAAAGTGCTCTAAATTTTTACAAAAAATTTGATTTTAAAGTTGTTGGAAGAGTTGATAAATATTATAAAAGAATAGAGCCTGATGATGCTTTTGTTCTTGAAAAGGAGGTTAATTAGAGTATAATTGGGTAGTTGGAAGGTGAAAAATATTAGTTGAAGTTAAATTTAAAAATGTTATAATAATTATTATTTTTTTCGTTCTTACTTTGGTAGAGTATTTTTTGGTTGTGTGGTCATGTCCGCAAAAAATTTTTTTCGTCCGCAAAAAATTTTTTTGTCCGCAAATTTTATCCGCAAAAAATTTTTTTGTCCGCAAAAAAAAATTTTTTTGTCCGCAAAAAATTTTTTTCTGTCCGCAAATTATAAATTTGTTTAATTTTGGAAGTAATATTAATAGGAAAGCAAATTTATAAAATTATAGACATGAATATTTTTTTGACCACATAAAAATTCCAAAAAAATTCTACCAAAAAATAAATTTGCCTCTGTTGTTTTATGTATAAAATGGTTTTTAAATTAATTTTTGAATTTAATTTTGTTTTAATTATTTTTAAAATAATATTTTATATTTTTAATTTATGTTTTAACATTTATAGAGTATTTTTGATTATTTGGTCCATATCTGCAAAAAAAAATTTTTTGTCCGCAAAAAATTTTTTTGTCCGCAAGTTTTGTCCGCAAAAAAATTTTTTTCTAATTTGTGTGTGGCCATGTTTTTGTTTATCTTTTTATTTAAGCTAATTTATTTTAATATTTTTTAAACACAAAAAAAAATTAAAATTGACCCCTCGATATCATTTTTGAATTTTTTTTTGGCCTTAAAAAATTTTTTTCTAGATGAAAAAGCAGCCAATTTATCAGAAAAGAAAGGCGGAAATAAATTATAAAAAGGGAGTAGTCATTTTAATATTTTATTTTTTCAGTATATCAATGAAAAAATGTTTTTATGGCGTCAATGGAATTTTTTTACTTTAATAAATTGACTGGAAGTGCAAATAAATTTCTCTTGTAACCTAACCCAGAAGATCAACGCAGGCGCATAAACAATTTAGTGGTGATCTTCTGGAACATGTCGATTTGTCCTTTTTTTATTTTAGGGTAAAAGAAGAGAGGGGGGGGGGGTTATTTTGTAGTGGTGGTTTGTAAGTGGCAATGTCGCCGCCTTTTTATTTTGGTTCCTAGCCAAATATCAAAAAGAGAGTTTGTTTGTGTCTATTCATTCCTTTTTGTGTTGACACTTGTAGTGTATTTTTTGGGCACGTGTTATTTTTATAAATCTTTTATTGAAAGCCAATATCCTCTCTTTTGTTTTCTTTTTTTTATTGTTATTAAAAGCATGTATAAGCTGGCTTATACATATTAATAAGAATAAGTTACCCCTTTGTTATTCAAAATTAAAAAGATTTTTTCTGAAGAATATTGGGTCAGAAAAAATAAAAATTGTTTGTGTTAGTGTGTGGTCAAGTTGGTAAGCTTTCTGCTTTTGGGGGTGAGGTCGTGTGTTCGGTTCCTTTTGAGTCCTATTAATTTTAATTTGTTTCTTTTTTCATTTTTAGATGTTGTAAATTTTTTTCTTTAAAGTATTCTTTACTTTTTATTTTTTCTTATGGGAGAACCTTTAAAGCTTGAATGGCCTGTACTTTTTGGAAAACTTGTTGAAGCAGTTACTGATGTTGGTGCTGATGAAGAAATTAATTTTTTGATGTTAACTGAAAGCGAGGTTATTTTTAAAGATTTTTAGAAGAGGTTTCATTTTAATTTTTTAGAAAGAGAATTCTGATGATTGGACTGATAATTTATTTTGTGACTGTACAGCAATGACTATAATCGATAAATTTGGAGAAATGGTAGCTGTTGTCCCTTTACATCAAATAGCATCGGTATTTGTTTAAATTAAAATTTTTGGGGATTTTAGGTGTTTAACATTAAGTTTTTATTTTATCCTCCAAGTTTTTTAGTCTTAAGCTTTAGAGAAGGTCCTTTCTACAGAGATACTGTGTTTAGATATTTTCTCTGAAAATTTTTGAAATTGTTTTCATGGATATTTTTCTATTTCTTTAGAACCTAAAATAGTTTTTTCCTCTCCTGTCAGCTCGATAGTCTTCAATTTTCCCAATATTTATCAAAAATATCCATGAGATTTCCCGTCGTTTTTTAATTTAAACTCCAAAAAAATCGTTTTAAGTTTATCTAGAATTTAATGGATGACGGGAACACTTGATTGGGTTTTTGATAAATATTCAAAATCTTTTTGAATTTTCAGTTCTAAAATTTTTTTGTTCACGAACTACTTGAAAATTTAAAATTTATTTTAAATTTTTTCTAAGGTCGGTCTATTACCCTCTAAAAATATTCTGTCAGTGAGAATTGGAGATGTCAATATATCCAAAGATTTGTTTGATTTGTTAATTATTTATGTTCCAAATGAAGCAATTGCTAAAGAAATTTGTCAACATTTTGTTAATTGTTTTCAATTTATTTATCGAGAAGCTATTAGTGAATTTGAAAAGGAGGTGGTGGATGGAGAAGATGTTTTTTTGGTGGAACAACAAAATTTGGATTTGGAAAGTTTGTTTACCTTTTTTTTTATTTATTTAGTCTAATTAGGAATTTTTTAAAAATTCTTTGCGTAGATTTTCGAAGAGGCAGAAGCCCCCATAGGCAGGGAAACTCTTCGAAAACTTACCCAAAAAATTATTTTTTCAATTTGTAAAGGTTAGTGATTTTACTCCATCCCAGGAAGACATATGTTATGAAAGTCTTTGAGGCTACCTCTTGAAAAATTATTTTATAGAAAAATTTTTTCGAGTATTGTTCCAACAATTTCAACTGTGAAAATATATTATAAAAAAAAATTTTTTTTTAATTTTTTTTTCAGAGAAATTCCTCCCCGCAACATTAATTTCCTCATCATCAACATCAGCAAGTTTGTGTTCTTCACCAATTTCAAGTATTTTTCAACAACAATTTAAAACAACAACGTGTTTAAAAATTGAAGAAGAAAATTTAAATAAAAATAATTATTTAAAAACAAATTCAACAACAACAACTTCAAGCCTTTCCTCTTCTTCTAATTTATCAACAATAAATATTTGTGGTGGAAGTGGAAGTTATGTTGAATTAATTAATGAATACTTAACTGATGTGAGTTTTAGAGGTTTTTTTTAATTTTTATTTTTTTTTGAATTAAGAAAATTTATTTTTGGGGAAAATTTTTGGAAAAAATTTTTTCTCCAAGAAATAAATTAAAATGAGTCGAAGGGAAATTTGTTTGGTTAATTTTCCCTCATTTCCCTAGATATGTAAATTGTTTTTATTAAAATTTGTTTTGATGGTAGATGTGGTGTAGTGGTTAGCGTTACTGAATATGTTAATTTCACTGTGTGGGTTCGAATCCTTTATGCGTAATCTTTTTAGTTTTGACGATTTTTAGGGTGTTTTCGATAGAAAAAAAAACTTTTTAAATAGGAAAAATTTTCCAAAATTTTTCAAAATTTTTTTCTGCATTTTTCACATTCTACTTTTTTTTAAAAAATTCTTATCAATTTTTTATTACTTCCATTCCTCTCTACTCTCCTAATCTTTTATCTTTATTTTTTTAATTATTGTCACTTTAAAAGGAAAAATTGAAATATGAAGACATATATAAACACTTTAAAAAAAAGAGGCCATTTTAGCATTTTTTTAATGTTTATTTATTTGTGTACTATATAAGGAAAAGATTAAAAAAATAAAAGAGAAAAAGCCCTTGTATTTGGGGGGAGGGTAAAATGAATCCATGAGAGAAATGGAAGGAAAAAAAAATTTTTTTTAATTAAAAAATACTAAATCCATTAATGTTGGGAGGGGATATTTATTTTTTTATTTTAGGATTTTTATTTTTACGAGTATTTTGATTTTTTATTTCGTAGGGTTTGTGTGAATGTCTTAAATTTTATTATTTTCTTGCGGGCAAATTTTGCGGACATTGAATTTTTGCGGACAAAAATTTGCGGACACTTTATTTATTGCGGACACATTTTTTAACATGCGGACAATTTTTTTAAACCTAAAAATAAATTTTTCCTCAATAATACAAACATTTTAAATAATTTTTTATTAAAAATAAAAAAAAATAAGATTATTTAAACTAAAAAACGACAAACAAAGGATATATAATTTGGCACATTTTTTTATTATTAAAAAAGGACAACAATGGACAACAATCTTTCCAAAAAAATTTTTTTTATTCTTTATAAAAGTTATCGAATTCCTCTCCCATTTTATCTTATTTTTTGACACCAAGATTTTTTTAATATTGATACTGTCCGCAAAAATTGTCCGCAAAAAAGGAATTGTCCGCAAAAATTATCTGCAAGAAAATAAATTTGTCCGCAAATATTGTCCGCAAGAAAAATAATTGTCCGCAATTCCTGTCCGCTAGAAAGGAAATGTCCGCAAGAAGAAAAACTTTGTCCGCAAATATTATCCGCAAGAAAAAAATCTTGTCCGCAAAAATTTTTCAATTGACTGATAACAAAATTAATTGGTCTCTCAATATTATATTCTACATCCATTCCTTTCTTTCCTTCTCTCTCTCTATCTCTTTTTCTTTTAAAACTATTAAAGCTTTACATACATTTTAATCCTTCGAAAAGCCCTTCGATTTTTATATATTAAGTGCGCGTTTACCTTTCTTGCCTTTTTCTTTTATTCAATTTCCTTCTCCTTTTTACTTCTCCTTTTTACTTTAATTTCCTTCTCCTTTTTACTTTTTACTTTATTGTGGATTTTTTTTCACCTCTCATTTTTTAATGGCTTCCCCCCTTTGCTAACAAGTCAACTACTAGCTACTTGCGCGCTTATTATTTTTCCTCCTTGTTTTATTTTTTCTTTTGTTTTTCTAAAAAATATATTTTTTTCTAGTCAATATTATATATAAGTGAATATTTGAAATTTTTTTTTGAAAAAAATTTTTTTGAAAAATTGGCCAAAGAATTTGTAAAAAAAAGTAAAAAATTCTCTCTGAATGAATGGGCTTGTTGTAAAGAAAAAAGATTTTTTGTTTGTTTGTTTACATAACAAAAGAGAGAGAAACGTCTTAAAAATAATAAAAAGCTTCTTCCAATTTTCTCTTCTTATCTACAGAATACAATTTTTCGTTCCTTTTTATTTTTAAGCAGTATTTAAGCTTATTTAAAATAAGTTTCTCAAATGTCAAAGCATTAATATATTTAAAATGATGTTTTGCTTCAAGTTTATTTAATTTTTTGATGTTTCGATTCAAGTTTTACTTGATGTTTAATTCCAAGTTTATTATTTTTTCTATGTTTTAATTCAAGTTTATTTAATTTTTCGATGTTTTGATTCAAGTTTTACTTGATGTTTCATTCCAAGTTTATTTTATTTTTTCCTTGTTTTGATTCAAGTTTATTTTTATGTTTTTGTTTAATTCAAGTTTATTTTATTCTTCGATGTTTTGATTCAAGTTTTACTTGATGTTTTATTCCAAGTTTATTTTTCTTGGTTTCATGTTTTTATATTTGTTTTAATTAAAGTTTATTTAATTTCTCATGTTTATCTTCAAGTTTTTCTTAAAGCTTATTTTTGTGTTCTTTTTAATTCTTGTTTGTGTTTTACATTTCTCATGTTTTGCTTCAAGTTTATTTTTTTCTTTGTTACAGTTCTATTTGTTTCAAGTTTTGCGTCTGGCTACATTAGAGTCTCATCTTTAATATTATTAACACTTATTAAAATTTATTTTTATAAATTTTTATTTAATTTAAAAATATTAAAAAATTTTTCCAGCTTTCAACCAGTCTTAGCCACGATGAATTGAACAAATTTGCCATTTTAATGCGTCGTTGGCGTTCTCGTGAAATGCCAATTGTCGAATTTGCTCAAAAATTGTTGGAATTGTATGGACCTGAAAGGAGGCATTTATTGGCTAGTATGTTTTTATTTTTAAAAAAATTTTCTACAATTAATTTTTCAAGAAATGCGCACATTACTTCGTGGTGATCCAACAGAAATTGAAGCACTCGGGAATTTTTTACGTGCTAATGGGGTTGTAGAAAATAATGATGCTTCAACAACAGCTTCTCAAGCAACAAAAATAAATAGAACAACAAAAATTGTTTTTTGTGAAGAAAAAAATATTTCTAAAAGGTGAGGAAATTTTTTTTATAAAAAAATTTTTTTGGGGTTTTTAAAAACAAAAAAATTTTGGATGAGATCTTTAAGAAAAAAATTTTTTTTAAGACAGGGAGGGGTAGGTGGAAAGTTTTTTTCCCTATTTTTAAAAATATCCGCCGAATTTTAATTTCAGAAAATTTTAAATTCATGTATTTTTCTGAATTTTAGAAAAAAAATTTTTTTTTCCATTTATCAACCCATTTTCTATATTTCTATTTTTTTATTTCCTTCTTTAAAAATAAAACAACCAATTTTTAATATAAAAATAAATAAATAAATATCACACGTTTCTCCTTAAACAATTTTTTCTACTAAACTAACTAACTAAAAACATTTTCTCTTTTTCTTAAAAATTGTCTTGTGTATGTTTATATAAAATTAAATATATATTTTCGGTAATTTTTATTTCTCTTTTTTCATTTTTCTCGATTTTAGTTAATCAATTTAATAATAAAAAAATATTAAAAATTAATAAAAACCCCTCTTCTCTTTTTTTTTATTTTTTTTTTACTTGAAAAAATTCGAATTTTTTTTATGTTTTATTTAATCATAATTTTAAAGTCTTTTTTATTATTTACTGAAATTTTAAATTTTTTTACTGAAATTTTAATTTTTTCTTATAATCCCTCATATATGTATATTTAATTTAAAATTTTCTTTTCCCTACCACTTAGGAAAATTCCCTTTCCTTACTGTTGGATCCGTATTTTGATATTTCTTTTAATTTTAATTAAATGTTGTTTTCCTATTTCCCTAAAACCATAATTCAAATATTCCTTATCAATTTAGTTTAAACCGTCCTTTTCTTGATTGTAAACTCTTTAAATATTTCTTTATGTAATTTAAAATGTTCCCCTAAAATATCGGCTTCCCTTTTATCTAAACCTTCCCAATTCAAAACATTCCTTATCTAAACATTCCAAACTTTACAACTGTCTGTCTATCCATTTCTATACTCAACTCCCGCCTTTTCTAACTCATATAAATATTAGTTTGTTTCACATTAAATTTACGTTATTCTGAACTAAACTTATAAATTAATTGAAGTAAATTTGTTGCTAGAAGATTGTTTGTTTATTGAATTAAATTAGGTTAAATTAGAGAAGTTTAGAACCTCAAACAAGAGTTTGAGAGACAAATATAAAAAGTTAAATTAAGTAAGAATCGGGACATAATATTGGTGCCACGAACCCGTTGCGATAAACGGAGATCTAAAAACTAAAATTAAATTAAAAAGGATATTTCTGTGTGAAATATCTTGGCTGTGTGCTTTAAAGAAAAATATTTTTAGGATTTCTGTGTGAAACCCTGCTGTGTGCATTTTTGGGTTTTCTGTGTGAAAACTCGCTGTGTGCTTATTGAGATCTCTGTGTGAGGCTCGCTGTGTGCATAGAATTTCTGTGTGAGATTCTGAAATTTTTTCGTCTATTAGACGGCTGTGTGCATTTAAAAAGGCTGTGTGCCAAATCCAAATTTGCTGTGTGCAAGGAAAGTTTTAGATTTAAGTGAAAAAAAAACCAATAATAATGTCAGGTTCGGACTTTGCCCCTCAATTTTTCACACCTGAGGAGAATAAAACTTTTGAAACTTTACTTACTCAATTACGCTCCTTCGAAAAAACGGTGGCGAAAAGCTTTCGTCAAGTGGAAGGAAGACTCGATCTAATTGAAGAAAATATGAAGAAAAATAAAGACAGTCTGACAGGAACAAAAAGTTCTGTCACTAAATTAAGAAATAATTTAAATGAATTTAAATTAAAGTTTGAAGAAAAAATGGGAAAATTGCCACAAAATAAAGTATTGGAAGATTTTAATGAATTAGAAGACGAATCCATTAATGAGTCGGATAGCTCAATTAATGAGACTGATGAAACTATACGAGGCAATGAATTGGAAAATGAGGAGGATAATCAAGAAATTTCTGTTATGGACCCATTCTTAGGTAATGGAGCATTTGTTGGAAATTTTGACGGAAATCCCACCGTATCTTTTACAAAATGGGTGGAGAAATTTAAGGATATACTTTCGTTGATGACTGATCCTACCGAAATGCAAAAATTGGCCCGTTTGCGTTTTTGTCTGTCCGGTCAAGCGAGAGTAGCATTCGACAATATAAATCCCGCACCCACGACTTTAGCAGAGGCTATAGCTTTTTTGAAAGGAAGATATGAAAATGGAAATACTAAAGTAATTGCGCGGCAATTATTATCTAATTGCAGGCACGCGCCAGGTGAATCAGTTTTCGAATTTGCGAACCGACTCTCGGATACTGTTCGCACGGCCCTATCAGGAGAAACTGAGGATACGATAAAGAGACGCCTCCTAGATGAATTTTTGGATCGACTCGTTCCTGAGCTACAATTCGAAGTGAAGGCTCAGAGGCCTGCAGATTATGCTAATGCGTACGAAATAGCGCAGCATTACGAATTACTCCTCTCTGCGAGGAAAGGAAATAATGTTTCGATTGGCAGTCTATCGGAAAAAGTTGAAGCATTGACATTACAAAGTAATAAAAATGATAGAAAAGACTCTAAAAGGTGTTATTATTGTGGAAAACCAGGACATTTTGCTAGAGATTGCAATTCCCGAAAATCCGAGTATACTTCTAGAAATTTCCAGCCTCAAAATTATGGGAGAAGCGAAAATCGCTATCGTAATAATAACCAATATCACAGACCGGATTATCGAAATTATCATGAAAATCGGCAAAATAGAAGGGAAAATTATGAAAGAGAAAATCGCGGTTACAATAGGAACAGAAATTATGACGATTACAGTAGTTCAAGAAGTAGGGAGAGAGAAAACAATACTAGATATTATAATTACGACGATTTATCGCCAAATCGCAGAGTGCGTTTTGAGAGAACTCCGAGCCCCAGAATAAGAGTTGTAAGCCCATTTATGCTAGATAAAGAAAATGAAAGTACGTTAAATAAAAATATAATCCCTTTTTCAAAAAGATGGCCCTCCGTGAATAAAGTTGAAAGAGGAGAAATAAAATTTAAAAACGGAGAGTAAATAAATACAAATAATTCTATTCTGTAGCTATATATATATAATCCTTTTCCATTATCATGTTATCAAATACATATATATCCATTTTTACATTTTTAATAATCTATTTGTATCCTTTAAACGCCCATTATCATTATCCAATGTTTATTTTATTTCTGGATTGTAAAAAAAAATATTTTGTCATCAATAAATTTTTGAAGAACACGATATCAATATGGAAAGCAACAACTTACAAAAGAAGAGCAACAACAAACTTCAAAAGAAGAACGGCAACAAACTAAAAAAAAGAGAGCCCCTAATGGAAGGGAGAATATGAAAAAAATTAATTTAGTAAATGAAATAAAATTCAGCTTTTCAAACGGTAAAAAACACCTCTATTTTATGTTGAGAGAAAATAAAAGAAAATTGTTTGAGATAAACTACAAGAACTACCCTCCACTCCCAACTACAAATCTTGAAGAAATTCGAAAATAAATTAAAAAATTAAAGTACCAATGGAAAAAAAATAATTCTTTAATGTAGAAAAAAAAATATTGAAAAAGCGGAGATACAAAAAAAAATTTTTTTTTATCCCGCCAAAAATTTGAGAAGCGGAAAGGTTGGTTGAGAGCAAAAATAACAACCGTGAGGAAATAATAATCGAGGGAGGGGAGGCCGCGAGCATGTACAACCTAGACTTCTGCAAGATTCCCGCTTAATTTTCCTTTTACGTCAATTGATGTGAGAGAGGCCATGAATTGGCTCGTTACCGTTTCCATAATTATTACCCACGTGGTCGTGGAGAATACAACAATAACAACGACCATCCTACAACAATAACTTTCGCGATGCAATAAACTTAATAATGCCGTTGATCTTCTTAAAGGATGGAGGAGTGTTGGATCCGTATTTTGATATTTCTTTTAATTTTAATTAAATGTTGTTTTCCTATTTCCCTAAAACCATAATTCAAATATTCCTTATCAATTTAGTTTAAACCGTCCTTTTCTTGATTGTAAACTCTTTAAATATTTCTTTATGTAATTTAAAATGTTCCCCTAAAATATCGGCTTCCCTTTTATCTAAACCTTCCCAATTCAAAACATTCCTTATCTAAACATTCCAAACTTTACAACTGTCTGTCTATCCATTTCTATACTCAACTCCCGCCTTTTCTAACTCATATAAATATTAGTTTGTTTCACATTAAATTTACGTTATTCTGAACTAAACTTATAAATTAATTGAAGTAAATTTGTTGCTAGAAGATTGTTTGTTTATTGAATTAAATTAGGTTAAATTAGAGAAGTTTAGAACCTCAAACAAGAGTTTGAGAGACAAATATAAAAAGTTAAATTAAGTAAGAATCGGGACATAATACTTACCTCTAAGACTTGCGCTTAAAAATTTTTATACAAAATTTTTTTCTTCTTAATTTACAATATATATCCCCATTTTCTTATTATTCCTTTCTAAATTTTTTTGGGTTTGAGTTAAAAAATCTAAGGAAAGAAAAATTGTATCGACTTTTCTTTTCAAATAGGGCTTAATTTTTTTAACCAAAAAAGATGTTTTTCAAATTTTTCAGTTGTCCACAATCATCTACTACTACTATTACCAATTCCTTGTAATCAAAAAGTAAATGGAGAGAGGGGAATATTTAGTTTTTTTTTTAATTTTTTTTTTAAATTTTTTAAATTATCAATTTGCCAAAATTTCTTTTTTTTTAATTTCACTTATATTTAAATATTAAAAAAAATTTTTTTTACATATTTTTTTTTCGTTTGTAATTTTGATTTAATTATTTAATCAATTAAATATATTTTTAAAATTTTATTAATTTTAAATTTAATTTTAATTTTTTTAGATTTTTATTTAATTCATTAAAAATATTTTAATTAACAAAAGAAATCGTGTGATTTATGGTCTCAACTTTAATTAATTGAAAAATTCTCAATTCAACAACAAAAGAAAAACAAATAAGGGCTATATTTGAGGTCCAATTTTGTCCAAATTGGCTTCGAAACGGTTGCACACAAATATTGAGGTTTTTAATTTTATTTAATTTTTTGGATTTTTTGGGTTAGAAATTAGAGGGGAAGGCAATAGAAACCGTTAAAATGTAAAAATTAAAAATATCTGAATTTTTAAAAATTTTTCAAATATTTTTTTGTTTGACCCTTGGCCTTAGGTTGCTTATTAAAGCTTCGAAAAAATTTTCAAAAAATTTCCGGAAAATTGCTTCCATTTTTTTATTTTTTTGTCGTAGCCTGGGCAATTTGAGAGGTAGGACGGCCTTCCTCGTGTAGCCTACCTTCCAGGGCAGCACATAAAACAGTTTTTCCAGCTTAAATTTACTTGGAGCAATATCCCCTATTATAGTATTTGAATATAACCCCCCGTATTTTTCGAGAATAATTTTTTTCTTTTTTTAAAGGAGGAGGTGGCGGCTGTTAAGATTGGCAAACTCTCAGGTTTTTTTTATTTTTTTTTAGAAAAATTTCAAAAAAATTTTTTTTTAATTAAAGTCAGTGCGTCGCCTCCACCATCATCTTTTGGTATGTCCTCTTCCCAAAATCACCTTCAAACAAGCTGTGGAAGTGGTGGGGGTAGTGGAAGTAGTTCTAGTCGACATAGTAACAAGGAAGGCGGCACTAGGTGGTAATTACTATTAAATTAGATTTAATTTTTTTTCAAATATTTGCGGACTGTCCGCAAATATCCTTAAATATTTTTTTCTGTTAATTTTTGTCGAAAATGGAAAAGAAATTTTTGCGGACAAAAAAATTTGTCCGCAAATATTTGCGGACAAAAATTTTTTTTATCTTTTTAAAAAATTTTTTTAATAAAAATTTTTTTAGTTTCCGAAGTTTCTTTGCCAAGTTACGCAAACCAAGTGAACACAACAATAGTCAGCAGCATCAACAATTTACGGTGGGTGGTTGATTTAAAAATAATTATTTGAAATTTTTTAAAATTTTTAAAAAATTCAAAAATATGTATTTTTGGGGGATTATTTTTTTTATTTTTTTCTTTCTCTTAAAATATTTTTTTAGATCATTTTCACAAAAATTTTTTCGATTTTATTTTGTTTCTCCTTTATTTTAATGTTATTTTCTCATTTAGTTTATGTAGTTATAGGAAGTCTCTAAAAAATTTTTTTTTGATTATGGCTAATAAATTTTTTCTTTTTTTTTATTCTTGTTATTTTTTTCCTTTCTCAATTATTTTTAAAAATTGATTGAAAAATTTTTTTGAAATTTTTTTTTATTATATTTGAGGTTGCTTCATGATTTTTAAAAAATTTTAAGTTAGAAAAAAATTTTTTTATTTTAGAATTATATACGAAATTGTGAGTGTATTGAATAATTCGATTTTTTTAAGTAAAAATAAAAATCAAATTTATTTTTATTTTTTTTTCCTTTTATTTTCTATACACGTTTTTATTTTTACCTCTTCTTTTTTTTAACAAAAATTGAGAAGAAAATATTTTTATATTTATAAATTGTGTGTGTGTTCATTTTTTAAAATGCACTTTTAACTGACAATTTATTTTTCTGAATTTTTTAAAAAAATATATAAAATAGTAGAGTAAATAAAAGAGCACCCCCTCTTTTATTTTTGATAGTACTAAATAAGAAATTTATGAAGCAGAAACTTTCTTGGATAGGTTTATTTTTAAATGTTTAGTCGCATGGATTTGTTTAGGTTTTCATGCTTTTTTGAATGTTCAGATTCAAGTTTGTTTAAAGTTTAAATTTAAGTTTGTTTAAAAGTTCTAATTTCATGTTTTTTAGATGTTTAGATTCAAGTTTATTAAAATGTTTTTTTCAAGTTTAAGTTTTATTTTATTTGAATGTTCAGATTCAAGTTTGTTTAGAAAGTTTTTAATTAAGTTTTATTTAATTGTTTGAATTCAAGTTTATTTAGATGTTTAGATTTGTTTGTTTTGAATTTAGTTGTTTAGATTCAAGTTTATTTTAAAAATTTAAATTCAAGTTTATTTAAGTGTTTTACTTGTGTTTATTTTTGTTGTTGATATTCTGGGTATTTTTTTATTTTCTATTTCCTTTTAGATAATTTAGTATTTTGTTTGCAAGTAGTATTTAAGTAGTTGAAATGTTTTTCTTTATTTCTGAAAGAAAAAAAAGTTTTAAATGCTGCAAAAAATGTACTAAAACAAAGCCGTGCATTTAGCAGCTTCTAAAAAAAATTTTGTTTTTCTTTTTATTTATTTTTTCTTTTTTTTTTGCTCCAAGACTCTTTCAACTTTCAGACGTAAATAAAAAGGGGTTTTTAAGGAGAGGGGCTTCCATTATAAATTATTTTTTTACACCACCACTACAGCTTTATGTAGGCTACACAAAAATACATACAGCTATTCAATCTCTTTCCCCCTTTTTATTTTTTTCTATTTTTTTCTTGTCTGCATTTGCAAAAATTATTTTTTTATTATTTTGTTGTTGCTACCAGCTGCTTGCTTGCTGCTTCCATTTTTGCAAAAAAAAAGAGACGGTGCTCCCCCCTTTTTTTATTTTTTTTCCAATTTTATTTATTTGACCCGTGTGTATTTTTCTATGTATATTTTTCTTCAATATTTTAAAAAAAATTTTTTGGGTGTGCGCAATTGAAGTCGTTTTGATTTGATGATTTTTCTAGTTATTTTTTGTTTGTTGATTGTTTTGTTATGAATTGTTTTGAAAAATTTTTTTTCTAAATTTTTTAATTAAAACTTCTAAGATACACACTTATACCATTTAGATATACTCGATATATACTCAATTTAAGTTACGTTTATTTAAATTCAGTTAGAGCCTGGGTGTGGAGGGGCAGCCCCTTACTTTTCTTGACCCTTGATTTAATAGATACTTTTTTTGTTTTTGAATTTAGTTAACGCCTGTGTGTGAGGGATGTTGGCGGGCTACCCCTTTCTTTTTTTGTTTCTTTATTTAATAAATACCTAGATCTCTTTTATAAAATTAAATTTTTCAAGCCGATAAGTAAAAGTTTGAGTTGTTTGAATTATTTAGAGATTTTTTGTTTTGTTTTTTACGAGAAAAAAAATTTTTTTGGCGCACGTCTTTAATTTAATATTTATTTTAGGAAGACTTCAATGCGCATTTCTATCGAACTTTTTTTAATATTTTTTTAATATTTTCTTTTTCTTTCTCGTTTTTATTTTTCAATATTAAAAACATTTTTAAAAAAGGGCAAATTCAGCAATTGTGTCTCTAACTTTACTATCTATTTCTATTTTTTTTAAAAGGACAGATATTGGAAAAATAAGAGGACGTAAGGGAGAGATAAGGGTAAAAAAGGAAAAAAAAATTTTTTTTTTATTTATTTTTGCTTGGTTGGCTGCAAAAAAAAATTTTTTTTTTGTTGTTTATTTTGTAAATGTTTTTCATATGAAAGTTTGCATGCAAAAATAGTAGGGGTATAAGGGGAGGAATGAATTTTTGTTTTTGCAAGCAAGATAAAAAAGGGGTAAAAATAATTTTTTTGCAGGAAAGAAGGGAGAAAGAAAGGTGCAAAAATATTTAATCGAGAATGTTTGCAAATAAAAAAATACATTTTTTCAAAGATTATATTTTTTATATTTTTTTAAAAGAAAAATGTAGCATTTGAAAATTCTTATGCAATTAAAAAGCGTGTAGTAAAGGCTTCAAAAAATTTTTTTACTAATTTTTAAAATATTTTTTTTTATATTTTTTAAGCTATGGGAATTTTACTAAAATTTAAATTTGTGTGTATATTTTCTTAGTTTTTTTTTTCTTAATTTTGTTGGTAATTTTGTCAAGTTTTTGCAAATTTAAAAAAAGGTGTGTGTGTGTGTGTTTGAAGAAAAAATAAAGTGTGTGTGTTTTTCCCCTTATATTACACATACACTGCGTTTTAAAAAGATGGCACACCGTGTTTTTTCGACATAAGTCAACGGAAAAGTGTCTATTTCGTTTGAAATTTTTTTGTAATTAGGTTTGATCAATATAATGCTATCAAAAGGACCCGAGCGAAAAAACCATTTTTTAAAAATTTTTTATAAGATAATTTTCAATTTTTCACTGTTTCAAAAAGATGGCACATTTTAAATTTTTGACATTAGGAGACTACAAACAAACACGTTGTAAATCTTGTTGGTTTTGTGTGTAAAAAATTGTTTATTTTTTTTAAATTTGTAAACAAATATACCTTATATTTTTAAGTAACTAAAAGGCAGATTTTTTACTGATAAAAAATTTTAAGTTTGCAAAAATTTTCAAGAAAAAAAAATTTTTTTTATTGAAATTTTGGCAAAAATGGATATTTTTGTTTATTTAAATTAATAAATAATTTTTATATTAAAATTTTTTTTTTAATTTTTAAATTTTACTTAAAAATGTGTTTAATTAATAGATTTTTTCCCTTTAATTCCACGTTTTTTTATTTATCGAAATTTTATTTTTATATAGGTATTTCTCCCTTTTTTTCATTAAATTTAATTAAAAATGTATATGACTTCTCAACTACAACTAATAAAATTAATATTTTTAATTTTTTAAATTTAATTTAATTTAATTCACAACAAAATATATTTATTTAAATATTATTATTTAATAATTTTTGTGTGCCATAATAATAATAAAAAATGGCAAAAAATACGGTGAGGAAAAAGATAAAATTTAAATTTTTTTTTAAATTAAAATGTCTGGGCTGGAAAATTTATTTTTTTTTTATTTTTATAAATTTTTTGGCGCCAAAAAGAATTTTTTTTCTTTTTTATTTTTTCGTCTAAAATTTTTTTTTAATTTTTGTATAACAAAAAAATAATTTTTCTTTATCATCTTTTTGAATAAATTAAAAGATAAGGGGGGAAAAATTAAAATATTTAATTTATTTACTTTTTTATTAAATATTTAATCAGATGCCTAGACATTTAAAAAAATATTTATTTTATGGAAAAAATAATTATTATTTTATATAATCGGAAAGATTGTTATCTTTAGATAAACAAAGTCTAGCATAAAAGCACTTATTTAAATTTTAATTCTGATTTTAATTTATAAGTAAACTTTAATTTATTCAGAATAATTAAATATAAACTTTGTTCTGAAAATTATAAATAAAAATAAACTTTAATTGGTTCTTCTTTTTTAAAATTCTGATTATTATTTGTTTTATTAGTAATTCTGTTTATTTTTTAAATTCTGATTTGTTCTTGTTTTAATTTATTCTGATTTTAATTAATATTTTATTTGTTATTTATTCTGATTTTTATTTTAAAAATTAATTCTGGTTTTTATTTTAAATTTATTCTGATTTTAATTTTAATTGTTTTATTTCTATTTGTTATTTGTTCTGATTTTTATTTTTCAAATTAATTCTGATTTTTATTTAGAGTTTATGTATTATTCTGATTTTATTTGTTATTTGTTCTGGTTTTTATTTTTAAAATTAATTCTGGTTTTATTCTGATTTCTTTTGATTCTACATGGTATTTATATTATTCATTTTTCTCTCTCACTTTTCTATTTCTTTTTAATTTAAAATCAGAAATTTAATTTCACACTCTAATTAATTTAACACACAAATTTCGTTGACAATTTAGTTTAATAGAAAAAGGAAACATGTGTTGTTCGGTATGTTCACTCATCAAAATTAAAAATTAATTTTTACTTCCTTAATTTTTTTTTTTAAATTTTTTTCTTTTTTTTGTCAGTCAATTTTTGAACATTCCTAAAAAAATTTTTTTTAATTGAGAATCAATAAGGGGAAAAATCACAAAAAATGAAAATTGATCTTTACACTTGTATCTTTTTAAAGAATTTTTTGTTTCTATTTTTATAATTTTTTTTGAAAGATCATTTGATCTCTTTCTTTTCAACACGTCAGGTCTTGAACAAAAAATTTCTTTTATTCTATTTTTTAAATTTTAATTTTAAAAAGATTTTTATTTCGTTTTTTTTATTTTATTAACCTTGAGAGATCCAAATTTATATCTAAAAATTTGAAAAAAATTAAATTTTCCAATAAATTTTTATATACCGTAGATACTCTAATAGAAGCCCTGGGCTTTCAATGGGTCTCCTTTTTCAATGGGTCTCCTCAGATGGGCTTACATTAGAGGCGGGCTTCTATTGGAGTATTTACGGTAAATTTCAAAATTATTTCTCGATGTTTAGGAAGTACTTGTTTTGCCCCTTCTACATACACTCATGTTTTTTATGAACTTTTTTTTTTCTCTCTGTATTTTCTGATTTTTGTTTTTCTACGTGTATTCAAAAATATTTATCGTAAATATTCTAGATATTTAAATATTTTATTTATTATTTAAAAAAAATATTATTGTTATCTTTCTTTAACTGCTACTTCAATACCCTTCTCCCAATCCCCTCAGCACTTACCTACCTTTATCTTTAAAAAATAAAAACATTTATTTATATAAAATGACATAATGTACATATTTAACGGAATAATTTAAAAAAAAGAGAAAATGTTTCATTTTTAAATAAAATAAATATTTATATATATATAATTGTTGTTTGTCTATATCAATCCATCTTGTGTGTAAAATTCATTTTTTTTTTGTTACTAAATTTGGAAGACCCTCCTCCCCCCCCCTCTTTTTTTTAATCACTTATATCAATCTAGTAGTAAGGGACTTTTGTTTGTGTAATATAATTTTTGTTCCTTTTTTTATACCCATAATTATCATAAGGGAAAGGACCCGACGGACGAGATATCTTTCTGTTCTTCCTCCGAAAATTGATACTCTTTATTATATTTATACAATTTGATATGAGTAAGCCATTAACTCGTATAAACCATTAAAAATTGGAGGGAATGGAATAATTATAAAGAAGTTTTTTTTTTTGCCCAACTTTCCGATTTCCAAAAAAATTTTTATTTACTCTCTGATGAGTTCCAGCATTTTTTCTTACTATTTCCAACCCCAGACTGTTCCCTAACTGTCCTACTGACAATTTTGGTTGGCCTTGAACATATGACTTAGAGCTTCACCGGAAATTCCGGTTTCGGTTCTGTTAGGCCGGTAGGCCGGAATTTCCACGATTTTTTGGTTCCGGTTCTGGTCAAATTTTGCGGTTCTGGTGAAGCACTAATATGACTGTCCGAATGACCGGGGAAATATGAAAAAAATACAAAGGGACTGAGAAGAATCACTAGTTTAATGGATCCATTCTTTTTATTTTTTTCTCTTCAATTTTTTTTTTCAATTATTTTTTTTTTAATTTTATAATTTTTTCTAATATGTAATATTTTTTAATTTTTGAGTATATATTTAATATTTTTTTCTCTCAATCTTTAATTTTTATAAAATCAATTAACGACTAAAATTATATAAATACATATGATCAAAAACCTTTTCAAAACGTTTACAGTAAGTTTATAATTAAAGAAGAAAAAAATTTTTTGTAAGGGGGTTAAAATTTTTAAAAATTTCTTTGTAGGGGGTTCTTAACTAAAAATTTTCAAAAATTTAGAAAATTTTTAAAATTTTTTGAAAAATTGATTTTTAAGGTGCAAATCGGCTCACGGGTCTACGATGCACAAGAGCTTCAAAAATTGGTACCTCAACTTGAACAACAATTGGAACAAAAAGACAGACTTATAAGGCAAAATCAGTTACAGCTTGAAGCACATACAAAAAGAATAACTTCTTTAGAGGGGGAAGTTAAAGGATTACAGGTTGATTTTTTTGATTAATAATTTTTTTGTAGTAGTAGTAATGGTGGGGGAAGAGGACTGCCCCTCTGTTTTTTAGCCTCTGTGTTTACTGCCCTCTGTTTTTTAGTTAATTCTCCCTAAAGTTTGATCTTTACTCCTCTTGATGTCTTTATTTAAGGACGTAGCGTGCTGTAATACCAAAAATTCCTAAATTTTTGGTAATGCCTAAAATTGCTTCAATGCCTAAACACCAAACAACTACAAGTTGTAGAAAGTAAAATAAATGAGAAAAACATGGTGCCTTTAAGGGGAAAATTATGAAAAACGGGGGGCATGGCTTAAGTTTTCTGATTAGGATTACTGAAGGTGTGACAAACTTAAAAAAAAATTTTTTTTTTAATTTTCTAGTCTGAATGTGACAAACTCCGCTCAGTTTTAAACCAGAAGGCGGAGAGTGCAGCATCTCCAGCTGGAACTGGCGGTCAAAAACGTTCAGAAGAATTGCCGACTGAAATGAAACAGAAAGCAGCTCTATTACCCGAAGCTGGCCGCCCAGCAGAGCCTCGAGCAAAGAAAATGGCAGTGTCTGCTGAACCGGCAAAACTCGACCAACACAAAGCAACCCTTCAACATCATTCCAAATCTGCTGGTTCAAAACAATTAATTCGTGATGCTGTTCAGAAAAATGATTTTCTTAGGCAATTGGCTAAAGAACAAGTTATTGAGGTTTCCTAAAAATTTTTAAAAATTATTTGTCCGCAAAATATTTGCGGACAAAAATTTTTAATCCGCAAAAATATTTGCGGACAAAAATTTTTCATCCGCAAAATATTCGCGGACAAAATTTTTCATTTGCAAAATATTTTGCGGACAATGCATAATTTTTTTGGTTCTTAGTTGGTAGAATGTATGTTTGAAATGCGTGCTCGTGCAGGTCAATGGGTTATTCAAGAAGGTGAACCTGGTGATAGACTTTTTGTTGTCGCTGAAGGGGAATTGCAAGTATCAAGGGAAGGTCAAGCATTGGGAAAAATTGGGCAAGGAGTTGTTATGGGTGAATTGGCAATACTTTATAATTGTACAAGGTTTGTCTGGAAGGGAATTTTGTGAGGGAATAGAGAGGGTGGAAGAGTGTTTTTGAGAAATATTAATGGGTTCCAACAGGTCCACGAAAGTTGAATGGTTTCGAGTTTTTATAGTACTAAAAATTTTTTTGATCTCTCTGAGGGCGTACGATTCCCAAAAAAGTTGTACAAGGTTTGTATTCTAAAAAGAATTTTTTAGAATTGGGGAAAAGAGGGAGCGGGGAAATGTTTTCGGTTAGCTCCAAAAAAGTCGTAATGTTTTGGGGGTTTTTTGTGTCCCAAAATTTTCCTTCCGTTTCCATTGTTGCCGGAAGGGCAGGTTCTCCGGTATAGGCATTGGCATGTGTTCTATGGGTTCAAGAAAGGCAAACGGGTTCGCAGTTTCGTTTCTTCACTATTCCAAATTTGTTTTGACAGTTTTGGTCTCCTAGGCTTCTAAATTTTTTGGAGGTTTTCCATCGTATCGGGGGCAGGTTCTCAGTTTCCAAAACCTGTAGCACATTTTAATACGGAATTGCAATAATTTTTAAATTTTTTTTTCAGAACAGCTTCAGTTCAAGCAATAAGTGATGTTATTCTTTTTTGTTTGGATAGAGCTGTATTTCAAATGGTTTAAATTTTGAAAAATTTTTTTAAAAATTTCTTTTCTTTTAAAGATTACAATGCGTTTAGGAATGGAAAGGCATGCACAATTAATGAATTTCTTAAGAAAAGTTTCAATATTCCAAAATTTGAATGAAGATAGAATCTCTAAAATGGCTGATGTTATGGATCAGGTTTTTTTGGGGGATTTTATTTGAAAAAAAAGAGAAAATTTCTGACAATATTTGACGTTGATTTCCTTTTAGAGATGATTTAGAGAATAATTTCTTAATAAAAAAATATTTTTTTTTTGGGGATATAAAATTTAATTGACCGAGAAAAAATTTTTTTAGTGCGGTGAGGGGGGGGGGATGATTTTGGGGAAAATACTCTTAACCAAAGAAAAATAAAATAAATTTTTTTTTCGAAATTTATTATATTATTATTAACTAGACTTCAAAGGAAGACTAGGAAAAGCCTTCTATGACGGGTTCTCGTAAAAATTAAAAAAAATTTATTTTTTGCCTGAGGGCAAATTCGGGAATTTTTTTCATAAAAAAATTTTTTATTTTTAAGGATTATTATGCTGCTGGTCATTATATAATTAGAGAAGGGGAAAAGGGCGATACTTTCTTTGTCATTAACAACGGTCAAGTACGTGTCACACAATCTATTGAAGGAGAACAGGATCCACATGAAATTCGAATATTGAAACAAGGAGACTTTTTTGGTGAAAAGGCGTTGTTAGGTAAGGAGGATTTTTTATTTAAATTTTTTTTTGAAAAATTTTTTGTTTTTGGTAAAAATTTTTTAAAAATTTTTGAAGATTTTTTTGGGTTGTGCTCCCTATTCCTTAAAATTTTTTTATATTTTTTTGATTTTTTTTGGAAATTTTTGGGTGTTTCCGGGTTGTATTTTGTTTCGTCTCCCCCTCAAAAAATTTTTTTTGAAAATTTTTAAAAGATTTTTCCTAGTTCCTCCCCCTCCTTCCCAATTCAAAATAATTTTTTAAAATTTTTTTGAAATATTTTTGTAGTTTTTCGAGTCGTTTCCCCTTTTGAAAGAATTTTTTTTTCAATTAAAAAATGAATTTATAACCCAAACATATTTAACCTCCTCTCCCTCTCTACCGGAAATGATGAGAGATTAAAGAAATTTTTCTAAACTTTAACGAAATGATAATTTTTTGTTTATAATTTATGCTGCGGATTTACACTTTTTTTTTCTTTTTACTATAATTTATTATTTAAATAAATTATTAAAACAAATAAACAAAAAGTTTAGTTTGTCTAGAACATAACACTAAAACAATCAAACATTTTTAGAATTTAAGAATTTTTTAAAATTTTTTTAAATATATAAAACACAGACATAAATACATCAAAAAGGTCTAATAAACAGTAAATAGAATTTAGGAAAAAAATAATTATTTTTTTAATTGTCTGTTAACTATACTTGGAGGGGGAAGAGAATGAGTGAGGGAGGATTTTTTTATTTATTTTTAAAATTTAAATTTTTGAAGTTTGTGTTTTCTTTTATATTTATGAGAGAGATTAGAATATATATTTAAATAACAAGACTATTAAATAAATTTAAAAAAAAATTATTTTTATTTTTTAAATTTAGTTAATTGAGTATTTCAATTATTTTATACTCCATTTATTTTCTAAAATTAAATTCTGATTTTTAATTTTTTTAAAAATATTTCTGAAGTATTTTTTAAATTTAATTCTGATTTTTAAAATAATTTTAAGAATTAATTTTCTGATTTTTTAAATGCTTATCAAATGTACTATCAGAATTTCTGTAAATCAGAATTTTTATAAGAATCCACATCAGAAAAATTACCTTTAAATAATCAAAATTTTTATTTAAAAATCAGAATTTTTTCTTTAAAAACCAGAATTTTTTTTTCAAAAATCAGAATTTCTTCCTTATTAAAAATCAGAATTTTCTTGAAAAAACCAGAATTTCTTCCTTATAAAATCAGAATAATGTTTTTAGAAAATCAGAATTTGCCTTTAAAAACCAGAATTTTTTCTTTTAAAAATCAGAATATTATTTTCAAAAATCAGAATATTTTTTAATAATTCTTTACCCCAGATATATACCTCCCTTCCTTTTAAATAAAAAAATCAGAATTTCTAATAATTATTTTATTTATAGGAGAAGAAGTACGTACTGCTAACGTTATTGCAATGCCTCCAGGCGTGGAAGTATTAACTTTGGATAGAGAAAGTTTTTTAAAATTAATTGGAGATTTGGATGCTTTGAGGAACAAGGATTACGGGGATTTACAGAGAAGGTCTACACTTTCCTCTGCCAGAACTTTAATTGATGGGGGAAGGCCCCCAGAAGCTCCTAGCCCTCCAAAATCTGAAATTGAAGACGAATTTGTACAGTTACAGTTGAGACAATTAAAGAGAATTGCTACGCTTGGAGTAGGTGGATTTGGGCGTGTTGAATTGGTAAGGAGGAAATTTTTAAATAATTAAATAAAAAATTATTTCTGTGATTTAGCCTCTAGAAAGGCCCAAAATATAGTCTTTATTGAGGCTCTATTTTGGTCCATAACTCTTTTGATCCTTAACAGATTTTTTTACTTTATATAGCAATCGAAAGCTCTGAATGTGTGGATTATTTTAACTAACAGGAATGGCTTGATCAGATCATCCTACCTAAAGTTATAGTCAAATAAAACTAAAAAATCACGATTGCGCACACTTATTCGACTACAACTCTTAGTAGAATGATCTGATCAAGTCAGTCCTGTTGGCTTAAATAATCCTCACATTCATAGCTTTCGATTGGTATATAAATTATTCAAATCGGTTAAGAATGAAAAAAGTTATGGCCCAAAATAGGGCCTTGAGACGACTGAAACTGCCATTCTGAAACGGTCTTTACTCCGTTTAATTTTTTTTAAATTGAAATTAAAAATATTAATTTTATTTCAAAGGTTTGTATAAATGCTGACAAAAGTCGAACATTTGCATTAAAAGCATTAAAGAAAAAACATATTGTGGACACTAGACAACAAGAACATATTTTTGCTGAACGTAATATAATGCTTGAAACACGTTCTGATTGGATTGTTAGGCTTTACAAAACATTTAGAGATTCAAAATATGTTTATATGTTGCTAGAAGCTTGTTTGGGTGGAGAACTTTGGGTAAGAAAAAATTTTATAATATTTGCGGACTAAAGTTGCGGACAAACAAATTTTTTTGCGGACTCAAGTTGCGGATTTTTAATAATTTTCTTTTAAAGACAACACTTCGTGATCGTGGACATTTTGATGATTACACAGCTCGATTCTATGTAGCTTGTGTTTTGGAAGGATTAGAATTTTTGCATAGAAGGAATATTGTCTATAGAGATTTGAAGCCTGAAAATTGTCTTTTAAGTAAGTTTTAAATTTTAGAACTTATCTTTAAGATATAACCCTCGTGATATACCTCTATTTAGGATACGTTTGTTTAAGGTTGGGCATTGGGTTGGAAGGTTCTATTTAGTGGCACGTATTTACACATAACTGCCTCAAATAAATTAGTATTAGGGATATTCCCTCAGTATCAGGGATGGGCGCAATTGCGACTCCCCCCTCCCTCTTCATTATATCCTTCCAGCACCCAATGTGGTTATCTTATAATTAGGCTATTGACTTTATTTTAATAAAAAATAAAAAATTTATTTTATAGCAACCTCTGGTTACCTTAAAATTGTTGATTTTGGTTTTGCCAAAAAACTGGCAAGTGGAAGAAAAACTTGGACATTTTGTGGAACACCAGAATATGTTTCTCCAGAAATTATTTTAAATAAAGGGCATGATCAAGCAGCAGATTATTGGGCTTTGGGAATTTATATATGTGAATTAATGTTGGGTAGACCTCCTTTCCAAGCATCTGATCCAATGAAGACTTATACGCTTATATTGAAGGTGCGCGGATATTTTTTGTTCTCTTTCATCAAACTGATCAAAATAGAGATCGAGCTAAGCCCAGATCAAGGCCTGGGTTTTTCCTGTACCCAGAGTCCAGGTCCAGGCATTTTTTGACCTTCCTGGGTTTTTCCTGGACTACAGGACCAGGATCCAGTCCAGGTCAATAAATCAAACTCCAGAGTCAAGGAACAGGTCTAGGCTTTTCAAAATTTCCGATCTCTAGATCAAAAGCTATTAATGTTTGAATTATTTGAGTTAAAATAAAGGACAGGATCTTTTAATCTTTAAATCAGATAACAGATCTTTACTTGATCAGATCATCCTACTTAGTTATCATCCTACTTATTTTACTCTAACTTTAGGTAGATCTGAACAAGTCAATCCTGTTAAATAAAATAATCTCTTTACATCCAGAACTTTCGATTGGTATGATAATTATCTAAATTGGGTAGGATTGAAGTCAGATATGACCCTAAATATGCCCGCGAGAGTGAAAACTTCAAGACCTCGAAATGAATTTTTTTTAATTTTTTTCTTTTATAGGGAATTGACGCTTTAGAAATCCCAAACAGAAGAATTGGCAAAACAGCAACAGCTCTCGTTAAAAAACTTTGTAGAGATAACCCGGCAGAAAGGCTTGGTTCTGGTAGTGGAGGTGTTAATGATATACGGAAACATAGATGGTTTATGGGCTTTGATTGGGAGGGGCTTAGAACGAGGACGTTGAAACCGCCGATTATACCTGTGGGTTTTGGATAATTTTTAAAATAAAAATTTTTGAAATTTTTGAAAAAAATTTTTCAAAATTTTTTTTTAAATTTTTGAACATATTTTTCTGAACTTGTTCGAATTTTTGTAAAATTTTTTTGAAATTTTGAAAAAAAAATTTTCCGAAATTTTTCCCAAAATTTTTTCTTAAAAATTTTTTAAAAACCTCTGAAAATAAAAAAAAAATATTTTTACAGAAAGTCAGCAATCCAGCAGACGTTTCCAACTTTGACAATTACCCACCGGATGAGGACATTCCCCCAGACGAGTTTAGGTAAGAAAAATAATTTTTGAATTTAATTGAATTTTTTTAAATTTTCAGCGGCTGGGATGAGGGTTTCTAAACAATTTATTTATATAAATTTATTTCTTCTCTGCCAACAAAATTCTAGAAAATTTGGCTATTGGCCGCCGTCTATTTTTTTAAATTTTGACAACAAAAAAATTTTTTAATGCCCATTTTTCTAAATTTTTCTTTTCATTTTTCTAATTTTTTCGTCCCCTATTTTCTAATTTTTATTTTTCTCTCCAAATTTCCTCATTTTAATTGTCCCTTTTTCTTCTTATAATCCCTTTTCTTCTTATGTAAACGGATACCTGTATTATTTAAAAAATTTTTTTAAGAGTGACCATTTGTTTCCAAGAAGAAAATTTTTTGGGGTCTTAGGAACCTGAGTCGACAATAAAAATTTTTGAAATTTTTTTTTTTGGGAAAATCAAGTAGCCACACATCAAAATTTTATTTTTGCTGTGTTTTCTGTCTTGTTTTTTGTGTAGTTTTATTTTCTACTAGTTAATTTTATTTTGATTGTTTATATCTTTTATATATTTAATTTGCCTCCCTTCTCCATCTCATTTGCCGATCCTCTTTTTTCTTTTTAGAAATTTCTTTGTTTAGATTTGTTAGATTTTTATTTAAAAACCAGACATTTTATATATTTCGACTATTTTTTCTTAATTTCGTTAATTTTTTATTTAGCATGGTGGAATATATATATATTATTATTTTTTATTAAAATAAAGCCATCAAATGTGTTAAGAGATGTTTATCTTTTTTAGCTTTATAAATAAGAGACCTTAGTTAAATTGCTTTTTGCCAAATTTGATTGACATAATGCAAAATATAAAAAATGACAGCTTTCTCGATCAGAAAATGATTGAGAACTAGTAGGCCTTCCACTATGTTCCATTTTGTCGGACTTCTCCGTTGTTCCATTTTGTCGGTTTTCTCCTATGTACCGTTTTGTCGGATTTCCCCTATGTACCATTTTGTCGGATTTCCTCTATGCTCCATTTTGTCGGCCCTTCCATATGTACCATTTTGTCGGATTTCTCCTTTGTTCCATTTTGTCGGACTTCTATATGTACCATTTTGTCGGACTTCTCCTATGTATCATTTTGTCTTTTTTGTATCAAACTAGACGTTCGTAACGGTTCAGTGCCCCTTTGAGAACGAGCTGGTTACTGTATCATAATTAAAAAACAAAAAATGAATCTAAAATCAGACATAAGAAATCAGAATAGAACAAGCTTTAAATTCTTTGAACATTTTATTCTTCAAAGAATTGATAAACAACAAAAAAGCCGTTATTTTGTCCAAAAAAACTGTAAAAACGAATTTTATGGGAAATTTGAGATTTAAAATTTTGCAAATTGTGGCGTAAGGTATCGAACGCCAAATAAATGACATTTTATCCACCAAAAAAATAAAGGACGGTTGAGTGCAAGATGAATTCGAGAAGTTTATTGAATACTGTATAAATATTTATTTCGAATATGTTCTATTTTTCACAAATAGTACTAACCAATAAAATAGATAATCGACAAAATCAATCCAATCGATGTTAAATCAATCCAAAATTTTGCATTTTTGCTAGTTCGCTCTCAAAATGATTACTGAACCTACCAAAACTTACGATACTTATCTCTAGCTACATATTTTCTTTTTTCATTTTTTCTATCAGCAGAAGTGCTAAATTTTCCAAAACACTACAAAAAACACATGCCCGGACAATGCGTAATTGGAAAATCTGTAAGTTAAGTATACGGAGGATTATGGGATATAAAGGGCAATTTGGATGAATTAAGAGAGATATCGGGGGATTTATGGGATCAAGAGAATTTTGAGTTGATATCGAGTGATTTATAGGGGGGAAAGTCCAAAACTTAATATACTTAAACAGCAAAGACCGACGCTTCTTAAACAGCAAAGACTGACGCATTGTCCGGAAGTCCCAGCCACTTACAAATCACTTTGTTTCACCTCAAAATCCTATTAATCTTTACAAATCCTCCAATATCCTTCTTAATCACTCCAAATTGTCCTTATATTACATAATCCTCTGATATACGTCACTTACAGATTGAGTCACTGCTCCACTGACCGATAGTCCAACAGCACATTGTACTGACGCATTGTCCGGGAGTCAAAAAACGAAACATTTTATACAACAAAAATAAACAAAATATTTTTAAACATTTTACTATAAATAAATATTTTCACCGTTATTCGACAGCTCTTCTTAAACAGCAAAGGTCCAAGGAAATAAAATGTAGAAGCATAATCCTTAGACGGTCATCTTGGTGTCTGCCATTTCTAAAAAGGAAATTTTATCTCGTCTGGATACACAAAGCTATATAATTTCGACAGTGACTAAATTCAATGAACTATTTCTCTCTTCTTTCACTGTTTTCCTATTTTCACCAGTGAATAAATTCGACAGTGTGATCCGATTCAGGTAAATCATATATGTTTCGAAAGCCCTCAATAAGCGTTATCATATTTCCAATTGGATGGATCAAGCCTGATTACTTATTAGAAAGTTATGCCCCGATAAATGATAAAATGCTGAATAATTGAACACAACGGATTGTAATTTTTAATGAGTTTTAAACTTGATCCCTCCAATTCAGTGTCGAATTTAGTCACTGGCGAATTTCAATGACGCATTTGGTATAATTTCGGAAAACTAAACAGACTCCGATTGGGACAAATTATATGTAATCGACTCAGCTCGGCGAGCTGAGTCGAATGACATCAAAATATCGATTGGGACGTAACTATGTGCCGAGTTATAGGTCCCGAAAAATTGAAAAACCATAGGGGGGACCAAGCACTTTTTTGGGGTGAAAAATTCGAAAATGCAAATAAAGCTCATTTAAAAGAGCTCTTCAAGCTGAGTCGAATGACACCAAAATCAGCGAAATCCGACTTGTTTTGACAAAGTTATGCTCGTTTGTTTTAGCTCCTTACCTACGGCGCCTCCGTGGATGTTCTTGCTGCTGCGGAGGAAGCCGGTCATGCCCATCACAGCGATAATTGGAATAGGATTAAGTTACGAGCCCAGACCCAGCGCCCGTAGACTCCCCGCGAGGCGCGTGTCGCAAAACTCCGCGCGAAGCGCGGAGTTTTGCACAAGCGCCTCGCCAACGCCCCATAGGTTTACGTTGTTTGTTTTTCTGTCATAACTTCGAAAAAACTTAACCAATCACGGCGATTTTGGTCTTATTCGACTCAGCTTGAAGAGCTCTTTCAAATGAGCTATTATTTGCATATTCGAATTTTTCACCCCAAAAAAGTGCTTGGTCCCCCCTGTGGTTTTTGACCATTTCGAGCCCTGTATCTCGGCCCATAGTTACGTCCCAATCGATATTTTGATGTCATTCGACTCAGCTCGCCGAGCTGAGTCGAATGACATATAATATGTCCCAATCGGAGTCTGTTTAGTTTTCCGAAATTATTCCACGCATTTAATCACTGTCGATTTTAGTCATGTCGAAATTATCAGATACGCTAAAAAACCTGTTAAACTCTGCAGCTTTTCTTCCATATTTAAGTTGAGTATCCGATTGAGTAGACACTCTAGATGAGAGCCTAGCAAGCTCGTCCTCCACAAACTACCACTTTGTTTTCTTTCCAAGTTTGCTAGATGTAACTGGTTGTCATATTTCAAATAAGATAACCTTAAAGGATACTCACCAAAACTCAGTTCAATTACCGAATAGGAATTTTTTAAATTTTGTTAAAAATTTGCGGACAAAAAAAATAAATAAAATAAATTTGCGGACAAAAATAATTTTGCGGACAAAACTTGCGATATATAAAAAATATAACAAACAAACTTTTGGCCAATTGATTGTTGTTGTTGCACGTTGGATTTGTTTGTTGCTGTTGTTGCAGTTTCTACCATTGAAGCAACAAGACCAGCCGTAAATACAAAAACACACACAACACTAAAAATAATAAGAACGCACGCAACATACTAAAGCCACGCAAACCCTAAAAGTTCCCGCGCAAATGCTTGAAGTTCCCGCACAAATACTTGAAGTTCCCGCACAAATGCTTGAAGTTCCCGCACAAATGCTTGAAGTTCCCGCACAAATGCTTGAAGTTCCCGCACAAATGCTTGAAGTTCCCGCACAAATGCTTGAAGTTCCCGCACAAATGCTTGAAGTTCCCGCACAAATGCTTGAAGTTCCCGCACAAATGCTTGAAGTTCCCGCACAAATGCTTGAAGTTCCCGCACAAATGCTTGAAGTTCCCGCACAAATGCTTGAAGTTCCCGCGCAAATGCTTGAAGTTCCCGCGCAAATGCTTGAAGTTCCCGCGCAAATGCTTGAAGTTCCCGCGCAAATGCTTGAAGTTCCCGCGCAAATGCTTGAAGTTCCCGCGCAAATGCTTGAAGTTCCCGCGCAAATGCCGAAGCAAATGCTTGAAGAACCCGCGCAAATGCTTGAAGAACCCGCGCAAATGCTTGAAGAACCCGCGCAAATGCTTGAAGAACCCGCGCAAATGCTTGAAGAACCCGCGCAAATGCTTGAAGAACCCGCGCAAATGCTTGAAGAACCCGCGCAAATGCTTGAAGAACCCGCGCAAATGCTTGAAGAACCCGCGCAAATGCTTGAAGAACCCGCGCAAATGCTTGAAGAACCCGCGCAAATGCTTGAAGAACCCGCGCAAATGCTTGAAGAACCCGCGCAAATGCTTGAAGAACCCGCGCAAATGCTTGAAGAACCCGCGCAAATGCTTGAAGAACCCGCGCAAATGCTTGAAGAACCCGCGCAAATGCTTGAAGAACCCGCGCAAATGCTTGAAGAACCCGCGCAAATGCTTGAAGAACCCGCGCAAATGCTTGAAGAACCCGCGCAAATGTTTGAAGAACCCGCGCAACGCAAGAGGAACCCGCGCGACTGCTGGAGAATCCCGCGCAACCCCTAAAGTTCCCACGTAACCTGCTAAAAACACACACACATATCTTACCCACACAAGCCGCAAAAACCAAATTGTTGAAGTCCATCACAGCAGCATTGTTGGATTTGAAGCACTGAATGAAAAAAATATAATTGTTGTTAAGGTAAAAATGAGCAAGTTTTGTCCGCAAAGAACACCCGGGGAATGGGGAAGGAAGAATGGACAAAGGTAGTAATAGTTTCGTGTTCAGAAGGATCAGTGACATGCACAAAAATATCGTTGACAGCTTGTTCTTTCTGGAAAAAATAATTTTTTGAAACATAAAAAATTTAATTAAAAACCTTTTCGACCAAAGGAATTAAATTGACAATCACCATATTCTGAATTGTTTCTTTAATATTAACAGGTTGTGTTTTGAAAGACTAGAAAAAGAAAAAAAAAATAGTATTTTTAGTAAAACTTCTCGAAAATATTCTTTAGTGATTTCCCAGCCCCACATTTATCGATCGAACAGAATATGCGACAATTGAAAGAAGTTTCCACTTTGGTGTAGTGGGATAGTGCTCACTCTAATAATGGAGAGGGTTCGAACCCGTTTAGTAAAAAATATTTTATAATCTCCGTCAAATATTCACCCACACTAAAGTTACCACCATGGTCTAGCGGGATATTTCTCTTGTAGAGGATGAGTGAGGTTCGAATCCCTTCAACGGTAAATCTTTTTTATCACCCATTTCATGCAACAACAACCCCTCTAGTAAAAAACATTAAAAAATTTTTTACAAACCTAAGCAAAGATGGAGGTTGTAAACTTCCATTCGTCATCTTTCGTTGTGGCCAAATCCAAATCATATATCGGCATTCCATCTGTTCATAAGCTGAAATAGAGAATAAAAATAAAACAGTAACTGTTCTTAAAATTAAAAAAATATCAATGTTATTAAACGCATAGTAAACAAAATAAATAATATAAAAAATTTATTTAAACAAAAACTGTTGTAAAAACAAAAAAAATTTTTAATAAACAAAAAATAACGAAAAAAATAAACAACCATTCAATCAAAGGCCTTCATGCCCAGAAAATTCTGTTCTCTTTTGCATTAGATTTGAAGCAGTTTTGGACCTTGCACTTTCCAATTTTGGACAATTTGTAATTCTGTGTCCCAAACCAGAACAATAAGAGCATCCCTTATCTGCATCATCAACAACATTTTTCTCTTCTTTAGGCATAATAGCAGCATCAAGTTGTTCTCTTTCTTCATCCTCCCCAGCCAATTGTTTTAAAAATGCTGGTAAAGGTTGCCCTGCTTCGATAAGTAAATGTTTCAAATCGAGAAGAACAGAAATATCTTTGAAGAAAAAAATTTTTTTAAAGCTTAAAAAATATTTAAAAACCTGCTTTTCTATTTATAAATGTTGTTGCAATACCACATTTACCTAGTCGTCTTCCTGTACGTCCAATACGGTGAACTAGAAAAAGTAAAAAATTTATTTTTTGGAAAATTAGAGAAAATTATTTTTTACAAAATTTGGATTTAAAATTTATAAAATTATGCTAGGAGAGATTCCGGCAGAATTTTCAAAATTAAATCTGGACCCAAATTTCCCAGCCCCACATTTATCGATCGAACAGAATATACGACAATTGAAAGGAGTTCCCACTTTGATGTAGTGGGATAGTGCTCACTTTAATAATGGAGAGGGTTCGAACCCGTTTAGTGGGAAAAATTTTATAATCTCCGTCGAAGTTACACTATGGTCTAGCGGGATATTTCTCACTCTATTTTGAAGAATGAGTGAGGTTCGACAATGGAGGATAATCCCCCATAAAAATCAAAAAAACAAACCATAATTTTCAATATCTTCAGGCATATCAAAATTAATTACATGTTGAATATTTTCAAAGTCTAATCCTTTTGATGCAACATCTTTAAAAAAATTATTTTTTTTTAATTTATAAAAAAAAGAAAAAACCTGTAGCAATTAAAACATCCTTTTCTCCACGTCTAAAAGCATCCACTCCCGAATGTCTATCTTTTTGATCTAAAAAAAGGTAATAGATTATTCTTTATAAAAATTTTAAACATAGACTCGGACCTTACTAGAATGGTTCAATTTGCTTTTTAACTTGGTTATCCACTAGGCATGGGGAGGAGGTAGAGATTTCAAATTATAGAGAAAAGTCGAGAAAGATTTCGAATTTGGTTTTCAAAATTCCTCGGAACGAGGTTCTGAAAAAATTGTCCGGACTTGGCATTTCAAGTTATTGGCATCGGGTAGGCCGTGCCACCCCAGATAGGGAGCTGTATAAACGACAATCTCAATTTAAGACACACCTCATTGTATGATTTTTGATTTTTTCATTCTAAAGGTCTGCTACCTAACCTAAGCTTAAATTGGGGATATCGCTTGTTAAGAACATAACTCACATCAGTGGTTAACCAAATTTTTTCAAAAACCCATCTCCTAAATTGAGGTATGGGTAGCGGGCCAATTATAATTTAAAAAACCCAAACCTTTTCCTCCATGTATTGAAGCAACTTCAATTCCTTTTACCAACAAATATTCACAAATATGATCAACATCAGCTTTTTTCTCAGCAAAAATTAAAACTCTTGGAGGTGTTTTTTGCAAACAATTGAGAATTTTTACCAATTTTTCATCACTTCTAACATATTCAAATTCTTGAACAACATTTAATGAAGCTAAGAAAAAAATTTTTTAAAAAATTAAAAAAATTAAAAACCAGCTCCAGCTCTTCCAACATTTACAACAATAGCACGAACAAGTGTTGATTTTGCAAAATTTTGAATTTTCTTTGGCATAGTTGCTGAAAATAGAAGAGTTTGACGTTGTCCCTGGGAAAGGAAAAATTTTTTGAAATTAAAAAAAATTTTTTGACGAGTTGGGATATTTTGTCATCTTCCAAAAAAGTGACAAAATATCCCAATCATAAATTTTCTATTAATCAAAAAACCTTAAAATAAGAAAAGATGGAACGCAATTCTTCTTCAAATCCCATATCCAACATTCTGTCCGCCTCATCAAGAACCAAATAACGACAAACTTGTAGGTTCAAAATCTTTTTGTTTAACATATCAGAAAGACGACCGGGAGTAGCTACAGCTATATGAACACCTCTAAAAATTTTTTTTTAAATTTCTTGGTAATTTTCCAATATTTCCTAAGTTTTTAGTTGGTTCTCCAGTTTTTAATCTTCCCAACATTTCTAATTTTCCAAAAAATTAAAAATGGTCGGAGGTCCATTATGATCACAAAAATATAATTAAAATATTAACCAAGGCAGAATCTCTTTTCTCCTAAAAAAGAGATTTTTCTCCTTATTTAAAGCTTAATTTTTACTATTATTCTCCCTAAATTATTATTAACATTATCCCCCATAATGTAAAAGAAAAAAAGGAGAAGGAAGAAAAGGAAAATGGAGGGGGAGATACCAGAAAAGTAACAGAAAATCGAAAAAATAAAATACATACAAACCTTTCAAAAACTCTTGCTTGGTCTTTAATAGGAAATCCACCAATAGACAACCCAACTCTAACTTCAGGAAAATCACAATTTGGCAAAGAATCACAAATCCATTGAATTACATCAGAAATTTGTTTTGCCAATTCTCTTGACGGGACAATAATTAAACCATAAGGCCCTTCTCCTTTTTTAAATCTCAAAGCAATTTCTTGTTCCAAAGCAAACATTATTATTGGAATAACAAAAGTTAAAGTCTTTCCAGAACCTGTTGAAGCAATTCCAATCATATCACGTCCACTTAAACCAACTGGAATTCCTTGCATTTGAATGCCTGTTGGAATATAAATTTTCTTTTCTTTGAGTAAATGAATGATTGAAGAAGGCAATTTCATTTCCTGAAAAATTAGAAAATTTTTTTAAAATTAGGTAATTTTTAAGTATATCTTGAAAGTTTAAACGTTAAGGCTATTCTTAAGGCTATTCATTTTTCTTAAGGCTATTCATTTTTAATAAAAACATCGAAAGTATTTTTAAAATGAAAGCTCGGGGAATCACGGATTTATGCAAAGAAAAATATTAATGGGCGTTAACGGAAAAGCAGCCTTATTTACAAAAAGAAAGATAATAAGACTGCCTGGTACTCTTTGGATATCCCGCTCTTAAATAGTTTGAATAATAATAAAAGAGCTCAAGCTAGAGAAGAGGATGTCCAAAAAGTACCAACTACCCTTACAAAGATTAAAAAACAAACCAAAAAACTTCCAATAGCTGGTGGGCAGTCTTCCCCCTCAACTTGAATTCCTTTTTCCCTTCTAAAATTGTCCCAATCATCTTCTGTCTGGTTACGAATGTGTCTAGGTGGCCTCCAAGATGTTTTTATAGATTCTGTGTATTTAACACCCTTTGCAATTTCTGCGACCTAAACTATGAAGTTTAGAATAAAAAATAGTACAAAAACAAAACCGTAGCAAGAGCACTTGTTTGTGTAACACTTTGAAGAATTTTGTCTTCTTCTTCGCGTCTCTTTTCGTCATCTTCTCGATCATCGTCTAAAAGGAAAGAAATTGTTTATTAAATAGACAATTTATCGGGCGATTTTTTATTGAAAAATTTTTGTCCAAGGAAAACGACTTTCTTTATCAAAGGAAACTCTAACAGTAAAAATAAAATAAATTGCAAGATGTGGGACTCGAACCCAGACAGACCCTTCATTAATGAGTGAATGTTTACCAACTTAACCACACCGCACCTAACATCAACTTCCTAATAAATCACTAAAAAACACCCAAAAAACCAAGAAGATAACCTTGTTCTTGTTGAAGTAATTCATTATGCTTCTCCAGCAAACTTTTCTTAGACTCTTCCAATTTCTTCTCCTCTTCCTTTTTTCTTCGTTTTGCAGCCAAAAATTCTTCTGTTTCTCTTTGTAAATCCTTATCTGCTTGTGCTTCTGTTACTTTTGAATGAATTAAATTCCTCAACAAAAGGCGTCTGTGTTCCTTTAAAAATTTGTAAATTTAGAAGCAAGTTAACTCTAAAAAACCTGCTCTCTTCTCCTCTGTCTAGCTGAAATGTAAGAGTCTGCATCGGGGTCTGAATCATCAGATGAGATCAATCCTTCTAATTTTGCCTTTTCTTCTTCTTCGATTAATTTTCGACGTTTGGCCTTAAAATAGAAGTTAAAGGGGAAACAAGGAGTTTGTAAGATAGAAAAAAATCTAAAAATACTTTGGAGCAAAATAAATATCATATTTTCATCCAAAAAATATATTAAACTAAAATAAAAATCAAGTTTCGACAGTAGGACTCGAACCCTCAACCCACACCCTGTCAAGTCTAGATCACTACCAACTAAGCCACAAAGACAATTAACTAGGGTTGTATCGATCTTGGCTCGCTCGATCTTTCGAGTTTCGGGTCGAGCGAGCTGGCAACCCTACAATTAACACAATAGTAATTAGTTACCTCATATTTGTTAATTAAAAGCTTTGCTTTCAATTTTTCTTCGTCTGCATCAGTTATGATTGTTTCTACTTCTTCCATTCTTGTTTAACTCTCGTTGTCTGATTTTAAGCCTTTAAACGGATGAAGGTAAAAAATCCGTGAAATAGAAATATAATAAAAAGCCAATCCAACAGCAAAAGAAGGTTTTGAACGAATTAAAAAATTATTTTTGGATAAGCTGTTGTAAACAATCCAAGATCCGAGACAGAAAGAACCTATCGAAACTGTTAATTTGCACTCTAAACAGTCTTTATAAGAATTATTTTTGTTGTTTTGTTGTTGATTTTGCATAAATTTTTAAAATCTAAAAATAAGCGACAATAAGCGAAAACAATGAAAACCTAAAAAAACAATTAAAAATGAGAGACGTAACTGGTACTCAACTGGCAAGGCAATAGAATCAAAAAGACAAAACTCTTTTTCTCTAAAATCTCTCAAAATTCTTTGATATCTTCACTATCTTTCTATAAAATTTCCTTAAGAAAAGTTACCAATTCGAAAAATATGGGAGCAGATGTCATTTTTCTTTTTCTTTGATTTCTCTAACACTCTCATTGTTTTCTATACTATTTAAAATATTTAGTTCCTATTTGAATACCTTTAAAATTTATTTGTAAAGTTTATTTTTTCTTTAAACTTGGGAACTTTTGATTTTTTATAATTTCAGGTAAACGAATTAAGAATCTTTTGGATATTAGCTACAATCTTACAATGCCTAAAGCAAAAAAGTCTGCTGCCAAAACTTCGGGTAATTTTCTCCTTTTAAACCTTAAAAAATTTTTTTCAAAGATGCTGTCGACGATATTGACTCAATCCTTAAGGATATTGAGATGAAATCGAATGAAGCAGCTTCAAAGCAAAAGGGGAAGAAGAAAGGAAAGAAGGAAGTTTTGGCTAATGAAGTTGATGAGAAAGTTGTTGAGGAAAGTGAGGAGGTCGTTGATGGGGTTATTAAAGACATGTTGCCGGAAAACTGGGCTACTGAAATTAATGGAATGAAGCCGATAGATCAGCAATTTGTTGAGGGGGATTTTCCTATTGGACAGGTTTTCTTTTGTTAATTTTTTTTGAATATAATGAGGGTTCCTTTCTGGGTCTCTTTCCTGTTTTCTAATAGGAGGAATTATTCTGCGATTTTTCAACCTTTCATTAATAGAACGGTCTAGTAGGTCTAACAATATGCTAAATGTAAGGATTGTGGTTTTTCTTTAGCCGACTGATTGTGAGTGTGTCCAAAAGTTTGGATTTTGGGGTGAAGCATAATCATGCCTATAGCCAGAAGTAGGGGTAGGGCTAAATCTTCCTGGTTTACTGGCCTGGTTATGATTTAATGTCCGCCTAGCCTTGACACTAAAATAAATTTAAAATAATTTGTAGATTTGTGAATATCGTTATAATATGGACGACAGAACCGCCATCAATCGCATTACCAACGAAGAGAAAAAAGCTTTGGATACCAGTTATGAGGACATTTATAAAGATTTTAGAAGAGCCGCGGAGTCGCATAGACAGACACGAAAATATGTTAAATCGTGGATAAAGCCGGGAATGAAGCTTTTTGATATTTGGTTTGCTTTTAATCTTTCCAAAAAAAAATTTTTTTTTTGAAATTTTCTAGTGAGCGTCTTGAAGCACACAGCCGTCGAATGATTAATGAGAATGGATTGGCTTCAGGTCTTGCTTTCCCAACAGGATGTTCAATTAATCATTGTGCAGCGCATTACACACCAAATGCTGGGGATGATACTGTTTTGGGGCCTTCTGATATTGTTAAGGTTTTTTGAAATTTTTTGGGGATTTTTCTAATCTTCGTTCAAATAAAAGATTGATTACGGAACTCATGTAAATGGACGTATAATTGATTGTGCGTTTACTTTGACATATGATTCTAAATTCGATACTCTTCTAAATGCTGTGAAAGAGGCTACAGAAACTGGAATTCGTGAAGCTGGAATTGATGTTCGACTTTGTGATATTGGCGAGGCTATTGAAGAGGTTTAAAAAAGGGTCAATTTTTGACTAATATATTGTTGTAAAAGGGTTTAGATTTTTTATAAATAGGAAAGGGTTGTAGTGGATAATGATATTGGGCGAATGGTATTTTTCGAACCCAGATTTTCTAACACGGAGAGGTTGCGAGCAGTGCTTCGAAGCTCGTACCAAAATTCGTACTCGTACCTCGTACTCGTACTCGTACCTGGTACGAAGTACTAGTACGAGTACGAGCAAAAAAATGGAGCAGGTACGAAGTACGAGTACGAGGCCAAAAAAAGTGAAAAGTACGAGGTACGAGGCCTAAGTACGAGCTCGTACTTCTCGTACTTGGTGTTAATAGGAAAATTAAAGAAATATACTTAATTCCTTTCAGTCGCTATTATATGAGCGAGTGGCCGAGTGGTGAAGTTGCTTGGCTGCCCAAAGTCCGTGGTGATTTAATATTAGGTTCGCTTTCTATTCACTGGACAGGGAATTTTAATATTTTTTTTCATAAATGCCTAACTTATTTTATAAGTTTAATTTTGTTTTAAAAATTATTCTATTTTTACATGGAGTAATTATGTTATTTTGACCCTCTAAAATTCTTAAAATATTTTACTTTGAACACTAAAAAGTGAATTTTTTCGCCTACGGCCTTCCGAAATTTTCAAAAATTTCGCCTGCGGCGCTGAAAAATGGAAGAAATATAGCTTAAGAACATTCAAAATTCTCAAAATTTTTGCCCGCGGCGCAGAAAGGGAATAGAGATTAAGAGGGATATCCGGAGATAAAACTGTAAAAAAATGTATAAAAATGTATAACGTTCCATGGAAGAGAATGAAAAACGGAAAAAAACATCGCACAAAAAAAATCATCGCACAAACGCTCAAAATTTAAAACTAGATGTCCTGGACTCAAAAAAATCATAGAAATTTCAGATTTTTTGATTTATTCTCAAGTACGAGTAAGTACGAGGTACGAGTACGAGGTACGAGGCCTAAAATAGGGGTGGTACGAGGTACGAGTACGAGGCCAAAAAAAGAGGTGGTACGAAGTACGAGTACGAGTACGAGCAAATTTGAAATTTCGAAGCACTGGTTGCGAGGTGTCCGACCTAGAAACGGTCGAGACCGGGCTCATTCAATAAAGAAGTCCCGACCGTTTTTGGGTCGGACACACCTCGCAACCTCTCCGTTTAAGCGATCCCCTCTATGAAAGAAACATTCCAGTATAATATATAAATGCAATTTTTTCATCTCCTAGGTTTATCTAAAAGTGAAGTTTCGGTCCTTTTTGTACAAAAATTTTGAATTTTTTAGAATTACAACATATATTTATAAAATCATTTTCAAAATTATTTTCTTCTTATCTTTAGGTAATGACTTCATACGAATTGGAATTAAATGGAAAAACTTATCCAATTAAACCAATTAGAAATCTTAATGGTTTTAAATTTTTTTAAATTAATTTTTAAATTCCTTTTAAGGCCACTCAATTGGGCCCTATCGTATACATGCTGGAAAAACAGTTCCAATTGTTAAAGGTGGAGAACAAGTAAAAATGGAGGAAAATGAAGTGTAAGGAAGAAGAATTTTTAAAAAATTTAAATCTTTTTCCAGGTTTGCCATCGAGACTTTTGGAAGTACTGGAAGAGGTTACGTTCATGATGATATGGAAGTTAGTCATTATATGAAGAATTTTGAAATGCATGATGAACATGTTCCTTTAAGGTTTATTTTTTCTTTTAATTTTATTAAAATAAAATTTTCTAAATTTTAGATTGGCTCGAAGCAAAAAACTTCTCTCATTAATTAACAAAAATTTTGGGACATTAGCTTTCTGTCGGCGTTGGATTGATCGTTTGGGCGAAACTAAATATTTGATGTCATTAAAAGATCTTTGCGATAAAGGAATTGTGACACCTTATCCACCACTTTGTGATCAGGTTAATTTTTGATTCAAAAAATCTGTCTAAATAGTTTCCCTCCCTTTATGAATTTTGCTTTCCTTCAAAGGGAAAGGATTCGGGTAGGGGGAATTCGGCCCTATCTGAAAACAAGGGTCTCTTATTTTCATATAGGGTCTCAAATCCAATTAGAGGGTTATCTATCAGTTGCTACAAATTATACGAAAAATTTTCAGAAAGGATGTTATACGGCACAGTGGGAACATACTATTCTTTTACGTCCAACATGTAAAGAAGTGGTTAGTCGTGGCGAGGATTATTAGAGAAAATGTATAATTTTAAAGAAACTTTAAAAGTAAGAATTTATTACTGTTCTATATAAATTTATTTCTTGTTTTTCGAGATTGTTTTTCTCTCGGAATTTATAGTTTTTTTTAAAGAAAATAAAATTTTTTAATATTTAATTTACTGGAAAGGCCTAATTTAAACTTTAAGATAAATTTATTTGAGAACGAAAAATTTTCTTTTTCGTTCCCTTTCTTCACTAACTTCAATGTCAAAACTATGACACTTTCCACAAATAAAACATGTTACATCCTCCTTCTCCCGTTATCAAACAACCAAAAATTAATCATAAAATGAAAGAAGTGAAATTTATTTAAAGCCAAACATCACATTTTAAATGCCAAAAATATCGAAAAAATAAATAACAACAAAAAAATCAATTAAAAATTTGAAATAAATTTATTTTTTGGGAGGAAAACTTTTCTTATCTTCCTTAATATACTCTTTTTCTGTAACTTGAATGTCAAAATCATAAACATTGCAACAAATATAATCTGGTCTCGTCAGTCTATGAAAAATAACCTTCTTATAATTGCCAGAATTTACGAGTGGAGTCAGTTCTTCTTCAACTTTCCTCTTGTCAATTTTATTCAATTCTTCAATAAAATCCCTCATTTTCTTAATTGTTTTCCTCATTTGAGAACTGCTTAAAAACCCTCTAATAAAGTTACGGTGTCCACTAAAAATTTAAAATACCAAAATTTAAAAATATGAACGAACCGCTTAACGCATTCAATTACTCCTCCAAGTCTAGCACCCTGTGAACTAAAATTAGCAGCAAAACCCGCCATAGCTATCGTAGCCTTATGTGTCTTCAAGTTGAGTCCTTGTAATGTTTTAGTGGACGATCCCTCTTGAACAACAACAGTTAAGTCCTTATAAAAGAGAGCAATTGCTGACCCTAGGGAGCCCCAACACTAAAACAAGTATAAAGATTAAAAAGTTAAAACAAATCAATACCTTTTCACTTGATTGAACAACATTCGGAGGATCCTCTTCCAAGCATCGTTCGGCCGCCTCAATGAATTCCATAGGCGAGTAAAGTTTTTGCGTTTTCTAAATTAATAGAAAAATAAAATACTTTCGAAATAATAAAATTAAAAAATAATTTTCTAAATAGAAAAAAATAAACCACATTGATATGTTGCCACTCCTGCTTCAAAAGTATCTTCTCATCATTTAATTGAACTAACAAATTCCCTTCCCAATCTTCTCCACATTTGAAGGAAATTGTATGACCATTAAAATGAATATTTACAACAGCATCCTCATCATCTGCACATGTAAGATAAACATCATCAAAACTTTTTATAGTCCGGTTTGCTACTAACTAAAAATAAATATTGACTCGTGCTGTATTAAATGAAAAACATACATGTGGAGTTGAACTTGAACCAGCTTGAACCCTCGGCATAGTCCCACGTTTCAAATTACGGCCTCGATTCATTTCAGTTTTAATTCTAAAAATCAACGATCTGCGAAACAAAATAAATAGAAATTTAAAAATATCTGGTAGAAAATATAAGAGAAAATTAGCAAATAAAATTGGTTACAACCAAAAGTTAATGATAAAATGCAAAAAGCGGAATTTATTTAAAGCCAAACATATTTAATTTTAAATGCAAAAATTTCTAAAAGCATAACTAGCAACAAAAAATCAATTAAAACTCTCAAATAAATCTATAATTTGGGAGATAGAATTTTCTCATTTTTCTTAACATATTCAACTTGAATGTCAAAATTATAACTAGTACCACAAATATAATCAGATTTCGTCTCCTTATGAAAAATAACCTTCTTATATTTGCCAGAATTTATGAGTGGAGCCAGTTCTTTTTCAACCTCCTTCTTGTCGATTTTACCAAATTCTTCAATAAAAAACTTCATTCTTTCAATTATTTTCCACATTTCATAAGTGTCCAGCGTCTCTCTGTGATCGTTAAAGCGTGCACTAAAAATTATTAATAATCAGGGTGGCCCCTTCTAAAACACTAAAATAGGGCGCAACCACTCAAAAATAGGGCAAAAATAGGGTGAAATCGGCCAAAAATAGGGCAAAAATTAGGGCATAGATTTAAAAGCTTAAACATAATTAAAATTTCAAATAAGGCGAAAATTTTGAGAATTTCGGAAGCCAGGAAGTCAAATTTCTTCCATTTTTAGCGCCGCAGGCGAAAATTTGAGAATTTTAGAAGGCAAAGAAGCCAAATTTCTTCCATTTTTTGCGCCGCAGGCAAAAATTTTGAGGATTTTGGAAGGCCAGGAAGTCAGAAATCCTTAATTTTAAACATTTTTCTTACAAAATCCGAAGAATTTTTGAAATTTTACAAGATGGTAAAAATAGGGCAAAAATATGGCAAATTAGAAAATAGGGAAAAAATAGGGCGAAAAGGTCAAAAATAGGGAAAATCCTCTATAAATAGGGTAAAAGGGCCACCCTGTTAATAATACCAAAAATTTAAAAATATGAACGAACTACTTAACGCTTTCAATTACTCCTCCAAGACTAGCACGCTTTGAACTAAAATTAGCGGCAAAACGCGTCATAGTTATCATAGCCTTATGTGTCGTGAGGTTGAGTCCATGTAATGTTTTATTCGACGATCCATCTTGAACAACAACACTTAAGTCCTTATAAAACAAAGCAACGGTTGCACCCAAGGAAGCCCAGCACTAAAACAAGTATAAGGATTAAAATTAAAAACAGAAATCAATACTTTATCGCTCGCTCGTATCTCATTCGAGGGATCCTCTTCCATGCAGCGTTCAGCTTCCTCAATGTATGCCATAGGAGAACAAAGCTTTTGTCTTATAAATTAAAATAAAATAGAAAAAAGAAACCGAATCTGTCCGTTTCCACTCATCCTCCCCCAAAAATATCTGCTGTCCATTCAAATGAATCAATAACTTTCCTTCCTCATCTTCTCCACACTGGACGGAAAGTGTGTGACGGCCATTAATACGAATATTTACCAAAGCATCTTCATTAGGTGCACAGGCACAATAAACATTTTCATCACTTGTATTCTGTCGTTTTTGAGACAACTAAATAGAATGTATTGACACTTCTGAGCTATATTAAGAAAGAAAAACATACACGAGAGGTTGAACCACCATACTGATAAGTTTGGCCCCTAGGCTCACTTGAACCTCGATTTGAACTACCGCGTTGACTCATCTCGGTTTAAGTGTAAAAAGTCAAAGATCTTCAAAACAAAATAAATACAAAACAATTTAAAAATATCTGTTTGATATAAATAAAATCAATAATTAAATATAAAATAATGTTGGAAATTTTTATTGTTTAAAAACATACAAAGGATTAAAATATTGATTAAAAACACAAAAATCAAATTACTAGCAAAATAAATTCGAAAATAATCCAAAAATTAAACGCTTGAAGTCCCCGTCTGTGCAACTCTTTGAAGTAATTGACGAGATATAACAAGACGTTGAATTTGTGAGGTACCTTTAAATAGGTACATTGATTAAATGAAAATTATAAAATTTGTAACCTTCATAAATTTGAAAGATTTTCGCATCCCTCATTAATTTTTCTACTGGGAATTCTGTGTTGAAGCCATTTCCTCCAAATATCTATAAAAGAAAATTTTTGACGTTAGTCCTAATAAAAATCAAAAAACCTGGACAGCATTTGAAGCTGTTTGGTTTGCAGTATCTGCAGCAAAACATTTAGCAATTGAAGCCCAATAAGCACCAGGACGACCAAGATCAACTTCTTGGGCACTTTTATAAGTCATCAAACGAGAAAGTTCTAAAGCCATGGCCATATCTGCTAGCATGAAAGAGACGCCTTGATGCTGAAAATTGAAAAGTTTCTCATTTCAGATAATCAAATCTGTATATTGCCTAATACCAAACCCCTAAAAGACTCCTAAATACCAAATAATGAAGAACATTTGTTGAAACAAACAAACCTATACATACTTGTATTTCTCCATTATTTGGTATTTTGGCACTTTTGGGGATTTGGTATCACATCACACTCCCAGTTACATCCTACAACAGGTCCCAGTTAAATCCCACCCCTAGCCATGCAACTCAAAGGGGCATTGTAAAACACAAAAAATATTTACGTTAGCAATAGGCATTCCAAAAGTCTTCCTTTCCAATGAATATTTCGCAGCTTCATCCAAAGCTCTAGAAGCAAGTCCAACAGCCAATGCAGCAACAATTGGGCGAGTTTTGTCAAAAGTTTTCATTGCAATTTTGAAGCCTTCTCCAGGTATTCCAATGACATTTGAAGAAGACACTACAACATCTTCAAAAGTAATTCCTCTAGTGTCAGAGCAACGCTGACCCAAATTTATTTCCTTCAAATAAAAATTCGAAAAAATTCCAAAAAATTAATTAAAAAACCTTTTTCCCTCGAGAAAGACCTTTAGCATCACCATCCACAACAAAAGCAGTAAACGCCTTTCCACTCGGAGCCTTAGGGTCGGGATCGGTTCGAGCTAGTACAAAAAACCATGAAGCAACACCTCCATTAGTTATCCACATTTTTGAGCCATTTATCTTTAAAAAAAGATTTTTAAGAATTTTTTGGAAAAAAACATCAAAAGAACTAACCACCCACTCATCTCCTTTCTTTACTGCCTTTGTTTTAAGTCCGGAAACATCAGAGCCGGCACCTGGTTCTGTCACGCAATAAGACTTAAAAGAATCGTTAAAAAATAAGAGAAAATACATACAGCCATAACAGGTTCATCAATCAATTGACCCAAATATTTCTTTTTAATTTCTTCACTTCCACCAAGAATAATTGGGGTTGCAGCCAAATCATTGCCTAAAATGGCAGTCCCAATTCCTGTGCATCCATAACCAATAGCTTCGCTGATAAGAACGTTGCTCAATAAATCTAGGTCAAGGCCTCCTAAAAAATTCGTTTAAAGTTTATTCGGGAATGTTCATTATAAGCTCAATTTGCCCAGACGACACTTGGCCACCTTACGGTGAATTGTCTGTATGGTGAACTGTCTATAAGGGTGAGTCATCTGGCAGCATTTTAAAACGCCTTAAAGAAGGAAAAGGGGAAGCAAAAGTTGTCGCCTCGTCAGCTCAGTCGGTAGAGCAAAGGAGTGAGAGAGAGGCCTAGTAAGAACTGCCAGCAAGGCTCAGGTTCGATTCCTGTCCCTTGGCCTAACTTTTACTTTGTCTTGTAATGAACACTAGAGATCAGAATTTTTGAAAAGCCTGGGCCTTCCTGGGTCCCGAATTTGATTTATTGACCTGGGCCGGATCCTGGGCCTGTAGTCAGAAAAAACCCAGGCCCAGGAAAAATCCAGGAAGGTCGAAAAATACTGGTCCTGGCTGGGTACAGGAAAAACCCTGGCTTTGGTCCAGACCCGGGCCGATCTCTAATGAACACCCCTAGAACCCAAAATTCTAATTTAAAAGAAAACCATATTCAGCAGGTATATCAACATTCATAAAGCCATTAGCATGTGCCTTCTTAATTACTTCCCAAGGAAATTTCATCGTCTGGTCATAATGGGCAGCTTTGGGAATTATTTCTTCTGCGGTGAATTTACCCACTGCTTGTTGAAGTTGTTTTTGTTCAGATGACAAATCTTTAAAAAATAAAGTTTTTTAACCAAAATCCTTCAGTTTTTTTACCTAAATTAAACCCATTTCCTTGTAATTTTGAAGTAATTGACAAATTCCTTTTGATAAGTTCTAGGCAGAATTTTTTGTCATTTTGAGCAATTTTGAGGGTATTTCTGACTAACATCCTTTAAATTTTAATTTTTATTTATTAGTTAATGAAAATTTAATAAAATGAGAGGATCGATAGGGAATGCAGTCAATCAAACAGAGTTTATTTCAGGGGGACACGCCCATGTAGGCGCGCGGCCAAGTAGGCGCAAAGCCATAACTACCTGAAAAATTTATGGACCTTAACAATTTTGGTACCATTCTCTTTAGCTCGATGAGAGGAATCGTTTAATACCAAATTTGGTAAGATTCAGAAATTTTGAAGCAAGTTATGACTTTGCGTCTACTTGGCCGTGCGCCTACTTGGGCGGGTAGGGGACGACTCAGAGTCGCCGATTCAGAGTCGCCGATTCAGAGTAGCCGATTCAGAGTAGGGACAATTCAGAGTCCGCCGATTCAGAGTACGTGGAAAAGGGGACGATTCAGAGTACGTAGATTAGATTACCCTAAAAATTGAGATTTTTGGAAAGCAATTGCTTTATTTTTTGTTTTTTATTCTTTCTTGTTTCTTTTTATTGTTTTAGAGAGAAAAACAGCAATTTGCACAACCAGCAACAATAGTTCAATGGCAGAAAATAATTTTTAATAAAAATTAAAAATTTTTTAAATTTTTCTTAAACTTTTTAAATTTCTTCAATTTTCCACAGAAACTTAAACAACGAGGTTCTTCTCTACATTGCGAGGTTTTTTAACAGAATTTTTGTTTTTTTTTAATTTTTTTGAAATTTCTCTAATTTTTTTAAAATTTCTTAAAGAATTTTTTCAATTTTTTAAATTCATTTTTCTAGGGGTAACAACGACGTGCTCGGGCGGTTTGCTGTTGAGCGATTTGCTGCTGAGGTGATTCTGCCTGGCAACCTTTGAATTGCAGTCCTGTATGGAAAAGAAGCGATGTTGCAATTTCGTCAACAACAGCCACAACCCAAACGGCCCTCTTTAGGGCCACAAATCTAATAAGTGAAACGAGACATTGACTTTTTAGTTTATTTTTTGATAAATTTTTGCTTATTTGACGCGTTTTTTTTATTAAAATTTTGTTCCCTGAAGAAAAAAAGTTGAGGCCAAATCTTTACCTACGGCCGAAAAAGCCTAAGAAAAGCCTAGAGTCGAGACTCGGCTAGCTCTTGAAATGTTCCTCAGATCGTAGAAAGTAAGAAAAACCAGAAAAATCGCTAGAAAAGCTGATTTTCTATGCCCGAAAATTTATGTACTCTGAATCCCCTTTTCCCCGTACTCTGAATCGGCTACTCTGAATTGTCCCTACTCTGAATAGTCCCTACTCTGAATCGGCTACTCTGAATCGGCGACTCTGAATTGGCGACTCTGAATCGGCGACTCTGAATCGACCTTTTCCCTACTTGGGCCGTACCCATTTCAGGGCTTTATTTCAGGGCATCCTTGTGTCAGCGAATTTTGACATTGAAATGCACAAAATGCTCAGTGGAAACTAGAAATTATTAGAAAAGATTCATTTATGTAGGAGGGAAATTTGAAAGATTTGAGGACGAATAAATACTTTCTAATTTAATTTGGTGTGTACTTTTTATTTGCACATTTTCTCCCTATGTACTTTTTAATCAAGATTTTTGTACTTTTGATTGGTATTTTGTCGATGAGAGCCATGGTTTATTTTATTAGTTACAAAGTACACCAACAAAAAAATTATTAAAAGGCGAGAATCATTCAAAGCGAAAAAAAACTCTGGTGATCTTCTGGGCTATGACAATTGAACTATGAAACAATTAGACAGAAGACAGATTGACAGCAAGACAATTGGACAGAATAAATGGGCAGTGACATTTGGAAATAGGACAATTGGACAGTGCGTTGCATATGACAATTGACACTGATTAAAGACGGACTAAATGTTTATTGTCTCGCTGTCCAATTGTCTTAGTGCCCAATTGTCTTATTATTCTATTGTCTCGTGCTCCTATTGTTTCGGTATCCAATTGTTGTGCCATCGTTTTCCTCTTTCATTTTCTCCCTCTAAAATTTTTTTTTCTCGTCGAGACCGATCAAAGCCAAATTAAAAGTTCATTTTCTATTTAGATTTTGACTATTTATTATTCCAAAGAGCTTTTTTGCTTTAATGAAACAACAACAAGATGAACCGAGATTAGAAGTTGTTCCAGATCACATTGATTTTGCTGCAGAGGAACGCAAAATTCTTCAAAAATGGCGAGACAAAAACACCTTTCAAACCTCTCTAGAGTTTGTTTTCTAGGATTTTTAAGTTCAAATTTTTCAGTCGAAATCGTGGAAAGCCCCATTACACATTTTATGACGGCCCTCCTTTTGCTACTGGACTTCCACACTATGGGCATATTTTGGCAGGTTTGCTTGACTCGAAGTTTTCTCAAAAATCCTCTCATTTACAGGCACAATAAAAGACATTGTTACTCGTTGGGCACATCAAAGTGGTTTTTATGTTGAAAGACGTTTTGGATGGGATACGCATGGATTACCTGTAGAGTACGAAGTAGACAAAATTTTGGGCGTCAAAGGGCCTAGTGATGTTTTGGATATGGGAATTGGTGTTTACAATGCAAAATGTTTGTTGTTCTTTAATTTAATTTTTTGTTAGTCTATGCATGTTACTTGTACTATAAGTCGTATTAAGAAGAGTCGACCGGGCCAAAAGTCCAGGTTTCAAGTGCCTGACTCATCCCTGGCCTATACAATTTAATCTCATAGGGCACAATCTTGGGAAGTCTGACCATTATGAGCCCATTGAGGAAGGGAACTCCGGACGATGCTCGGGATTAACATTATCGCTTGGACAGATCCCTCCACCCAAAGGGTAACCAAACTTTAAAAACGTATATTAAATCGAGGAGACCTATATTTTTGAGAGTATCTAAAACAGGGTGTTCGACTGTAACTGATATCGAGTTGCTCTTAAAATACACCCACCAGTACTCCCTCCTCTTATAAATGAATCTCTCTTATTAAACAAAATTTTAAGGTAGAGGCATTGTAATGAGATATGCTGAAGAATGGCAACATATGGTTGAGAGGACTGGACGTTGGATAGATTTTGATAATGACTACAAAACTCTTTACCCGTAAATAATTTTTTTAATTTTAAATTTATTTAATTAAAAAGTTGGTTTATGGAATCTGTTTGGTGGGTCTTTTCTCAACTCTTCAAAAAGAATTTTGTTTATCGTGGAGTGAAGGTTATGCCATTTTCTACTGGCTGTTCAACTCCTCTTTTCAATTTTGAGGCTGGCCAAAATTATCAGGATGTTGTTGATCCGTCAGGTTTTTTTGAAGATTTCTTAAGGTCATCTTACTCGAATCCTTTTTTAGTTTTTGTTGCTTTCCCCCTTGTTGAAAATTCGGATCGCTCCTTTGTTGCTTGGACTACAACTCCTTGGACTTTACCCAGCAATTTAGCTTTATGTGTAAATCCAAATCTTGTTTATGCTGTTATTTTGGGTTTGTTTTAATTTATTTTTCTTGAGGTTTTTGTTGTTTGGGGGGAATTTCGGAGCACCGAAGAAACCTCGCGAACTTCAAGTCAAAACTCTGAACTTTTGGTAGTAATTGATAGAGCGTAGAGGGATAGCTAGGACTATGAGACAAAAGTTTTGGGGCTTGAAGTTTGCGAAAATTGATGGAGAAAAGGAACGCAGTGGCATAATCTTAACCAAATTTCTTAGAATTTAATTAGTCCTTGGCTTCCAAAATTTTCCTTGATCATATTACCAAGGCCGTTGGATGAAATCCCCCCCCCCCCTTTCGAAATCCCTGACTACGCCCTTGCATCTACCCTTTGTCAAATTACCCCGAAATATCACTTAAATCCAGGGTTCTCATTTATACTTTTTTAAAAGTATTCTACTTTTAAATCGACCTCCATGCTTACGAAATTGAATTTATACTTTTTTGAAAGTATCTACTTTTAAATCAACATTTTGGATTGAAAATGAAATTGGGGAAGGGATTGGGCAAAAAAGTGATTTTTTTGGCATACGGCCTTTGAAATTCTCAAAATTTTCGCCTGCGGCGCTGAAAATGGAAGGAATTTAGCTTCTAGGGTCCAATTTTCAAAAAATTTTCGCCTCGGCGCAAGAAATGGAAGAAATCTGGCTTAAGGACTCCCAAAATTCTCAAAATTTTCGCCTGCGGATAAAATTTCGCCTGCGGATAAATATTTTCTAATTTAATTTTGAGACTACTTTTTTTCGCAAATTTTCTCCCTATATACTTTTAAATCGAGATTTTTATACTTTTGATGGGCATTTTGTCGATCAGAACCCTGCTTAAATCCCAATAATTTTCTTTTTTTTCAGATGTTAAAACTCAAAAAGAATACATTATGCTAAAAGAACGTCTTTCTGAATTGTACAAATCGGCAAATTTATATAAAATAATTGAGACAATCAAGGGAAGTGAACTTGCTGGAAAAGAGTATATTCCACCTTTTCCCTATTTTTTGAATTTAAAAGAAGCTGGAAGAAAAGTATTTGTTGTTGTAACAAATACTTATGTGAAAACTGATCAGGGAACGGGAATTGTTCATCAGGCGCCGTATTTTGGAGAGGTTTTTTTAAAATTTTTTTTGGTTTTTTTTGAGTAGGGGAGTCTTGGAGCATTTTTAGAACTGGTTTTCCTTAAATTCTCCCAACATCACAAGAAAGTTTTTTCTTCCTTGTGGTCGACTTACCAGATACTCGAAATCCGGACTTTTTCAACCAGAGACCCCAATCCGAAGGAAACTTCCAAAAATTGACTTGGACCCGAAACGCAGACTTATTCCTCATCTCAAAATCCTTCGAAGTGTTTTCAGAAAGATTCCGAAAAATGTTTCGGAAACTTGACCCTATACCCTTACATTAGTCCGATCCATCCCTTTTCTTTATATGTAGCTCTGTTACTTTCTTTCTCCACAAATTTTTTATACAAAACTTGTTCATTTTCTAGGAAGACCACAAAACATGTTTAGAACACGGAGTCATTACAAAAGATGCAGAGATGACCTGCCCTGTTAATGAAAAGGGAATTTTTACAGATGAAGTTGTTGACTTTAAAGGATTATATGTAAAAGATGCTGACAAACAAATAATTAAAATGTTGAAAGAAAAGGGTTTATTATTAAAACAGGAGCAATACAAGCATAGTTTGTTTTGGGGGTTTTTTGAAATTTTATTAAAAAAATTTTTTTCCAAGGTTATCCATTTTGTTATAGATCACATACTCCTTTAATTTACAAGGCTGTCCCGTCTTGGTTTATTAGAGTGGAATCACTTGTTGAACAATTATTGTTGAATAATGAGAAGACTAGATGGTTTGTGGTTTTTTGAATTAAAAAAAGTTTTTTTTAATTCTTTGAGAAAATTTTCTTAAAAAAATTTTTTTTGAAATTTTTTAAAAATTTTTCTGGAAAATTTTTCGATTATTTTGAGATTTTTAAAAAAAAATTTTGTCAAATAAAATTTTTTTAATTTTGAAAATTTTTAAAATTTTTTAGGGTCCCTTCCTTCGTTCGAGACAAACGTTTTGCAAATTGGTTGCGTGATGCAAGAGACTGGGCTGTCAGTAGAAATCGTTTCTGGGGGACACCAATCAATTTGTGGGTTAGTGAAGATCATACAGAAATTGTTTGTCCTGGTTCAATTGCAGAACTTGAAGAGCTTACTGGTACTAAAATAACGGATTTACATCGAGAAAAGTTTTTTTTTGAAATTTTTAAAAATTTTAAATTTTTTTAGTATTGATGATTTAACAATTCCTTCAAAAATAAAAGGGAATGGACCTTTGAAACGTGTTTGTGAAGTTTTTGATTGTTGGTTTGAATCAGGCTCTATGCCTTATGCCCAGCAACATTATCCGTTTGAAAATTCTGAAGTTTTTGAAAATAATTTTCCTGCTGATTTTATCGCTGAAGGTTTTTTTTATTTTATAGCCTTTTTTATTTTATTGAGTTACTACTCGAATTTTTGGTAGAATCCTTTTAATACGTCACACTCGGGATTGAAAAGAAGACTTGAGTTAGAGTTTTTTATTGGAATGTATCAAAAAACATAGGGTGGACATTTCGTCACATGTGAGACACGAATTCAAAGGCTTTTCCCTTATGAGTTTCCCTTGTTGAGGAACAAAACAAAAAGTCTCGTCGGGGATGTCCACTCTTTTATGCTCTCCGCTACTACGATCCTTAATGACAAGACACTTTCATTTATATGTCGGCTCGAAGAACCCAGAGGTGACGTATTAGCGGGATTCCACTTTACATATTTATCTACTACATATACTTTTCACTTCCAATAATTTTTAGGTATTGACCAAACTCGTGGTTGGTTTTATACTTTATTGGTCATTTCAACAGCTCTTTTCAATCGTCCTCCATTCAAAAATTTAATTTGTAACGGTTTAGTGTTAGCTTCAGATGGAAATAAAATGTCTAAAAGTAAAAAGAATTATCCTGATCCAATGGAAATTGTTGAGAAATATGGGGCAGATGCTCTTCGACTTTATTTAATTAATTCGCCTGTTGTTAGAGGTGAAAATTTGCGTTTTCAAGAAGAAGGTGTAGCAGAGGTAGTTAAACAAGTTCTTGGTCCGTGGTTAAATGCTTACAAATTTGTTAGTTTGGCAATTAATAAATATGAAGCGGTAAGAAAATTTTTGCAGGGTTTTTGGGGAATTTTGAGAAATTAAACATAAAATATTTTTGCGGACATGTCCGCAATAATATTTGCGGACATTAAAAAAAAATTTTTAATCTGATTTTTGCCTTGAGCTATCAGATAAAAATTTTTTTGGAAGTAATTTTAATTATTTGCGGAAATGTCTGCAAAAATATTTGCGGATAGTCCGCAAAAATTTGCGGATTAAAAAAAATTTTTTTTAATTTTTTATCTGATTCCCACATTGAAAATTAATTTTCTTAATTAAAGGAATCAGGCAATCAATTTGTTTTATACAAAAAAGGCTTTACCAATTTAATGGATCAATGGATATTGTCTTTTACCAATAGCCTTGTAGCTTTTGTCAGTAAAGAAATGAAAGAATATCGTTTATACACAGTTGTTTCTCCTCTTGTAAATTATTTTGATACACTTACAAACACTTATATACGTCTAAATCGAAGCCGAATCAAAGGAACGACTAAAGAAAATTCTAAAGAAGATCAATTGTTTGCAATGTCAACTGTTGTTCATGTTATTTTACAAATTACTCGGTTGATGGCGCCTTTTACTCCTTTTTTCTCGGAATATATGTGGCAGAAATTGAGAAAATTGGTTAATTTTTTATTAAATTATTTTTTGGGGAAGTAGGCAAATATTTGCGGACAAAAAAATCTGCGGACAAAAAATTTGTCCGCATATATTTGCGGACAAAAATTTTTATGTTATTTTTTGCAGAAATAAAATTTTTCGGAGATTTTAGCTAATAAATGACTAATTTTTCTGAAAAAAATTTTCCTTTTCAGACTGACTCAGAAAATGAAGATTCTGTCCATTTTACTCAACTACCCATCCCTGAAGACCAATTTATTGATGAAAATTTGGAAAGGCAAGTGGCTGCAATGAGAAGTATAATTGAAATTATAAGAACGTTGAGAGATAGAAAAGCTATTGCTGTTAAGGTTTTTTTCTTTTTTAATTTTTAAAAAATATTTTAAACGTTTTAAAGTATCCATTGAAAGAAGTTATTGTTGTGAACAGGTTCAGTTTTTTTAAAAAGTATTTTTTACGGGGATTATTAAGGCGAGGAGTTTTTAAAGGATAGACTTTTTAAAGACTTTTTAAATGATCACCTAAGAAAATAAAAATTTGTAAAAATATTAAAAATTAACAGAATAACCCCAAAGGTTCTCAATTTCTTGAAGATCCACTGGGTTGACTTTTTTAGTGTAGTGGGTTAGGTTTTGCTTTACCTCCAGATATTTTGAAAAGTTCGAATCCTTTGCTTTGTGGAAACATTTTCTTTAGATTTTTTTCAAATTTTTTAAGTCGATAAATTTTTTAATTTTTTTTTGCCTAAAAATAATTTTTTAAACAGGGATTCTCAATTTCTCGAAGACGTAAAACTTCTGGAGAATTATATACTTTCCGAAATGAATGTAATTAAATTAACTACTTCAAGTAATCGTCAAGAATATGGTGTTAATTTAAAAGCGGAGCCTAACTTTAGATTACTTGGTGCTCGGTTAAAAGGAGATCAGAAAGCTGTGACAGATTATTTGAAGGTTTTTTTTGAATTTTTTTTTTCAAAAAATTTTTGAAATTTTTTTTCAAAATTTTTTCGGGGGTTCGAAACTTTTCTGAAAAAATTTTTGAAAACATTTTTATGAAATTTTAATATTTTTTTCAATTTTCTGTGTAGAATAAAATATCGGAGGACGAATTGGAAACATTTTTGGACGATGGAAAAATTGTTGTTTTGGGGCATGAATTGTCTTGTGATGAATTGACCGTCTCATTTACTACAAATAAGGAGAAGGATAATGAGGATGATAATCAATGGGAAACGGCAACTAAAGGAAAGGTTTGTTTGAAAGAATTTTTTGAAAATTTTTCTGAAGTTTTCTAAAAAATTTTCCAATTAATTTTCAGTGTGTTGTTATGATAAATACAAGTGAAGATGAAAATATTTTGGCTATGGGACTTTCTAGAGAAGTGGCAAATAGAATACAAAAGTTGCGGAAAAAGGTTATTACTTTTCTCTTTGGAAAATTTTTTTTCTTAATTTTAAGGGAAAATTATTAGAAACAGACAAAGCACTAGTTTATTGTTTTGTAACACCCAAAGATTCTTTACTGGCAAAATCGCTCAATGACAATTATAAAAATATTGAGCAAAGTACTGGAACGCCGTTAAAGTTAGAAGAGTGTAATTTTCAAAATAAGGATGGATTTATTGCTGAAAGTTGTGATCAAATTAAGGGAGCACAATTGGAGGTTTTTTTGGAAATTTGAATTTTTTTGAAATTTAAAATTTTTTCAGTTAAAATTGTTGAGACTTTCGAATTGAAAAGAGGAAAGGAATTTCGGATTTTTTAAAAATGTGAAGGTTTAAAATTTGTTTAATTAAAAAATAATTGCTTTAGGGCATATGTAGCCAAGGCGGAAGAGAATTTTTTGGAAAACCCTGAAAATTTCCTTGAAAAATTGTCATGGCTATGTGCCTGAATTGCTTATACTCTTCCAACACTTTGCTAGTTTTGTTATTGTTTTGTTTTTCTTCTTTGAGTTTCTAAAGTTGGGCAAATTTTGATAAATTTAAAAAATAAAATTTTCTTGAAAAATTACTCAATTAACAAAAAAAACTTCTTTCAGTATTCTCTGCTTTTATTCCATAAAAACTGGGATTGCCAATTAAATTAAAAAAAACAAATAAGGTGGAATTTAGCTTGAATACACAAAATACAATCGAATATTTCGTTTGTTTTGGTGTTCAAAAATTTTTTTTGAAAAACTATCCGATTGTATAAATTACAACATTAACAAATACTCAAATAATATCTGTGTGATAAGTTAACAATATGAACATACATATAGACGAATAGCTAAAAATAAGTCAAAAACCCTATGTGATACCATAGATCTTTAAAATACGGTTTCTATAAAGTTGGGTTGGAAGCAGGGATGGGTTCTCCCTAATTTTAAAAGCGGAATATGGAAGGGATATAATGTCTGGTAGGAAGCGATAAACCCCCCTCTATTTAAAGTATCCCTCCTTTTTTATTAAATCCCTTATCCCAAAAAGAGCATGGTATAGCGAGTTCCGACTTAATTTAAATTAAAAATTCTGGTCAACCTTATTCTATTATGATTTATTTTTAGAAGCTGCTTCCCTTTGTTTTTGCTTCTTTTCTTCTTTAATTTTTCTTTTCTCTTCCTTCTCTTTTTCCAAAAGTCTCTTCTTTTCTTCTTTTTCTCGAAGTTCAGCCTCTTTTTGTTCTTTTTCACGCATTAAAGTTTCTCGATCGACTAATTTTAATCGAGTATCTTTTGTGTGGTCTTCAAGTCTGACACCAAGATTGGGCAATATTTCATCTCGAAGACGATCACATTCCTTAAAGATGAATAAATTATATTTTGATGTTGGAATTCAGGCCCAAAATTAAAAATTTGGGCCTGTATTAAAGATAAGATCATGGGCATAGAGCCCAGAAAAACCCAAGAGAGAAATGTCTAGGTTCTGGATCAGGTCTTCTTCAAAACAAAAAATATTCTAAAATATTTGAAACAATTTTGGATTCCTGAAATTATTTTTAGAAAACCAGACAAAAAGCCAGACCCTGACAAAACCAACTAGCTCAAAAATCAATCTAGACCCACCTCGACCTCGAATTTTTTTGGGATTTTTCGGAACAGAATTTTCCCTAATAAAAAAATAAACCTTTAAAATATTAATATTTTTCGACGTCCTAGCTTCACTTCTAACAACCTCCCGAAAATTGGCTAGTGCCTCCAAATATGGCATTAATATTGCTTCTTTATCCACACAATGATTTTCTGATGATCTTAAAAGAATATTTTTTTCTTTCCCCCAAAAAAATTCAAAAATTTACTCTTGTCGAAAATTAAATTCTTTAAATCCAGTATCAGCTCCAAGTATTTTCATCAATTTAATTACATAATTTGCACAATTTGCCAATAAATTGCAATTTGGTTTTGCTTCTTGTTTTTCAATTAAATACAAATTTATTAAAGAAATTATTGAACGAATTTTTTCCAAAACAGTTCTTGTATCGATTGAATCACACAAAGCTAAATGTATTTCTGATTGGAGCAAAGTAAAATTGTTGAATACTTCAATATCACGTTGATCGAATTTTTTGAAGCACTAAAAATGGATTTTTTAAATAAACGACTATTTTGGGGAAAATGGAAATTTTGGTTTAGTGGGATAAATAAATTTTTAAAGGAGAAAATTGCGAAGGTTCGAATCCTCTCAGGGGAAATATTTTTAAAAAAGCCACCAATACGGTATATTTTTTTATTAAAATTTTGAATTCCTTGTTTAAGGGGTCTAAAAATATTTTTTTCCAGGTAAATTAGTATTTGGAAGTTATTTTGAATAAATTAGAAAAGTTATGATAATTTTGGTTTAGTGGTAAAAACTTTATGTTTCGAGGCAAAAAGTGGTCGGGGTTCGGATCCGCTCAGTGGGAAATAATTTTATAGAACTTCTAGAATGATATATTTTCCATTAAATTAAAAAATATTAGTTAGAGGACCAAAGAAAATTTTTTAAAATTATTTTCCCCACTTAAAAATTTAAGAAAATAACCTCATTAATTTCTCCACTTTCCTTCGTCTGTTTTCTTATAATATCTTTAATATTCAAAAAGAATTCACAGCAAAGCTTTTCAAAGTGTAACACATGGTCCATTGTAGCATCACTTAAAAAATATCAAAATTTAATTTTAAAAAATTTCAAAAAACCTGTAATCCAAATTATCAGACCAAATATGCATTAAAAACAAAATTCTTAATTGCCTAGCAGTGTATTTTTGTAAAGCATCTTTAATCGTTATAAAATTCTTTAAACTTTTTGACATTTTTAATCCAGCAATTCTAAGTGTTCCACAATGCAAGAAAAAGTTGACCCAATGATCACAGTCAGAATATGCTTCACACTAAAAAATCAGTAAATTTATCTAGAACTTGAGTAGGAGGACAGGCGGATAAATAGACACTGAAAAATTTGATTAGGAAGGCCGATCCGTATTTTTTGAGTAAAAATGGGTAGAAAATCCTGTCACGATAGTCATAGTCAACAAAAAATCTAATAGATAAAAAAAATGGGCTTTAGATTGTCTAAAAGGGGTTCATTTTCAAAATTCTAAAAAAATTTTTCTCACAAAAAAGTAGAAAACAGAACTAAAAACACTTCTACTAATTGACTAATAAAAAGATATTATCGAATATATTGTATAGGGTTGTGTGTTCGGAACAGAAGTTTTTATGGTTCGATTCTTCGGTTTGAATATTCGAAAATTTCCCAAGAACCGACAACCCTAAAATTGACTTAAATAAAATTAAAAATGACCAAAAATAATTTAAAAGAAAACCTGTGCAATTTCATTATCATGATGTGGGAATTTCAAGTCAAATCCCCCAGCATGAATATCCAACTTTGATCCACATACAGACATACTCATTGCTGAACATTCAATATGCCAACCTGGGCGACCTTTTAAATATTTTATTAATTTAAAAAAATTAAAAATAAAAAACCTTTCCCCCAAGGACTTTCCCAAAAAGGTTCTCCATTTTTTGAAGCCTTCCACAAAGCAAAATCGCATTTTGAAATTTTTTCAACATTTTGAATATTATTGCAGACCGACAATTCTCCTTCTCCTTCACGTAAATGTTTTTCTATACATCCCTCATCTTTGTATGCTTCAGGCAATAGTTTGGCATAATTGTGGTTTGGAGAGCAGGAAAAGGCTTTTGTATTGAAATAAACCTAAAAAACTAATTTTTCTTTTTTAAAGATTAAAGGACACGCGGACATATCAGGACATTTCATTGTAAGAACAGTTACCCGACTGATTTTGGGACTTATGGCCACTAGGTCTTGTATAGTATATTGTCCTATTGGGAATAGAGTTTTTATGTTTTAGAACAAAAGTAAACACGCAAGAAATTATTTTTGTAACCCAATCCCGATATGTCCGACACCGATTAAAGGTTGTTCCCAGAGAACGGCTCCCACAATCCCTCAAGCTATAGTATTAAAAATTTTGGCAGTAAAGACAGGAAGCGATTGCAATTCTTTCCTAATGATATTGGTTTGTCTGGGGCTCTCAAACAATTAAAAGGGATTTTAAAAAAGTGCGAAAGGCGAAAGAAGAGGAAATAAATCCGCAAAAAAGCTGTCCCAAATTGAGAGCCTTCCCTTTTTACAAGTGACTTGCCAAAACCTTGATTTAAAATAAACCAAAAAACCTCACAAGAAAACCTCACAAAAATTCCCAAAAAATTAATTTAAAAATATACCGATCCATCCAAAACATAAGCATAACCATTTTCAATAATTTTATTTACATAATCAATAATTTCTGGAATATATTCACTAACTCGAGTAAGAACATCTGGTTCTAGGACATTTAAAGAAGACATCTCTTGAAGGAATTCATTCTCATATCTAATAAAATTTTTAAAAATATATAAAAAAATATGGTGAATATTCCCGGAAAATATAAAAACGTCCGCAAAATTCGAAAAAATCCGCAAATATGGAAACTGTCCGCAAAATTCGAAAAAAAATCCGCAAATATGGAAATTGTCCGCAAAATGAGGAAAAAGACGACAAAACATAATAAATGGCCGCAAAATATAAATTTAACCCAATTTATGAAAAATTATTCCGTCTCTTGAGAAAATTGTAATAAACTTAATTTGCAGACAGTTTTATGCGGACGTTCATCCAAGGCCCGTAGCCAGGGGGGTAGGGGGGTAGAAAATTTGGGAAAGGGCTGGGACAAAAAAAGTGATTTTTTTTCGCCTGCGGCGCCGAAAATAAAAATTTTTGGAGCCTTGGCGTTCACCCCTTGCCCCCCCCCCCGAAAAAAATCCTGGCTACGGGCCTGATTCACCCCCTCAACAAAAAACACTCTAAAAACAAACTTTCTAGCCAGTCTAGTAAACACTCCATGGTCGTCAACTGTATGCCCACTTGTTGAATCCAACCAGTCGGAAATTACATCTTTCGACGATTCCAAAAGTTGCTTGACTAATCCAAGGCTTTCTTCAATGTTTCCCGCGTTAGAGATTCCCAAAGATTTTGCTTCGAAAGTAGCCAAATCTGTGGCGAATTTATCAGCCTAAAAATAAAGTGAAAATTATTTTTCGTGTTTAAACCCTTCAATCTTCTTTTTAAATTTATAAAAAATATTTTTTCCCGCCAGAAAAAAATAAAATTTCCTCGGGCGGACTCGAACCCACGATCCCCCAAAAACATAAAACCAACCACTTTCCAACTACACCAACACAGTCATTTGATATTTTAGGTTCCCTAACACTTCCCTACTAAACTCCTTAATCGGAAAACCAATTTTAAGAAAAACCCTTAAATCTTCTTTTTAAATTTATAAAAAAATTTTTTCTTTCAAGAAAAAATAAAATTTCCTCGAACGGACTCGAACCCGTGACCCCCTCAAAACGTAAACCAAACACTTTCCAACTACACCAACACGGTCATTTGATATTTTGACTACCCTAGCCCCACCCTATTACACTCCTTATTCGAAAAATGGATTTTAAGAAAAAATAAAAAGTAACCATGTTTGTGTACATATTCTTTTTATCAACATCGAGTTCATTGGATATTTTGTTTCTAAAATAGTCTAAAGCTTCTTTTAGTTGATTTCCAATTCCGTTCGATGTAGACACTTCATTTAAATAGTTGTCGAACAAATATTTTTGTCTGGCCCTGAAAAATATAAATTTTTGTTGAATTTGGGTCAATCTCGTTTGGGGTAGATTTTTAAAATTAAGTTAAAAATTTGTTTTTTGGGGGTTTAAAGGGTTAAACACTAATTTCACCAAAAAAACCCCACGGCTATAAAGTCTCCAAAGTGGATATGGATGTTTGGGAGGCGTCTAGCAAGGATGGCTTACCTAAAATAAAATTTTTACTCAACTCGAAATTCAATCTGGGTCATCTTAACACGGACTTTTCTTCTACATAAACCCCGATCCGAAAGAAATTTAAAACACAATCTGAGCAAACCTGAATTTTTTTTTCAACCCAACCCTCCCTATTTACTAAATTTTTTGAGTGAAATGATTCTTGGAGAAAAACAAAATTCCTAAACTTAATCACCCCCCCTCCTACAAAAAACTCAAAAAAACCTCTTAATTATTTTATCATCAATATCAGTAATATTCATCACATAAAGAACGTCATAATTGAAGTAATCTACAAGCACTCTCCTTACAATGTCAAAGGATAAATAGGCTCTAGCATGTCCCATATGTGCAGAATCGTAAACTGTAGGTCCGCAAATGTAGAATTTCACCTTGAAAAATTTTTAGAAAATTTTAAAAAAATTAAAGAAAACTTGTTTTCCAGAAATAGGTTCAAAAGGTTCTTTTGTTCGAGTCAGACTGTTTAATAAATGCAGACGAGGCTCGACATTGTTGCCTTTATATGGAGTCCAGTTGGCTTGCATTGCTAAAAAATAAAAAAATTTTTTAAAGAAATTTTTTTGGCACTTTCAGGGAACACCTCGCTTTCTACCTCACTTTTCTTGCTTAAAAGGACTTAGCTTAACTAGACAAAATAATAATATTCCTTTTTTAAATTTTTCCAAAATTTAAAAATCGATTTTCTCCTTTGTCATTGACATTTTAAAATGAAACAAAATTTCATCATGTAATTGTTCCACAAATTTTCTTTTGTTGCCCATTTCACAATTAGTAAGGAAAAACAAGGAAAAAAAGCGATGACGCAATAAACCTCCGAAAACCGAATTTTTGGACCTTAGAACGAACTGGTTTAATAACTACAACGCAGGGCAATTTTACCGATAGCATAAGAAAGTCAGAAGGGTAAGCATTAGAGTTTCACCGGAAGTTCCGGATCCGGTTACGGAAAGTTCCAATATTTTTTTAGTTCCGGGAACTCAAATTGGATCCGGTCCCGGTCAAAATATCGGTTCCGGTGAAACACTAGTAAGCAGGCCTTTGAGGGTTAGAGGTGACCTGGTCAATCGATCATCAGGTCATCTCTGACCCATTGACCTACCTATTTCTCCTGCTAAGGGCCCTACCGATACTCTTCTAAATTTATTAAAAATTAACAAAAAACCCACCACAATTTCCAGATTTTTCAATTAAATTCAATGAAGGATATGACGGTTTAAAATAAAATAAACGTGGAATATTTATTAAAAAGCGATAAGTGTAAAGTGTCGCTCTTCGCAATATTTGCATAAATCTGAACATTTTTAAAAATTTTTTAAAATGAATTTTTGAGTGAAAAAGGCTTCCGAAAAGTGAGAAAAAGTTGAAGTAAAAGTATGACTGATATTTTTGGATGATGCAATAAATTCCTCAAAAACACTCATCCACCCTTTTACTCAAATTGATTGTCATAGAGAACTGCAAAATATTTTGGTGTGACCATTTTTCTCTTTTTTCGTTTAGTGGCATTTTGTCGTTGGCATTTTGAAATTTTGACATTTTGTAATTTTCGACTTTTTGAAATTTAAAATTTACCAATTCGAAAATTAGTCACGGACATTTTGCCGCGAATTCGAACGAAAAATAATTTCAACTGTGGAACGTTAATTGCAAGTTCCTTCTATTTGTAGCTTTTTTCTGGATAGAAAAGAGAACTCATAATGTTCACAGCTTTTCTGCTCACTTAGAGTTGTGGTCAGGGCTGGACGCAATTGCGGATTATGTGAAATTGCGTTTTTTTGACTTGCGGATTGCGTTTGCGGATTTTAAAATAAAAATTGCGGATTGCGACTGCGGAAATTTTTTTCCAATTGCGACCAGCTCTGGTTATGGGCGCATAATACCGGATCGTAGGTTCTAAGATGCAGAGCTGGGTACTTATCATCATACATTTTTTTGACCATTATTTGCCTCATACCATTTTAAAAAGGAAAAGAAGGAAAGAAAAGAAAAATGTCGGGGACACCAAACATCTGGAAAAGATTCTTCTCTAAAAAATTTTTTTTCCCTCTATTAGCTTTTCTTTTGCAATGTAAATTTATGTAGCGATTGCGCGCATCTATGAAATGCCATCCTGGGGTATATAGCAAATTCTCCACCCATCTTACTTTCCATTAAAGGGAAGGGATTCCTTCATTAAAAAAATTTTTTTTTAATTTTATTTTTAAAGAATCATCTCCACTCTACTATTAAAATTAAATTGATTAGATTGCCTATTTATAAAAATTTTTTTGAAGTTTTATTTAAAAATCCGAACAAAATTTTTTGTTCAAATGTTTTTGAATACTTTCGGAGACATTGTCTTCATTTTTGCTGGATTTGCTCCATTTTTTGTTAAACTTGTTTGATTGGTTACCAAGTGCATAGGAGAGAGGGAGGGAGAAAACTTGCCATTCCATGCAATTGTGTCCGCAAAAAAAGTTGCGCAAAAAAGTTGTACACACAAGTATCTGCAAGCTTCATATACATAGTATTATGATGAAAATTCGGGTTGAACTCATACATTTGGGACGGAGTGTATAATAAAGGCAACTAAGTTAAAAAAATTTTTCTTCAAATTTTCTATACTACCTATTTTCTTATTTATTATAATCCACAGGCTTGACAGACCTCCATTAATGTCATACAGCCTTATATCCCCAGATTGCGGACTGCGTGTTTTTTGACTTGCGGACTGCGCATTGCGGCTGCGGATTTTAAAATTAAAATTGCGGACTGCGGCTGCTGAAAATTTTTTTTCATTTGCGGACATCCCTGATTGGAAATGAAGGACGCGATTTTGTCTCTCCTTCTTTTGAATGCTATCTTTTGCCGCAAAATGCAAGACGCTTTTATGTGAACGTGGCATATAAAAAATTTTTTCCCCAAATTTTCTATACTATTTTCTTATTTATTAAACTCCACAGGCTTGGCAGACTCTATTAATGCCTTATAGCCAAGTCTTAGGCCAACCCACGCATTTTATTTTGTATTTTAATAATAGGAATTGTCTAAAAATTACTTCCCCAAAAAGGGAATATGTATAGGAAAAGCTTGGGGGAAACGATAGCCAATAAATAATTCAACTTATTATTAGGGCTAGGATTTTTAGGCACTAAAAAGTCAAAAATAGGTGTCTATATAGGCACTAAAAACTGCCAAAATAGGCACCTAAATTCGAAAAAAGGCAGAATAGGCAAGCATAATATAATTACAAAATTTCTTAAAATTTGCACTAGATCTGCAAAAAAATGTATAGTAAAGATTAGTAATTTATAAATTAAAAAAAATTTCAGATTATTAAAAAAAATTCAAACAAAATTCTTTACTAAAATGTATTTTAAATTTTCCAAGACATTTATTGTCTTGATCTTTGTTGGATTTTCTCCTCATCTTGTTAAAGGGATGCGCAATGCCCTTAGTAAGTTATGTATATTTTCTTAAATAAATTTTTAAAAATTTAGTAACTATGCAAACTGGCGAAGGCTCTGGCCAATCCTCTACCAATCTGAACTTTTTTTCTCTTTCTGAGTTGTCCTTTCTGATGAAAATTTTGAACAAAATTGATATCAACGAAGACTACAAGACAAAGATTAACGAAGATTACAAACCTATTGAAGTTCTACTCAATGATAAAGGAGTTGAAGTAATACGCGAAGATAACCTTCAAGTAGATCATGAATTCATTGGGGATTTTCAGCGAAAAATAAGAGCGGTAAGGAAGGGATTATATATTTATATATAACCAGTGAATCACCCGCCGTCTCACCTACCGTCCCCAGTGAACCACCGTCCTCGTGGACGGGATTTTAATCCATGAAAGGAAAACTTTTGAGTAAAACTACGGAGGATATCCTAAATTACCGAGCTAATATTATCAAAATCTCCAATGGAGTGAGATAAAGGGATTAGGACTAATTAATAATGGATATAGGGGTGTTAGAAGAAAGATGTCAGCTGTCCCTTTAATTTTTGGCCATTAAAAAGGGATAAAGTTAAGCTAAAAAGTTCAGATGATTCTTCTCCTGGTTTTCTCTCACGTATAAATAGAATAAATATTTATATTTAAAATAGTATGTAGTTTTAGGGCTTATTTAAGGGAATCAGGGCACGTCCAGTCCTTCTCTCCCGAGGAGGGCCGGACCCAATGCTCGGTGGGCCACGGGAACCCACTAAAGATATTACAAGGGGATTAACGGAGATATAGAGGAATTTAGGGTTAATCCCCTGATATCTCTTTAATCCCTCTAAATCATTTATCCCACATAATAATTATATCACCTAATTTAAAATTAACAGTCTAAACGTACTAGTTTCAGAAAGTAAAAACGAAATAAGTCTTTTTCCCAACATTGGATTCGAACCAAACCCCTGCTAAATAATCCAGCTGTTCCTCAGTTCATTATTCATACATTTAAAGGTGATAGAACATTTTAACAAAATCCTTGAAGATTATCACGAAGAATTTAATCAAAAATACGAAAATAATAAAACAATTGGAAGACGAAGTAGAATTGCTGAAGAACGAAGTACAGCGATGGCACGAAGACTAACTTTTATTAATAAAAGACTTGGAGCTTATAAAAAAATTGTTAATGAAGAGGAATATAATCAGTTTATTCATAATTATAATTTAAATATAAACGAGTTTGGTGCTCAACATAATGTTAACAATCGCCTTCCTGATTCATTAAAAAATATTCGGTAAATGTTAAATATTAAATTGGCGCTCACCAGCCTGGGATCCAAGGATGTGGTCTAATCAGGATTAATAGCATAGCACAGGAATAGAATTACATACTAGTGATGCTCGGTATCCCGACTGCCGACTCGGGAAAATTTCCCGAGTTTTTGGCCTCCCTACCTCGACTCACTTTGATATCTCACGAGGAGATATCAAAGTTCGAACCCAGGCTTGAATCCTTACCTAACAGGCGCGTAACTAAGACGGTTCATAAATAAGCACCCCCAACCTGCTCTGTAATAGAAAATTTTGGCTATTTAGACACAAGATTTGGAAAAACCATTTAGAAAATTATATGTTTTGTCATGAAAATAATTTTAAAAATTCTCAAAAGTTGTCAAGATATGCAGAGATTTTAGCTTGAAGCAGCTATTTTTCTAAAATTTATTTTTTAGCAGAGAAGCAGAATTCACACAACTTGAAGCCTATTTAACTAGAATTTTAGATCAGGAGAGAAATTTATTTCTTTTATATAAAATGTTTCTCTTGGCACGGAGATTGATATTGACATTTATTTATCAAAGTGATGATGGGAGATATTTCTCCATGTTTGATGGTTCGCAGTAAGTTTGTTATAGCTTATTATAGCTTAGGATACACCTCATTATAAGCCAAAGAGTAGCTTATAATAAAGGCTGTTATTATATTAGGGATGGGATTGTCTTTGACGATTTCCATTCTTAAACTATGGCAGAGCCCATCCCTGATGTGGGGGGGGGGGGGCGGATGGGTCATTCCATCCCCAAAGCACATCCCCATCCCGACCTATTCTAATTAAATTTTAGATCACAAATTGCGTTATTAACGTACATATTGCTTTTTGATGATTATGAACTGGCTGCAAACCGTTTACGTAATATGTTGCTATATCAGTTTCATGCTTTCGAATGGTTTGCCGGAGTTAGTGGTAGACAGCAATCTATTATTCTGATCAAAGATCTTCCAAATGATGAGAAGGATTTGGCCCGAGGCTATCCTGTTTTTTGTGTTTTCGATCAAAATGTTGAGGAATACTACCCGCTTATTTACCAATTCATGAGTAAATAAATATTGTTTAGACTAAGATTATGTGGATCTGTTGAAAAAATCCACAGAGTTTAATATTTTCCACAGAAAATTTCGTCCGCAGAATCTGCGGGATGTTTCCCCAGAATCAGTGGATGTTTCTCCAGAATCTGCGCACACAGAATTTAATTAAAACAGAATTTACACAAAACCCTATTAAAAACTATCATTTAATTTAAGAAACCACTAGTTCAACTGAAATTACACTTGAAGAATTTGCGGCATTTGAACTATTTCGTATTCAAGGGGAGGGCATAGAAGATAATACATACAATTTATATCAACTCATAAATTCTGAATATGTCTTGGGACGACTACTAACCGAAGGAAAACTTCATGAACATTATATAAATCCACAATTGATTACTCAGATAAGAAATCAATTAGACTATGGTGCTTTGGTTTATAATGATCAATTGATGACAACAATCGAAATCCGTGAAGGGGTAGCAATTCCGCCACAGATTCGAGGGGTATTTAAAGTTAAAAAGAAAATTTTAATAAATGTTCTTTAGCTATATATCTACGTTCCTCCACCTGAAGCGGCCGGAAGCAGTGGCGAAGGTAACCAAGAAGCAGCCGGAAGCAGTGGCGAAGGTGGCCAACAAGCCGCTGGAAGTAGTGGCGAAGGTAGCCAACAAGCGGCTGGGAGACGTCGTCAACGTGATGGAGATGGAAACGGAGGAAATGGTGGGAATGGTCATCGCGGTCGTGGGCGGCGCCGTCGCAATGGCAGAGGCAGAAATGGTGGAGGAGGAGGAAATGGAGATGGTGGAAATTGAAGAGGATCTGCCTACAAATGAGGCTGAAATTTGTTGAAAGAATTGAAGAGAAAAGATTAGTTTTAGAAAATTACTGTTGCGAGGATTGTCTTTATTAAACACTATCTCTTTTGTAAATCCTCTATTAAAGTACCACACTTTAGCTGACAAACAAATATAGATGGAGAAAGAATATTAAAAATAAGCAATCATCGGGTTCTGATTGTGGGATAGTCCCGTTTGGATTCTTCCCACCAGGGTTGTCGGTTCCTGAAAATTCTTCGGATCTCCGAAATCGAGCCGAAGAACCAACCGAAAAATCATCGGTTCTTCAGTTCGGTTCAGAACCGACATCTTCCCACGATTGTTTGAAAAAACAATAAATTTTTTTCGTAAAATAGTGTGATATTATAATAGAGGATTTAGGGTATTTAAATGTGATATTTATTTATTTTCGGGAAGATAAAAGTAATAGAGCATTTTTAAAAATCGTAAACTTAAGGAAAAGGACACTAATGAAAGTGCTAATTTTCAAAAGTTAGTACATCCGCAAAAATTAGCACATTCGGAGCTTTTTTAACCCTTTATGATGCAGCAATTAATAGGCCAGCTGGAACTTCAGGCGTAATACAATTTTGAAAGCTCAAATCAAAATTCTAAAATAACTTTCCCCAGGTTTCTTGCATAGGGCCTCCCTCCTTCATCCCCTTTTCTCCCTCCCTCCTTTTTACGTGTTTATCAGGAGTGGGCCGAAACGGATTTTAAAAAGCGGAAGTCAATTTTAATTTAAAGAGTGAAAGCCGAAAGGCATATCCTTCCATTTAACTTGTAAAGTTAAGAAATTATTACTCCGCTTGAAGAAACTTTGATTTTCATATTAGAAATGTGTGATTGTGGGTACAGTACTTCAAAAAATATTTAACTTCCTAGGAATTTCATAAAAAATTTTCTTTTATCTATGTGAAAGCCTATAGAATTTGCTACAACATAATCATTAGATAAAGATAAATTAGGCCATTTTCCTTTTTTCAGTTACTGGCATTTTGTTTTTTGGACATTTTGTAAATTGACATTTTGTATAATTTATAAAGTTTCCAATTTAAAAAACAGTGTCACAGCTATTTTGTCGCGAGTTTAAACAGAAAATAAGTTGACCGGTAGAACAACAATTAGTACAAGTCCCTTCTAAACTTTTCCTTTTTTGTGATAGGCCGCTTTTGAATTCAAAATTCAATATTTTGCAATAGCATTTTGGCAACGTTTGAAGTCTAAGTTAACAAATCAAACATCAAAATTGAGAAAAAATAGCGGCATTTTGTTTTTATTTTGTAAAATATTGAGTAGAAAGACACGCATTCAATCGACCCATGAGACAAAAAAAAAAGACACTTCATATAAGAGAAGCTGGGGGGGGGGGTGGGAATCGAGAGCCAATAAAAATTTTTTTTATTAATTTTTATTAATTTTTTTCTCTCCCCCTCGCCCTATTTTTGTTAAAATTTATGTTTAAATAAATAGTTAAATAAAAATTTTTTTTGGATTACAGTGGAGACTTACTTTTAAATAGTTACCGGAATTTAACGTTTTTTCCTTTTGGTAATGCTTTGGTTTATGTGTCGAGTTTTTTCTTTACTGAAATCAACGAAATCTATATCTTAAATGAACAAAGTTATGATCGTTTGTTTAATCATATGCAGCGACACAAAAAGTTTTTAGAGCGAGGATTAAGCATCATAATTTTATTCAGAATTACCGATTTAAACAATCTTAATATCATTAACCCAGTATGAAGAGCTTGTTCGAATGCTATATGTTAAATTATAGATCAAGCAAAAAAGCTCAAAATGGTCAGGGAAACAGGAAAATGATATTTAACTCCATAAAAATTTTTCTTTTGACTATCTGAAAGCCCATAAAATTTGCTACAAAATAGTCATCAGATTTTATCAATTTTTTTCTCTGTTTCTCTCTCTATTTATTTCCGGAAAATTTAATTTTAAATATTTTATTAAATAGAATTAAGTTAAAAATTTTTGGATTACAGTCGGACTTTATTTAAAAGTAGGGACCGGATTTGGTAATAGTTTGGGTTACTCCCTTTTTCCCTATTACCTGACCATTTTGAGCTTTTTTTGTCTGATATATGTCTCTCTGTCTCTCGCTGTCTGTCTCTCTCTCTCCTATTTATGATCGGTTGGATTTTATGATTCTGAACAAAAAATTCAGGCCAAATCATCGTTTGAAAAACCTTGTATCGCTGCATGCGGTTAAAACAAACTGTCAATACTATATTTTTCTCTAAAAATTTTTTTCTCTCTACTTTGCGTTTTTTGCTGTTTAAATTCATTTAGCGATTGCGCGCATCCATGAAAATGCCATCCTGTTGTATATAGCAAATCCCCACCCATCTTACTTTTTATTAAAAGAGCGGGATTCATTCATTTCCCCAAAAAAAATTTTTTTTAATTTAATTTTTAAAAATCATCACCCCTCTATTCAATTAAATTGATTAGATTGGCCATTTATAAAAATTAAAAAAAATTTTATTCAAAAAATTGAGTAAAACTCTGCTAAAATGTTTTTGGATCCACTTTTGAAGACATTTATTGTCTTCATCTTTGCTGGATTTGCTCCGTTTCCTGTTGAAGGAATGCGCAATGCTCTTGGTAAATGAATTTATAATTAATCTTAAGGCTAGGATATTTTTCAAAAAATTTTTAAAAAAATTTAGTAAATATGCAAACTGGTGAAGGTCCTGGCCAATCCTCTAGCAATCTGAACATGTTTTCTCTCACTGAGTTGTCCTTTCTGATGAGAATTTTAAACAAAATTAATGTTAACGAGGATTACAAGCATTACCAGTCGGTTGAAACTTTACTCAATGCGAAAGGCGTTGAAGTAGTAAATGAAGATAATGAACTTGAAGAAGATGATGAATTTGTTGGCGATTTTCAACAAAAAATCAGAGCGGTAAGGAAGATATAAAGATTGGAGGGCTGTTTCTACGGACTTTGCGGACTCTTTTAAAAAGTTTCTCATCACTACAGTGTAAAAACATTTAATATACATTACAACATTACTACAAAAATTTCAGAACAATCCGACAACGGGAAGATAGAGAAACTCAAAAAATCCAAGGGGGGTTATAATTTCTTAACCACTGTACCGGGTACAGCCCGAAATGTCGCGCGGCCATAATGTCGCCAAGCCATAACTTGCTAAAAAATTTCTGGCCCTTATCAATTTTGGTACCAATCTCTTTAGCTCGATGAGAGGAATCGTTTAATATTAAATTTGGAAAGATTCAGAAATCTTAAAGCAAGTTATGGCTCGGCGACATTATGGCCGCGCGACATTTCGGGCGTGTCCCACGGTACCTTTCCTACCAGGATGTAGCTTGTTTGTCTCTCCATTATGTGGCCTAGTATTGGGGGCATCTTATAGTGAGATTCAAATACTTATATGGTTTGCCTGATTATTTAAACGTTTAAAGGCGATAGATCATTTTGCCGGCATTCTTGGAAAATATCAAAAAGAATTCAAACTAGTCTACGCTAATATGTATAAAGATAAGAAGAAAGATATGCCTAAACAAGCCTTCAAAGAGATGATTAAACAAGCCAAACTTGGTTTTATTAATGAAAGAATATATGATTATAAACAAATTGTTAATGTTGGGGAATATATTCAATTTATTGAAAATCACGGCTTGAATGTAGACGAGTTTGGTGATCAACATAATATTAAAATTATTCCTGATACATTAAATAATATTCGGTAAAGTTTCCATATATTAAATTGGCTCACTAAATTGGGAGAGATCAGGATGACCCTTTTTCCTCTTTTTGTGGGCATTTTACAACATAGTTGAAACAAAGTTTTTGGCAAATCTATAATTATGAATCAGATCCGATGCACCGGTAGAGACAAAATATGGACTAAAATACCAGGGCGTCCCGGATTTGACAATCCTGAAAGGATATAGCTCTGGTGTACCTTGGCCTGCTCACTTTTGGGGGTATCTTATAGCGAGGTCAGAAAGGGTTGTTGGGTGTTTGTAGGTCGAAATACCTCAAGTATCATTTAATAATTTTTCTAAATTTTATTTTTAATTAAGAGATGAAAAAGAATTTGAACAACTTGAAGCCTATTTAACTGGAATTTTAGATCAGGAGAGAAATCTATTTCTTTTATACAAATTGTTTCTTTTGGCACGGAGATTGATATTGACATTCATTTATCATAGTATAGATGGACGATTTTTCTCCATATTTAATGAGTCGGAGTAAGTTTCTATTAATTACCCCATACAGAGCGGGGCTGAAACATTAATTGCCCAGGGTAATTATTTAAGTAAATACGGTATTCGCGGGAGTATCAATTAGGCATCTCCCCTGTAGTCAAAAAAATTAAAATTTATCATAAATTGAAGTTATGTTTTACTATTTAGTTGGCCATTAGATATCGAAGATACATAGGCGAAATTATTTAAGACAACCCGTAATATGTACGAGATCAAAATTTCAACTCTTCTTATCTGCATTTTTCAATAAAATTTTAGATCCCAAATATCAGTTTTTGAATACGTCTTTTACTTCGACGATTATGAACTGATTGCAAATCGTTTACATAATTTGATGCGGAATCAGTTTTCAGCTTTCAATAATTTATTTGACAATAATTCTGCTCAGCCATCTGTTACTCTTTTCACAACTCTTCCATATGACGAGAAGGATTTGGCCCTCAGTTATCCTGTTTTTTGTGTTTTTGATCAATCCTCTGTGGAATTCGAAACGATTATTTACACATTCACAAGTAAATTAATTACTTAGGTTGTATCATAAATAATTAGTCCCCCTTGTGGTAAAATGATTAAATAATTATTAAAATTCAACCAAATATTTTCAGACTTCGAATAATAATTTTCTATGATCCTAAGAAAGGTGCCTATTTTCTGGCAAAAAATCAGAATCCTAGGATTAAGTTGGCATATAAATTTTCAAACGTACATGATTTAGGGTGGGGGGCTATTCCCTGTCTCCCTGGCTATTCCTCTATCGACGTACTGACCATTTGTACATTT